TAAAATACGAGAAATTGGATAATCGAAGAATTGAAAATTCGAGAAATTGAATAATCGAAGAATTGAAAATTCGGAAAATTGAATAATCGAAGAATTGAAAATTCGGAAAATTGAATAATGGAAGAATTGAAAATTCGCAAAATTGAACAATCGAAAAATTGAAAATTCGAGAAATTGAATAATGGAAGAATTGAAAATTCGAAAAATTGAATAATCGAAGAATTGAAAATTCGCAAAATTGAACAATCGAAGAATTGAAAATCCGAGAAATTGAATAATCGAAGAATTGAAAATTCGCAAAATTGAATAATTGAAGAATCAATAAAATCAAAAACTCGAACAATTGAAAAATTGTAAAGTCAATAGCACTATCAATCTCCAAATGTCAGCAGTACCCTAAGTCTATAGCACAATAAAAAGAACACGATAGCTGAAACAACAAATATTCGTTTCTTTTGTTCCCAATTATTTAAGAAAGTAAGAAGTTCGCATGACCTGTCGGACTATTGTTTCGTGCACGAAAAAGGATAAATATCTCTTCCGATTCATTACTCGTCGAACCGGTAGGACATCTGCGGCCTGGTACCTATCCACGGCATAATGGTTTCCTGATCTCTCGGTACTTTTACAGGAAACTTTTATCCAGTTCAATCATTCCAGTCACGGCATACTACTTCAATCCTAGAATGAATTGTGACACAATTCGTCGATTTACTATCAACGTGACAGTTTAACGACTTTATTTCGGAATAGTATATTTGGATTACAGTCGGACATATCAGCATACAGTATTTGGAACATTGATGTGATATTTTATTAACTGCGAAGTATTTCCTTAAATTTATAATCGTATACAAGTATTTCTTTATACAAAGACTCCATAATTTTATTCGTAAGGGTACATTTTTAAAATCGATTTTACACGCCATCTGGTACAGGAAAGTATAACACTCGTAACACTCATATTTTTATTACGATCATTGGTACTCGTGTAGTCATAACATGTTACCGCAATAGCAACTAGTAAGTACATATCTGAAGAGATGACGCATGGTTAATAAACAGTTGCAGATGTAACAGGAAAATAAGTGGTAATTTATTTTTGTTCTTTTATGTAATCGCTGGAAGCGATTAGTAGAATAATGGAAAGAAAATTGGGATTGACCCGGCTATTGTTAATTCGAGGAAAAGCTCGCAAAACTTCCTGCTTTCCCGAGAAATTCCCAGTCACCGTGAATTTCAAATTATGCATATTAATTTAAGCGGGAGAAACGTTATCAGAGGGGACTTTGTACCATCAATTTTACCTTGACTTACAATACATCATTGACCGGGTGATCTGAACCGCGAATAACATGCAATAAATTTAATTGCCGCTTCCAAATGATTTCGAGAGTGCAATTTTTTAACGCGTTCGTATTATCAAAGTTCACTATCGCCGGAGATAAGGATACGGGAAAATAGTCGTTTTAAAAGAAATGGTTTTATCGAAGCTTAATCTACGGATACAAACATGATCATAAATAACGATAGTTATTATCTATTCGCATAAAATTTGTACAAATCATGTCTCCAAGTGTGGTTTCCCGTAAACGTAGACTCGATAGTGAAGTCCCCTAGAATACTTCGACCTGAACTTAATCTTGATGAAATTGTATCCTATACCGCCGGAAGTAACCCACATGGCTCCGTTGTTCTCGTCAGATAACGAATCGACTCCTATGCACGTGATCGTTGCACTCGTGGGCCCGTACTCTGCCTCGACTTCCTGTAACCAATCAAATATGTAATCATTATTAATCTGTGCTGGACCACTTATTCTCCGCTGTAGATTTCGAGCTTAAAATAGCGATACTTAACAATGATAGTATTACTGTTAATAACTGATTTATTACGATATAAGTTAATATTATTAATAGTGACAACACTGGTAACATCTAGTACATTCAAATGCAATATAGGCTTCCATCGTATAATAGTTACTATGTCAAGATTCTCTAGATCTTCCAGTTCCACAAATTCTTCACTCTTCTAGCTTCTTCATATTCTTCAAATTGCCGAAAGTTCCTGAATTCCCTAGGTTCCCCAAATTCTCTAAATCCCTAGATTTGTCGATTTTTCTAAGCTCTAAATCCTTGAAATCTCCAAATTCTAGGCATTCGTGAAATTGTCGAAGTTCCCCAAAGTGTAAAAATTCCCTAGATTTTCAAAATCTCCCAAATTCAGAAATTCCCTAGAATTGTCATAATTACCAAAATTGTCGGATTCCCCTAGGGGATTACACCCCCAAATTCCATAGATTTTGCGAATTCCCTAGATTTCCCAAATTCCCTAGATTTTCAAAATTTTCTAAATTTCCGAAACTCCTTAGATTTTCAAAATTCCCTAGATTTTCTGAATTCCCTAGATTTGCAAAATCCCCTAAATTCAAAAATTCCCTAGAATCCCCAAATTCCCTAGATTTTCAAAATTTCCGAAATTTCCCGAAATCCTTAGATTTTCAAAATTCCCTAGATTTTCTGAATTCCCTAGATTTGCAAAATCCCCTAAATTCAAAAATTCCCTAGAATCCCCAAATTCCCTAGATTTTCAAAATTTCCCGAATTCGTTAGATTTTCAAAATTCCCTATATTTCCAAAATTCCCTAAATTCAAAAATTCCCTAGATTTATCGAAATCTCACAAATTCTCTAAATTCGTAAAATTTTCTAGGCTTCACGAATTTTCCAACCCCCCATAAATTCATCGAATTCCCTATATTGTAAAAATTCCCTAGAATTCTGATATTCTCAAAAACATGACAACTCTCGCAAACTTTCCATGACAGTATTAGAACCCTTATTAAACGTGTTGCAATTTCTGTCAGAAAAATACTGTTAGACCGGTATTTAGGTTTAAATCCACTAACGTATAAAATTCCGCATCCTTTTCATTTGGAACGAGCATGGCAGCAATTCGAAACTTTGCGATCACTAAATTGCCCGAACATTAGCAACAGATAGCGTTGAATGCCTATCATTATTCACACTTTTCGCGTTCGCTCGAATCGCTTCGACTTCGAACTCGTCCCGTACGACGATAACAGGATCGCGAAATAACAAAACGCTACGGAAGAAGAACCGGATCTGAGACAACGATAACATTGAAATATAAATGCTAAATATAATGCAATTTGACACAATTTCTTCGAGGCGACTGAACTTAGGAGCCGTAGATAACAGTGGGCCCGAATGAATCGAGTAAACCGTGAGTTACGAAAGTTACGTCGATCGATTGGACTGTTTTTCTACCGTACGGTTATCTCGTTATCATAGAGACGAAAGAATCGGTAGTTCAAAGCGACACGAAGAAGTAGAAAAATCTTTGCCGAAGAGAAACACGTGATAATGCTCGAGATGTCTTGTTTGTTTTACACACCGATTAAATGTTGATGTTTAATAAACATCGGAATGAAAGAATGCTCGATTATTGACTCGGTTCTTATAAAAATAACCTCGTTGATGAAAGTAAAAAATATGGAACGATTTCGGTGAATTTTAAATACTATTTCCAACGGATGCAAAAAACCGCAATCTTGTGAGCTGTTCTCGTTCGAGGACATTAAATTCGTGATTACTTTCATTGCACTGATTTCTCCTTTCCACTTTAAAGTTCGTGATAACCACGAGTATATTATCCATGCTGGAAATTTTCTTTCAGGGCTGTCGGGAGAAGATATTACACCCGTGCTTAATTAGTCGTTTAATTAACACCTCTGTATCACTGAACTTGTGTTTCTTATTTTTCTGATTTCACGTTGTAGCAATAGCTAGCTATGACGCAACCGTCCAGAAAATTATAAGAGTTTGATTTCAGAATTGTTTTTGATGTAACTGTTTATAAAAAGATGCATATTTCATCTATTTCGTTTACCTTGAAATATGCTGACATTGTGAATATCTTTGCTTACATATGAAATCACCTCTCGAACTTACGTTCTAAGATATACGCAGGAAACTTTTAAATTTTTATAGTGAAATACGCACAATAATTTATTAATACAGGGTGTTTCGCAATTAGCGTAGGTTTCTGAGGGTAGCTGACGTGATTTTGAATAAGATTTCCCTTTGCGAAAATGGGATTCGAAGCTTCGTTTTTGAATTATTAAGGAAAAACATTGACCAATCAGAGCGTGAGGGTTAGTACGCGTTGAATTACTACGCATTGGTTAACTACGCGTTGGTTAACTACGCGTTGGATTACTACGCGTTGGATTACTACACATTACATTACTACGCGTTGGTTAACCACGCGTTGAATTACTACACGTTGGTTTACTACGAGTTAGATTCCTACGCTTAGAATTACCACGCGTTAGATTCCTACGCTTAGACTGGATTATTACGCGTTGGATTACTACGCGTTGGTTAACTACACGTTGGTTAACTACGCGTTGGATTACTACGCGTTGATTAACTACGCGTTGGATTACTACGCATTAGTTAACTACGCGTTGGATTACTACGCATTGGTTAACTACGCGTTACATTACTACGCGTTGGATTACTACGCGTTGGATTACTACACATTACATTACTACGCGTTGGTTAACCACGCGTTGAATTACTACACGTTGGTTTACTACGAGTTAGATTCCTACGCTTAGAATTACCACGCGTTAGATTCCTACGCTTAGAATTACCACGTGTTGCATTACTACGCGTTGGACTACTACGCGTTGAATATCCACGCTCCGGATTACTACGCGTTACATATCCTCACGATGGCTTACTACGCGTTGGATAACTACGCGTTATTCGAAGCTGTCGCTCTCACATCTGCGCATGCGTAATCCTCACGCTCTAATTGGTCCGATGTTTTTCCTTAATAATTCAAAAACGAAGCTTCAAACCCCATTTTTGCAAAGGGAAATCTTATTCAGAATCGCGTCAACTACCCCCCATTTCAGGGACCTACACTAAATGTGAGACACCCTGTATCTTTGTTTTAATATATTCAAGTACATGTATTTCAACGTGTCTCGTCTGTACAGCGAACATTTGAAGTTACACGAACTGAAAAGCGAATGTGTATGTCGTTGACCTGGTGTTTGAAGTCTGAAATAACTTCGTGATACATTATCTAAAAGTACGATACCATCTTATTCAAAATTCAACGTAGATTGACATTATAATGAAATAGTTGACAAAAGAGAAGCATTATTAATTATATTATTATTGTACATATTAATCATAAATTATGCTCTATATTTAAAAATATCTTTCTAATAATAGTAGAATTACAAATAAAATTGTTTCTTTCACGCACCTCAGTCTTATCAGAGGTGGTTTCATACTTTTGACCAACAATGTACAAGGCATACACTGTATATCATTTCCCTTTATCGCGGTGACTAGATTAGAGGACGTTAACACGAATAGTACAGTCCATTAACAATACACTTATCCTAACTTCGAAGTACTGACAAAAATCAAGAAATAAAAACTTGAATAAAGATTTGAAGATTTACAGACTTAAATAAAATGTTAACATTTCTAACGACAGCAAAATAACACTTTAATACTTTTTCCTCATTAATATTGAAAATATATAATATTAGAGTGTGTAATTAATTTTATCTTCCAATTCTTTTGATGCTCTCCTATATCTCTTGACCTACGAGTCTACTTACTAGCTAGATTATCAATTATTAAATAGAATGATACTGATATCTTGCACGCACTTGATATGCACCGATCCTGTACGATCTCCTCACGTCGTACTCCCAGATAACTTGATCGTCCGTTCTTGTCTGACAATGTTCGTTCTTGTATGCAACGGCGAACAGAACATTCAACGCGACAAACAGCACGAGCAGATTCATCCTTCTTTTGAAGGTCTCTCGCGAAGGCCAGGTTTTTCAAGATCACCGAATAACAAGAGAGAAAGAAAACAACTCGATTGGACGTAAAAGAGCACAAACACAGAAATCGTATCGTTGATTGGTCAAATTGGCGACAGGCAAATTGATCAAATGGAAAACACCGTTTATTATCGAACAGTCACGATGCTGCGTGTACAACTAACAACTGGACAGTATTAATAGCCGACCATCATCGATACACCGAAAGTTCCCCCGTTCTGCTATAATATTTACTCTCGTTGCACTCTGACGGACGTTTCTTCTTAGGCGTCTTCGAGATTAGATACAACGCCGCTATCTTCGTTCTGTTATTTCGACCAACCTTATATCGCACCGATTTCTCGCGATTCAACAAACTTTCGCGATATACAGGTGATAGGAACGGTGGCCAATTCTTTTTGCTTTCATCGTTGTTTACGTCCTTCGTTACAAATCGGTTTCTCTCGAAGTTAAATTTTTCTTCAAGTTGAATTTCTTATTCATAAGACTTTGGTACAGGGTAAAAAACTTGTGGTTAGATACGATGTGTTACGCATTACTCACTTTTTGTTACGTTTGTGATCAGACACTATACGTATGTACATTTAGATTATTAATATTTTTATGGGTACAGTAAATACTGATGTTGGTAGTCAGACACACTACTATGATACAAAGTATCAACACATTAATTGATACAGTAGAAACAGACATATGTGATCAGACACGCTATTATAATACAAACTATCAACACATTAATTGATACAGTAGAAACAGACATATGTGATCAGACACACTATTACAGTACAAACTATCAACACATTAATTGCTACAGTAGGAACTGACATATGTAGTCAGACACAGTACTACAATACAAACTATCAACACATTAATTGATACAGTAGAAACAGACATATGTGATCAGACACGCTATTATAATACAAACTATCAACACATTAAATGCTACAGTAGAAACAGACATATGTGATCAGACACGCTATTATAATACAAACTATCAACACATTAATTGATACAGTAGAAACTAACATATGTGATCAGACACACTATTATAATACAAACTATCAACACATTAATTGATACAGTAGAAACAGACATATGTGATCAGACGCACTATTACAGTACAAACTATCAACACATTAAATGCTACTGTAGAAACTGACATATGTGATCAGACACACTACTACAATACAAACTATCAACACATTAATTGCCCCAGTAGAAACTGACATATATGGTCAACCATGTTATAATATGTTCTTATTAAAAACACAAGCACTTAATCTTCCACTATCCTCTTTTAATCTATTGTACATCATTATGTTTACATTAAAAGTACCTCAAAAGTACCTTTTGCTTATATTCTCTGTAAAAGATTGATTTAATTGAATTTACAGCGTCGATCAGTTTTGGGTCGTCGAAAGTGGAAGATGTAAACCCACGAGGCTACGAACCGCAAGTAGTATGAGACTTATAGTAATCAGACGGAGAGACTAACACTTACGGAATAAATTCTTGTCATTATGTATCGTCAAAATTAAATCTGTACTTATACGTGAAATATGTAAGTGGCTGTTTTAAACGTTCTGTTCAAATCAGACTTATTCAAATACCGTTGAAAAAATGAAATATAATACAAAATACTGTTTTGGAAGGTTCCGAAAGTTTCATGAATTTAAACGATAATTTGACCACCTATTTGATCTCCAAGAAAAATGATTCCTTAGAAAGAATTAATCATTCTAATGATCATAGTGTAATGATCGTATGGATAAACGTTCTGGCTAACAAATTGGCAGTAAAGGTGTAAGCGATGGCAGCGAAGCAGACCATTGGTATTCGAGTCAGGTGAATCTGTTCTCACAGTATCGTACCTGGAACCACGTGGCACGAGTTGCCCAAGAAAATGACTTTCCATCTTGTTACCGGCTAACAAAGTGCTTTCAAGCTTTTACCTTTTTAACAATAACCACAATGAAATTATTTGAACCGCGGAAGAATTTTCGGTAAACCTTTAACGAACCTCTTTCTGCCTTTCCACCGCTCTGGTTATTTCGAGACGGTAATCTCTGTTTTATAAATCGAAGGTAGACCGATCGGTACCTCGTAAATAAAAATTAATCGAAATTCCGAGAAATCGTTTGCGATAGATTCGGAAGGCAACAGAATGTGTAATTGATAAATCAATAATGCTGTTGTAAAACGAGAAGCAACGAATCGTGATAATCTTGCGAGGTCCCCGATTCGATAACAAGGGTCGGCAAAACCGAGGACTTCAGAAAAATAACGCATTACCGAGCGTGTGTGCCACTTTTTGTAGCAGCGTTTTTTTCGAATCTCTTCGGTGACACTTTGATATTCGAGTTTCCGATATTTCCAGAGTGTTTACGCGTTTTTGGATAAATTGTATCGATGGTACGTACGTATTTCGGACTCCTTGTTAGTTCTTTTTCAAACGCGTGTGCTTATTCTTTTTCTCGACCTCAGATACATCACAGTTGACGCATTAAATCTGAACGATTAACGCTTTATTTGCTAGTATTAATATTATCATCGCTACTGTTATCTGTCGTTTTACATAAATTTTTATTCGGAATTCTCCTTCATATGTATTCACCTGGTGAGACACGTAGACAGCGGAGAAATATCTGTGTACGATTCTTGGCGAAAGAACAATGTCTATTACGTGTCTTCCACGGATGAAATCTAACAAAAAAAAAGAAAATATATATATATAGTGACCTGCGTATTGATTTATTTCACCAGCCGTCGTCAAGGAACTGCATTTCAATATTATCGCATGATAAGATTGCGTTACACATTTGTTCCACGTCTTTGAATTTCCCTTTTTTCCGTTTCTGTTCATCATGAAATGTCATTATGTTTTACCTGTCAACGTATCGTATCAATAAAAACTCGTCAAATAAGAGCCACTGAGAAGTATTACATAAAGTTGATAAGACTCTTTACATCTCGATTTACGAACACACGAGGTAACAAACTTTTTAATTTTCAAAGTATCATTTTCCAAATTTGGGACTTTACAAATTTTTAAGTTAAGGTATATAGAAACTTTATCGTTGCTAAATTTACTAAATCGCAAAATTTCTCAAATTTCCTAGGTTCTCTTCATTGCCCATATTTCCCTAGATTCTTGGATCTCTAGCAAATACCGAAATTCCCTAGATTCCCATAATTTCCACCCCCTCTAGATTCTCTAAACTCCGTGGACTCAAAAAATTCCTTAGATTCTCTAAAACTTGCGGATCCAAAAAATTCCCTAGATTACCGGATCCCAAAATTCCCTGTATTCTAAGATCCCAGAATTCCCTAAATCGCTAGATCCAAAAATTCCCTAAATCCCCAGATCCCAAAATTCTCTAGATCCCAGATCCCAAAATTCCCTAGATCCTAGATCCCAAAATTCCCTAGATTCCCTAGATTCCCAGATCCCTAGATCCCGGATCCCAAAATTTCCTAGATCCCAAAATCCCAAAATTCCCTAGATTCCGGATCCCACAATTCCCTAAATCCCCAAATCCCAAAATTTCCTAGAGCCCCAAATCCCAAAATTCCCTAGATTCCGGATCCCAAAATTCCCTAAATCCCCAAATCCCAAAATTTCCTAGAGCCTCAAATCCTAAAATTTTCTAGATCCCCAAATCCCAAAATTCCCTAGATCCCCCAATTCCAAAATTCCCTAGATCCCCAAATCCCAAAATTTCCTAGATCCCCAAATCCCAAAATTCCCTAGATTCCGGATCCCAAAATTCCCTAAATCCCCAAATCCCAAAATTTCCTAGAGCCCCAAATCCCAAAATTCCCTAGATCCCCAAATCCCAAAATTTCCTAGATCCCCAAATCCCAAAATTCCCTAAATTCAAAAATTCCCTAGGTTCCCAGATTCAATTTTTACTAGATTTATTAAATTCCCTAGGCCCCATAATTTTCGAAATTCCTTAAAGTTTTAAATTACCAAATTACCAAAGTTCCTAAATTCCCAAATTATAAAAAATCTCATTATATGCAATATAACGAGAGCCCACTTTCGTCCATCGCTAAGCTATTTCTATCTTGATCATAAAATTGTAATTATGACAACGATGACTAAACGTCGATGGAAAAGGAGGAAAGCAATTAACAAGAAAGTTACGTGTACGTCTAGTTAGCGACTGACAACTACAGCGAAACAGAGAAAGGAACGAAAGAAGCACTAGAGAAAAAGAGAAAAGGAGATGCGCGATAATACCGACAGCATCTCTCGAACTGTCGACCCCAGCTACTCAAAGTCCGTGAAGCTGTGCTGCCCTCGGGTCATCCTCTCATCTATAACGAACATTATTTACACTTCCACTCGTACAATCGAGCCAACTGATTAAAATACACATCCTCCAGTCTATTTGAGAAATTGTTTGTTGCTAATGCTGCATCAGATATATTTTCCGCATTAATCGATGAGTCGTTTTACGATTCGATAAACAGGCTAACGAAGATCATCCTTTTATTTCTTATCTCTATCTGTCAACATCAACTCTTACACTGATGTCTGAGTACTCAAGTATTTTACTATCAAATAACACTGATGTGCACTCAGATAACTAGGATTTTTATCTAAAGAATATTAGATACTTTAAAAATCTAGGAATTTAGGTAAATAAAAATAGACAATTCCACATTTCACACTTTTTATTTTTTATAATACATTCTTTATTCTCAGCTTTACATAATAAAAGATTGTGGTATGTTTTGCTTTCACCATCTGTATAACAATTTTCCGCAAAATTCGCAATTCTACAGGATCGAGTTATATCACTATGAGTTGTATTACCACGCGTTACATCGTCACGTGTTGCCACACGTTTTATGTATGCCAATCACGTGCGTGTCTGGATTGTTAGAATTGTACACTATTTCAAAGAAACTAATAAACTAATTTTCATAACCAGGCTGGGTTCTATTTACATTATCGGTTGTTGTTTTAAAAATATAAATATGTACTTTTCTTAATAAAATATTTATGCTAGGGACTTTATATGCCTAATAAAATTTGGCCATAACCTAACCATGAGAATGGTTATACACAAGACGTATTATTATAAAGGCCTTCTAAAGAAAATCTAACTTTAAAAAATTTAATCATTAAAATGTTTTTGAATTCTTTGAAAAATAGTAATAGATGGAAGTCATCGGTAAGCAATACTATAAATATAATTTAATCAGATTATTAAAAGATGACAGAAATTTCATTCCTACTTCTATTACGGCAAAAAACATGTTAACACGAGGTGGCTACACGCAATACATACACAAAAATAAAAAGCAACGATTATATAAAAAAACAGCGTTCTGAATAGCTTTTATTAATGATTTTCGTTATCATTAGAATATCCTCACGAGTATTTACACGAATGTTATCATCTGTCCAGCGTCTTATAAAAATATCAAATACTATAAATACAGAAATTCTGTAAACGCCTCATTACCGTGCATGAATCGGTTGGAACGTTTCCATTAATGTATAAATCTGTCTGCACTCAAGCTTATCAATATTATACCGTTACAGTAATTATAGCTTACTTAACATTATTTACAACTTATTACGAAGCTTAACGAAGTGTATTGAATTAAATATAAAATATAAAATCGTTTCATTCTATACGTGCACACGTTTACGTGTGCTCGCTTATCTGTTATAACCGGGGTACAAAGTCGAATTGTCGACACGGGAAAAACAAAAAGAAAAATGGCACATCCGACGAGAAATAAATGCTATATCAGGCTCGATTAAACGTTACTATTTACACGCGACAAGACGCGATACAATTTTCACGCTCAGCATAGTTAGAAAATCTCAACTTTAAGCTCTTTTTCTCTCTTTCATACACATACACACACATACACCACCATAGCAGTCTACGAAGATAGGAACATAAGTTAATCGCGACGCGCAAAAACGTCGCATCGTCGTCCAACAACGACAGCACGTGATTCAAACATGTCTTTTCTTTATTTTTCAACTTTTTTATTTGCTTTGCATTCGCTCCCAATCGTGAGTTCAGAAGTATTTATCATCGACAGACGCGAACTTGACCTCACATTTCCCCCACTCAAATTTTACAGTTTCTCGTTCCACTTTATTCTTTTTTAAACAACCGACATTGAATACTGGCTGTTCACGTGAAACGTTCGCAATCTCTCGAACTTGGCGTCCCAAACTATACATCGATATCGATTGTCGATTTGGCGCCAAAATAGATCTTTACCTATTCCTGCGCGTTGATAGTCGAAATAAATTATTGTCTATTCTCATTCGTCCTCACATGGATCGTATTCAAGGGTCGCGCGCATGCGCTTTACTAACATTGCAAACACTCTGCAACACTTTATATTTCGTATATTTCTATGCGCACGATGCGTGCAGCAATGTGTGCGAGAGAAAGAACGATATTAAATCTACTTTTCTACTAACAACCAAATGAATACATTAAATATAGGCTATTATAGTAGAGTCAATACTTCGGTCAACGAGAGGCCATCTCTTTGTCGTAACTCGACCAATTTCAGTAATCACCTTTTTACTTAGAGTTGTCTCTCTATTGTATATTTTTAGTTCGTCAATCATATACATGGTGTACAAAAATATGTGAATGAGAAGAAGAATTGAAGATATAGGAAGTACACAGAATAAAAGGTCATGGGGTATATGGTACCATGAACATGGCAAATTACCACGCATATTCGAACCAATCAGAGCTAAGATGCGCAGAATGCATGACAACTTGTCGTATGTTATGGTCTTTCGTTGAACGAAGAATATTTGTATTGCCGGTTGAGCGAGTTTTCTCTTAAAGAGATTTAGAACTTTTCAAATCGGTAAGTTCTCAAATTTTTTAAGTCCTACGTTTATAAATTTGATCCCGTGACAATATACGAAAATCTACTAACCGGTGCCCGCAAATGTTTACGCGCCATGTGCCGGTTTCTCGCAAAGTGGTTGTCCATCACCTTTTCCCACTATTCGTACTAATTGTCCACGTTGTATGCAAACGAAAAAGTGGAAAACGGATAATAGTGGGGTAACACGGGCGGTGGGGGACCTCTCGAGCTCAGTCGAGTTGTGCGAAGCGAGCTTATTCTTTCGTCAAATTGACGATACGATAATCTCTTACCATCGAAATCTTTCGTCGAAGATCTCCGTTCAAATAAAAATCGATTCGTTTCTAAACGTTACTTTTTAGTTCGTAGGTTACTGCACTACTCCTAACGGCGGATTATGTTGCACAGGTTGCGCCCTGATCATGCCAGCCAGCCGCCTGAACGGGAGCTGCAGGTGATAGTAAGCGCAGTAGGGCAAGGGGTCCCAGTAAGTGAACAGAGCTTCCCGTTTGTCGAGCACGGTGCCTATCATGTGGGGCGCAGTTTCCCCCGTTGGTCGTTTCAGTGCACAGGCAACCGCATCGGGCAATGAATGTCTGTCCGCATTGAAGAAAATGCCGGAGTTCTGTCTGGAGAAGTGCCTGCACGGTCTCCAAACCAATCGAGGGTGTATACCAGTGTGACAGATGTAAGGTAGACTAACTCCGACCCGACATCCGATAGGTACCAATTCTCCGTCTTCCGCTACTGCCAGCCGGAAACTCAGGTGTCCGTTGATCCTCGAGCCGAAGGACCGTCCAAAGAACTGATTCAACCACTGCATCACTTCCGGCCGTTCCTCCGGTATCAAGCCTCGCTCCTCGTCCACCATACAGGTTACGTTCGCTACAATTTTCGACTCCTTGACCGTAGTACAGGTGATGTAATGCTTCCCATTAGGGTCTCGAACTACTACCCAGGGTTTATTCTCGCTGATCTCGTGTTGCTGGTTGCGGAACTCCCTCGCGGTCGGCGGCAAGATCACCTTACCCCTGTCGCTCATTCCAGCAGGTCCCGCGGGCAGCATCAGGTACCTGCCGGTGGTGAAGGCGTTCTGCTCGTACAACCTGGACACGTCCTGCATAGATCGCAGCACGGAGTGATGAGGCGTGGGTAAGGACAAGGCTCGACATCTTCGCAGCAGTTCCAGAGGATCGTCCAAGGCTGTCACTTCACTGGCACTGGGCACGAAACATTCACAACCCATGACCTCCAAGTAGGGTTTCGCCAGGGCGTCGTAATAGGCCGTGTTAGTGGCGCTCACCGGAATGTAGTAAACCGCCTTCTCTTTTTGAACGATGTCCTTCAGCGCTTTAATGTACTTGATGGCGTTGCCCGGCCCGGGTTTCGGGATCGTATAAAACTTGGAGCAAGCTGTGGAAAATTTAGCCAGCCCGAATAGTCCATCCAGTTCGCAGACCACCACCCTGGCCCCGGCTTTGTAGAAATTGCGGGCCAGGTGAACCGCCTGCACCGTGCTGCCTCCGCTGATCAGCACACAGCGTTTGTTTCGGGTCCTCTCCGAGGTCGGAGTATAGAGTACGGTCAGGAACCACTTGATAGCGGTGACAGGGAACTGGAAGAGTACCCACAGCATGTAGATCCAAATGGACACCCATAGCGCCGGAGCCCAGAACGCGTAGGTTATCCCGTTCACGATGCTTTGAAATATTCCGAGCACCACGCCGACGTAAGCGAGTAGTACCTTGAGCAGCAACGAACCGTTTCGATTGTGGTTTTGTCCTTGCGTCGGCTGAGCCTGCTGGTTCAATTGTAACCTTTGTTGCTGCTGTTGCTGCTGACGTCTCGGGGAGAAGATGACAGTTGGGGCGACCGAGTTATTCGACGAGTAAGACACGTTCGATGCGTTGGAGGAGTTGGATATGTTCGATATCGATCGTTTCAGGGTCGATATCGGTGACACGAAGGGCGGCGAAGTGGACAGGGGCGAGCTGGGCATGGGCGGCGACACACTGTTGCTCCTGGAAATCGACGGGCTCGAGGACCAGAACCTCGAGACGTTCTCGCTGGTGCAGGCTGGCATTTTCGAATTTTCTTGGGTTCTTATGTCTTTTTAACTGGTAGCTTGTAGAAAGAGTTAATCGCGATCAATCCGAGCCTAACTGGTGAACCGTTCTCTCAAACCACGGATTCATAGCTCGATCTTGAGACGAAAGTCTGAACGAGAAGACTCGAGGGAGGGCACACGTGCACCGCACTCGACGGACACTCGCTGATCTAGCAACTCGAAGGAAAGCTTTTGCTCGCGATTTGCCAACGAATTCGCCGGTATGCACACGCAGCTTTAACTGAGGCCGGTCCTCCGGTTTCTTGGTCTCTTATGCGTTCTGCATCTCGGACGCACTATGAACCGGGCTCTTATCTAATCGTGCAGCCTCAGACACCGTGGCTGAAAGAAAGAAGGAATCGGGTCCTCGCTGTGATCAACGTCTCGCCGTATTTTTTTCTTTTCTCTTCTTTTTTTTAGTCTGATAGAAAACTAGTCGATCAGTTAAGCAATTAGAATTAGATATAGATATAGATACATTAAATGTGTGTTATATGTGCATGTAGTAAAATGCAAACGTTTCGGAACGAATGCATTTTTTACGATTATTGTTCATTTCATCTGATTTATAATTAAAGTATATTTTTATTATTATTAGTATTTTGTGTTCAATACCTTGATGTTGATAGAATTTTTTCTGTAAATAAATATCGAGAAGAAATATCGTCTGAATTTTTAGGTTAATAATTAGGTTAATAATTTATAATTTCGATTAATTTTATCATTATTGTTTGCATACGATTTGACGAAGTATTAAAAAATTATAATATAATAGTATAAGTATAATATAATAATAAACGTCGAACTTTAATAATAATTCTTGGTAAGGCCATAGACGGAAATAGTTGCAATTCGTACATTTAGACGAAAACGCGCCATAGAGAGCGCTCCATGACAGATGTCCCTAAAGACGCTTGAAGATTCTACAAGTTCTAAAAAATACAGGAAGAAGATAGTAATGTAAAATAATAATATACACAACACGAGTTGCAATAAATTTCTAATTTGATTTTATTTTTTTTTTTTCAAAACATTTAGCACACAGTTTGTATGAAATTTTAAGACCAAAAATATTTTCTAAATAACAGTAAACACCAAATTAAGTAATGCCATTTCATTTCCATATAATTGAACAACAAATTTTCTCATATACCTTGGAATATAAAGCCTTTAAGTTGTTTAATTGAATCGTGCCAAATTGAATTACGTTCATCTGAAATGCGGCAAATTGAATCGTGTCGAATCGAACTGTGTCACAGTAAACGCAGCTTTGTGCACTTATCTCAAAACGCATTTAACTTTTGTCTTATCACGTGTTTTTATATTTCGTGGAACAGTTATCATTATTAACATTTAATCAATTTTAAAAGTGCCGCGGTTTAGTGCTGAAAGCTACTACCACCAGTAGGTACTTTTGAAATACAGCAAAATAATGCGATATGTAAAAATGATTATGATAACGATGGTATCGATATTCAAGATTTGTTTTTAGTATTGATACAGAATATTTTAATTAAGTAAACTATTAAGATACAACCATTTGTTATTTAAACAAGGGGGGTGTATGACAAAGTATGACGTCCGTCTTCACTACCTCCATGGTTGAAATTTAAACTTGACGCAACTGTCAACGGCCGTCAGATTGTTCTTGATTTCTGAACAATTTCGGTTTGTAGCACTCGTTCAGCGTAAAATGGCAACAGCAAGGAGCAAGGCAAGAACGTACGTAACATCTTTAATACAATAATTCTTCCATTAGTTTGCTAAATGTAATTTAAATATACAATAATATTTTCCTTACCCTCCAGGGGTTACATTTAAATTTGAATCTATATTGTTTTCAAATGAAATGTTCTTTTTATTTCTGTCTTAAATAAAATTGGAGCAAGTAGAATCAATAAAATCAGTTATTTATTTCAGTCAGAAGAAAAATGCAACAACACAAACAAGTCCAACAGATACTATGATAGAAATAGCTCACTTGCAGGAACAGGTGAAGCTTCTTACAATTGAAAATGATCACCTGAGAAAATATACTACGGAAGAGCTATCCAGTAGACTGAAACCTACAACACCTTTGATAAGACCAAATGATATTGAGAACACTCCTAAACGCTCAAAATCAGTACAAAGAAATTTACAGACTCCAAGTACACAGGAAAAGGGTAACAAATTCTCAACACGTTGTGCGTGTAAGGGAAAATGTTTTTCTAAACATTGTGGTTGTGTGAAAAAGAATGTTCTTTGTGGAGCATTATGTAAATGTGATATTACCATTTGTAAAAATCAGGTAAATAATTCTTTTATTTTATTAATAGGATTACTACACAACATTTGTACTGTGCATAAATCAGAAATCAACTTTGCAGGAAAATAGAGATGAGGATCAAAATAAAGAAAACTTGGAAAATAATGAGTTAGCACCCAAAAACATCGAAAACAAAGAAATAAACAATAAGCATTTATCAAATGCTGCAGAGAGCAAAAGTATGTTTAGTCCAGATGTTACACAAGGTGATTCAGATTTTAATATTGAAGAAGTAAGGGAATCTTTATACTTTGGAAGTCCTAAGCAGTTAGTATTTGATACAAATAAAGAGGAAGATGAAGAAGAAGAAAATGAGAAACGAACTACAAGAAGAGGAGGCACTAAGAAATCAGCTGAACTTGATGAAAATAATCAGAAAAGTGCAACAAAAAGGAATGTTAGACTTAGAAAACTTTTTGTCGATGCAGATGCTACGAAAAATAGGAAACAGCAGGAAAACAAAAATATTTTAAATAAAGAAGAGGAAGACCTGAATGATAAAGAAACAAAAAGAGGTGTAAGAAGAAGTATTCCAGATTTAGTAGAACCTCAAATGGATGAAAAAATAAAAGAAAATAGTATGGTATCATTGAGGCATGGTCAGAAAGGATCAAAAGTATCTAAAAATAAACCAAATGGAAGATATGTTAACAATGTAGAATCAGAAGGTGAGAAATTCAATTAAAAATTGAAAATTAAAATAATTGTACTAATAATTATTTTTGTTAACAAAGTTGTACAGAAAAAAAGTCCTGACTCTACCGCAAATAATACAGGAGCATCACGTGATGAGATAAATAATGCTTCTAAATTATTTGAACAAAAAGGAAAGAATTCTGAAGACATAAAAACTTCAAGTAAAAATGAATCATATAGTATAAATGAGGTAATAAATTCTTTGACTTGGAACTTTAAGTAATTTGAATGTGTATTAATAAGTTTCTTTATTTTTTCTTTTAGAACGATAATAACGATTTTAATCCAATGCAACCTAAACACGAATTGACCAGAACACCAATTCGAGGATTTTCAACATCTAGCGAGGAAAATACTGATATATCATTAACCACATCTGTTAAATCAGAAGAAGAGCGTCAAATTCCTGAAGGTAAATTACAGTGTATTTATAGTTTATTACAATCATATTACTTGGATGTAAGAAGAGCATCAAGACACTTGATTTGACTTCAATGTCATGAGGTTCTTCTTGCCTCCAGTAGTACAATTTAATTAATTAAGAAAATAATCGGTACGATTTTTATTATACCAGTATTCAATCAACCTGAAGTAGATTGGGAAGAATATCAATCTCAACTTGTTGCATGTAGAAAGTGCAAGAGAAAATTCCATCCACTTAGAATTAAGAAACATGAGTCCTGCTGTAAAAAGGTGTGAACAGTAATCTTGTATAAAGTTTTTACACTTTTTTTTATCTTATCTACTAATAATATCAATGAGTAATAAATTTTACTGTACGAGAAAGGATAGGGTTAATAATAAAGTAAATTTGTTACAACTTTGGCCCATTTAATATAATTATACCATCAGAATCTACTATACAATATTTCTCAAATACCAACTAACAATACAATAGAACTACCTACATACAGTATATACGTATATAATGATTGGTATGTATACATGTATGTAATTCTTATATGCGACTCGAAAAGATAACACGCATGTACACAGAATCACACACGTTCGAAACGCATACGTACCCGTATTCAACACTGATTATTAGAATATTTCATGTACTATTTTCTAAGTTTTACTTATTATACATTTCTATAATAACTAACATTTTTTAATATTTTTTGTACACTTCTATATATGTACAATTTGGGGTCAAATTATATCTATTGGAGGTACACATATACTAATATTGTAATATTGCAAAATTAATAGCTGCCCACTTTGTTCTAGTGCTTAAGAAAATATAATTTGATGTATCGAAACGAAATGATATTTTCTGACAGTCTCTTAGAAAGTTTCATAATTATTATAATTAGTTACGTATTAGCATAGTATATGCTTTCATAAAATGATGGAATCAAACAAATCACAGTATACTAAAGTTGTAAGAAATAAAATTATTGTTCGCACAATAGCAAAATGACAATAATTCCAAGAATGAAATTAGCTTTCTTTTTATATCATAATATATAAGTATAATCCTTAATCCATTTTTCTCTTTAGATATATACTGTGTTAATGACACAGTTTAATATAGATTTTTAAATAAAACATCGCTTCCATACATTGTAATAAAATACACAATAAATTGTATGTAAAGATCTATTTTATAATACATGTGGTATACAGACACTAATGCATGGTAATATGATTACAAATAATACTGCTTGAAAATATAAAACTGTTCAGAATAAAAGAAATTATAAAGGATATCCAAAACGAACATGACTAGAAACGATACTTATTACCTCTATAAAGTAATTATGTTCTGTTTATACACAATTATCTAATTTCTTCTTAACAAAATAATATATTCTTTTACAGTTAGATCCATCCCACCCTTAGACAATTTAAACTCTTTAAAACCATCTTCGTTTATCGCTTGGGTTTATCTTGAGAAATAGGTAGAAAATACTTTTTCAAAGTAACCAGTACAGCATGGATTAGAATTAATTGCAAGCTTTCCAATTCCATCGAAGAACTAAGCATAAGTTTTGTATCGTGTATATATAAGTAGGAGTACAAAAGTAAAGATAAATGGCAATGTTTTATTAGAACTGGCATTTAATAATGACACACAGATATTACTTGCATAAGATATTATTTGATAACTCTTTTTATGTGATTGCATAATTAAGAGTTTCAAGTGTTAAAGCTCATGCACACCATTTCCAGCATCTATTTTTGAACCTCGTACCAAATGCATCCTTTTTGAAAGGATGCTCGTTAACATTGTGCTTGTAATTATATTTGACTAGTCATGGTAGTACTCTGTTGTACCACATTAAAACAATATTTGACGTATTTAAGTTGTGTCCTCCTCATTCACAATATTTAATCGTCGCACTATCTCTTATTCTTGTTCCTTATAAAATTTGTGCCTTTAGAAAAATGGAAGTGTATCGTCGATAGAATACAAATGGTAGAATTCGTTATTCATACAAGGAGACAACTTTTTTTCTCTTTAAATACCGCGGTTGTCTTATTTATACAAATTTTTGTATATTTCGCCTGCTCATGGATTCTTGTTAGCCTTTAGATAAATTTAATTTTTTTCCCCAGAAATATGTTGCTTTCACGATTCTGTACCATTTCAAAATTCTATAAAACGCTTATCCAAGAGCACGTTTTTAATTTACCTCTGTTGTGTTACTATTAATTTTACAGATACGATCACGATATATAATTTGTGAACAAACGAGCGTATTCCACATTTATGACATTGCTTATAACATTACTGCTGGTTTTAGAGTCTATGGTTTCCATTTAACCATCTTACAGTTAATAACACTTTTACATAATTATGGTATTGTCTATTATAAAGTTACAAGTTATTATATATATATATGTATATATATATATGTATATACCTGTAGAGGCAGCGGTCACAAAGGGTGCATTGCAATTGCATATCTCTTTTTTTCTTTTTCTTTAGATCATAACATATATATTCTTGAATTTCAAGACTATAAATATTTCAATTCTATGCAATGGAAAAATAAAAGACCTGCTTTTCATGGTACAGTAATAAATTACGTACCACTGACAATTCTTATAATAGTTCACACCGAGTATTATCACTGTGTTATGTACAGAACATATTTATTTTATAAAGAAACAAATAAATTAACATTTTATTCAATTGTAATTACAAGTAAAATATAAAGTAGAAGAGAACAGTGCGAACAATACTCGGTGCAGTTATAATTTTTGGTAAATTTCAAGATACTGAATCTTATATTTTTCCATTAACAATATTGACATCTGGTATCATTTTTCTACTAATAATTTAAAATAATTGTTTAATATAATCAATGTAAGAAACGATATAAGCATTGTGACAGGGAAATTAATCGCATAAATAGTACATAGCGTTCTACGTAGTTATTAATAACAACGTTCAAAATTTATTTATCTTAAATTCATTAAATTAAAATAGGAAAGAAAAGAATCACAGATCACGCACATTAAATATCGATATTATACATGATTTCATCGTTAAAAAAAGAAATGAATTAAATATATAACATAAAATCTGACTGTACACGTTGTTCTTCGACAAGTATAAAGTATAAACATACACGACGTAGAAAAGTATCAGAAACGATTGGAAATTCAAAAACGAAGAACGTGTTCGTGTTTCGCAATGTGTGCTTTGTAGACTTTCATTGTCACGTCAATTTCCACAATACTGATATCCGTCCAATACAAACCTGTCGATAAAGTGAACCAGGCCGATTCTTTCTAGGAAATCCTAGTTTATTAGAATAGTAAAAAGTATACATATGCAACGTTATAACATCGACAGAAATGTATTGCAAGGTTCATAAATCAATTATATAAATAAAAAGAAATTGAAATAATTTCAATTCTATTTGATCATACGAAAAATTGAAATGCAGCGATCAGTTTTCCTGCCTTTCTCTTAGAAATGCAAGAGTGTCATAACAGAAGATACGAACAAAAAATGAAATGCACAGTTTCATTTCTCTTGCACAACAATTCGAAACAGAGACACAAAGAGGTACTTCGTGATTATGTACATTCTGTACCTCTTCTAGAACCAATAACTTACACGAAACCGTACAACAGACTGTTATATTTAAGTGCTGCTCTCAGCAGAATGCTGGGAGCGTAATGACGAGTAACAACCTTGACAAACTCTAACAGGTTTGAAAATTCCAAGCCTCGATATTTTCGACTCGAATCGACTGCACCTGTACATGGAAATACAAAAAAGGTTAATAAAGGATACATTAACCATTAAAGTACGAAGCAGACGAAATTCCTTGGTAGCTACACAGCATCATAAAATTTACATTGTAGTATCATAACTTACTTTGAACAGAACACCTGTCCACAGTTACGACAGTGATGTCTCCTCTCATAAAGATTGAATCTAACACCGCAACCAACACAACAGTCAGCTCCTTCATCTTTTAACCAGTGATCAGCCACTGTACGTCCTGGTTGTTCGCAGACACTCCATGAAAACACTCTTCCTCTTGTATCTCCAACATATACTGTCCTATGATCCCTGCAATTGAGATGTATGTTACTTCATATTTAATGAAGTTTCAAGTTTACTTGTCGCCACTTGATTATGATTCAATACACCATCTCTATATCATCTCGGGGACTTCAATTATGTATACATATAATATTAAGCGAGGAGTATATATCAACATTTTACCTTGATACTGCTAGAGCCGTTATAGATGCCGGTTCCGCATTATCTTTGCGATCATACGCAGTATGCATCGTTAATTTGCTTCTAAACACTAACTGTCGTTGCCACTTAAAACCGTCTCTCAAAATATTCTGTGGATTAATTTTCTTAGGTTTCGTATCAGCTTCGGTAACCATGACGAAGCTATCCGTTAAACTAGTATCACTTTTACTAGCTCGCAGAGCTCCCTCGGAATCTCCAGCATTGCTGGATAACTCACTGTGAAATAATCGAGTTGTTATCGGTAGAAAGGACACGAAGGATTTTGCGAAATGAGTTGATACCTCGTTTGTGTACCCTCGCTGTCCGCGCGTCCACCGCCCTCGCTTTTCCGAAACATCGGATTTCCTCGACTTTTCCTTCGAAGCACGACCGTAGGCGTGTTGTTGTTTTGCGGCGATGGTTTATTGCTCGAACCGTTGCTCGACTCGTTGTCCGAACATTCTTCTTTCTCTTCGTGCAATCTCGACGCTTCCTTCGAATTCTCCGCTTCCGATAGACTACTCTCGGAGCCGCTCTTTGCAAGCATACTTGATCCTTCGGCAGAAATACTCATTTGTTTAACTAATTCATGTACCCGTTTTTTAGTATCCTCATTTTGATCGTCGTTTGTATTTATCTTGGTATTCTTCTCTTTGGTAACAGAAACTTCCTCTGGCTTTTCTTCTTCTGCAGGCACTTGTACATAATCCATCGACCACATCTATAAAACAGTTTATATTTAATTTGTGGTCATGGTTGTACATTTTATTTATATATTATTATTCTTACACGAGCTACACCGTCCGTCGATCCTGTCATAATAACGTTTTGCGAATCCCATTCGTGGGTTTGACTGAAAGCAACGCATAAAATTTGCTGCATTCTATCTGCACGACCAACACACGTGTTGACACTTGCTAGTTCCTCTCCATTGATGCTCCATACGTGTAGCCATGTGGCTGCACACGTTGCTATATCTCCCTGTTAAAATTATATTAAATTTAAATATTTTATGAACTTACATTCTTCTTCGGGTTCAGATTATTATGTTGTACTTAAACTAATTCAAACGTACCGTCAATTCATTTATGGCTACTGCAGCTACCGGTCCTGCGTGTCCTCTAAGTTGACGAACAAACAAACATCGAGACAAGTCCCATATGATTGCCGTACCGTCGCGAGATCCTGATACAATCACATTGTATGCTGGACTTGATGATAAACACGTAACAGCATCGGTGTGACCGTACAAACATTGTTTAATAGAAAGTTGTCTCTTGGTATATTCCCAAACCGTCACAACCTATAATATAATTACACTTTAAGCAAGCGATCAATAAAAATAAAATTTATGCAGTGACTTACAGAGCTTGTGCCAGCAGTTACTATTGATTTGGAAGACGGACAAACGCAAGCTACTATTTCACCGCTACTTTGTATCATAGCTTCACAGACAAATATTGCTTTATCGCTGTCATAGTTTCCTATTCTGAGGGAATGATCTGCGAAACCCCATGCAACATATTTGTTATATGATGGAGGAATAAGCGTTTTATTTTGTTCCACAGCTAATACTGCTTTATCAATGTGAAGTATTTGTCCAACAGGACCCTTCAGTTCTGAAATAAAATAAATTTGACAATTGTAATAAACATAGGATTAAACAAGTACATAAAAAAATGGTAACAAAAATATGAAAATGACAAACCTTTAATAGGTTGAAGCGAGGGTTGCAGATTATCAAGGTTATGGAAGAACAATTTGTCAGATGTGGTAATGCTTAAGCCAGGAGTAATAGGTCCAGGGTCGATGACGCTGGTTCTTTGCGTCATCTTTTTCGCTGGATGTGGTTTTTTAAACAGTTGTTTCGGTATTTGACCAAAGTTGTTGATGAATCCAATAGTAGCATTCTTTTTTAGAGGATCATCAATACTAAAATATGCATGTTACAAATTATAAAAATTGAATCATGCAAGTATTATTAGAAGACAATCAACTATTAATAAGCTTACTTGTAAATATCAACGTTGCCTTCATAGAATAAATGATGAAATACATTCACTGCTTCAACTGCAGCAGGCCCATTTTGTTTACAGCCAAATATTAGGTCAATCCATTGATGCAGATGTTGTGATACATAATCGCATTCCAAAGCAAGGCGATGCACGCGTATAAATTCTCTAGGATCCTGTTTTGCCCATGGCGGAAGTACAATATCCCCCAACTGTACACCGCTTTGTTTAGAACCTAAGAATATAGTAAAAAATTGATCATAACTGTTTTGCTAATAGCTCATGAAAATTTGATCATATGATATTTACCTAAATCAAAGTGATTAGAATTTACAAGAAACTCTGGAAGATAAAAAAATTCTGGTATAAGTTCTTTGACATCAGCCATATTGTGTTTAGATGCTGAGAGCCAAGCTTCTTTTATACTATTAAACATTCTATCCGCCAGATCAAAATGTCCACCCTAAATAACAAATTTAGAATTATCATTTTTAACCAGTAAATTGAATCAGGCATGACCAAGTGATAGTTCACAGATTTCAGAAAGTCCAAATTTTAAATATAAAATATTGATTAGCTTTTAAATTTTTGAACTTGTTCATGTCTGTCTTAAATTATCAAATGATTCTTTACAAACCTGTAACCGGAGAAAATGTTGCGTGAACGGTTCCATCCTTACCAAGTAAGAACATACTATCATTGCAGAAGAATAATGGGTTCCGTAATGATAAGGAGGAGTTTCTCCATGTGGATCATCCCACTCTTTGTATCTAATTTTAATTAACATTTAAAATATTTATTCACTTATTTACACTGTATTAATGAACTCCACATACCTTTTCTTGAATTGTAATAATCTTTCTGGGCTCTGTGCACCCATAGGTTTACTAAAGTCTCTAAATGTATCTGGATCAGTGAGATCCAATTCTTCGCTATCATAGTCAGCCAAAATCCATGGGAATATTGGGTATTGCATCAAATCGTTATAGCTGCGACCAGCTAAAGTATTAAGATGCATCAAATACTGAAAGTTTGAAATCTCTCCTCTCTGAAAGATCAGTGTTAGATTATATTTGGTTAGATTAGTTTGGTTTCAGTACGAGAATTTAAGATCATTTTAAATACTAACCACCCATCGCTGAGTAACTGAAGTTTCTCCAATTAGATTTGAAAGCAGGCCAGTAGCCTGTTCCACATTTGCCGTTCTTTTCTGACCGGCAACAGATTGCTGAGCACTGTCAGCGATTGCCGTCGCAAATGTCATAAATCTTTGATACACTTTGTTTCTTACTTTTCGTGGGAATGCTAATAAATAATTCCTACCATCTCCGCTAAATACTTCCAACGCCATAGGTTGTAATAAATACCTTCTTTTATGGACTTCCCTATAATACAAAAATATATAAATATAAAACAAGGCTATTGATTCCATTTTCTGAAATTTCAATAACATAATTATGTGCTGAATTACCTGATATCTTCATAGTTGAATTTCGAACACTGCCTCATGGCTCTAGATCTTCTAGGAGAACCTGGCGATGGTAAAATTGGTTCGTAAGCATCGGGTAAGCTTTCGATATCTCTTATTTCTCTGGATTTTAACAATGTGAACCCATCAACTACATAGAAGTGTTCTTTTCCAAATAACAGTAAACCTTCAGTCGTATCTAAACCTTGAATTCTGGCACATCTGAACATGTGACTTATCTGAAAAGACAGACAGATTAGAAGTCATGCTTTGTAACCATTCCATGCTCTTTCAATAAATTATCAATGAGTAGAAACCTTCTCGTGCTCCTCTAACAGTCGTATCAAAGTTTGATTGTCTGGAACAGTCTGATTATTTTCTTCTTCTTGTTCATTATCCTCAGGCGCCTCATCCGGTTCACTGGCATGACGTTCTAATGTACATGGTACCATAGGTGGTTCACTTTCCGTAGACGTTTCATTAACATTTAATGGGGTGTCATCGATAACAGGATCTCGTTCTCTTTCAAACATGCCAGATGAATTACCAAGTTGTTTTAAATAATACTCTTTACTGTCAGTGCTTGTTGCAACTTTGTACTTCAATTGTTTCTGTATAAAATTAAAATGATTAACATTGTATTCGTTAATTAGTTAGCGAGAACAACTTACGTTATCAGGATGCTCTAACTCGGGTCGATAAGGATAATGTATATAGAAGAGTTCGTTCTTCATCATTTTCTTCCTCATTCTACATGGACCCTCGGTCATGTCTAACATCCATTTATCGAGTCTAGTGGGTGTCGGTGGTCCCCAAAGACCACGTTCTCTAGTTAGTTCTGTTTCGGTTTGTAACCATTCCTACACCATACATTATTAGATATTTAAAGAATCACAACATAAGCATGGTCACAAAACATGACTATAGACCGCGAGATTCTTACTTGATATACGTAACGTTGAGTATGTTGATTCGTTTGTATATATTGCAATCGTTTCGCTGCAGCCAGTTCCCGGACCAACGCGATATGTTGTTCCGTCCATTGCGCTACAGTATTCTGATGTAATCTTAATCTAACACGTACGGATTCTTCCTTCCTAACTTTTGTTCGACTGGCCAGTCTCGTTAAACCTCCGGTTACCTTTTGAATTTTCTACAACATACATCTCTTCATAAACCCAGTCCTAAGAAAAGAATTTTGATTGAATGCTTACCGATTGTATTTGATTATGAAGTTCCCAAGGAACTCTGTACGAAGCTTTTCTTTCCATGACAACGTAATTTAACCAAAGCCTGGTTGCAGCTTCGTGTACTTGATCTCTCACTACAGATAATTCAGGAGCTCGTTCGTTACCTACAGGTGCTGGAAGAGTGATTTTAAAAACTTCTTCTATAGCAGGCTTTTTACAAACATATAATTCTTCCCAAACTCTCGTTGCAGCAACAGCCATCAAATTGTGACCTTGATGAGATGTCAGTCTATCGTCACTTGCTTCGACTTGGGGATTAACGTGCCATGTAGTTTTCGCATTAGTATCTAGCATAATTTTTATGTCAGCTGTTAACTGCAATAAGCAGTAGGTTAAGCAGCCAATGAATTCCAATTCATGATTACCAGCGCCAAAAACCAATAACCTGTAAAAGATATTTACAGAAAAAATGTAGAATGCAAAATATACCTCGATAAATAATTTTTTATTAATGCTACCTGTGAGTGGTAAGTTTATGCAATGCTTCTAACACCGCCATTTGATCAGCTATTGAATCTGTGGGTCGTGAAAGTAAAAATAAAATTGTTCTATTTAAACAATGATGAAGACCCTCCATACTAACAATACCAGGTCGTCTTTTTGCTTGCCCAATCAATTTTACAATAAAATCGAACACTTCATGCGGATCTTTCGTTAGGGCACCTATGAATACAGTATTATATTAAATATTAAACTTATTACGAAAGTTGAGAAAATAGTCAGATTTAAAAATTTACCCTGCCATAATTTATCTATTATTCTGGCTGCAACGTAGCACACATTATTGGTTATATTGTTCACTGATCCACCAGGAACAACAGGTAAAGCTGCTTGATCACCGATCAGAACATCCGCAACTAATAAGTGTTCCATTAAAATGGATAAGACTTCTGTTTGATAGCGTGTTTGTTGCCCTGTAGAGGCATATTCTGGCCACGCTTCCAGAACTAAATCAATAACTGGTGGAGATTTCGCGGTGACTGGTAAAGAAAGAGAATCCACTACGATAACTCGTAAAAAGTCCATAACAAACTTCTTTGCGGGATGAGTTGTTAGACCAACGTCCTTCGACGGAGATCTGACCAACACTGGTTCTTGCTATAACAGTAACACCTCATTAATAACAAACTGCATAGATACTCTATCAAAAGAGGATTTCTAAGTCTTGCCTCATCTGCTGGAGTACTAGCTCCGCTGCTGTCTTGACTGGAATTTGCAGGCTTTGGAAATAAAGTACCAGCTAGTGCACCCAACACTTCTGCAGACATGAACACTTGCACGAAGTCAGTGAAATTATGATAAAGGAAGAACAGGAACTGTATTATTGTCACTGGATAATCGCTTAACCATTCAGGCAAAGATTCGGGGCTGTTAAATAAATATGATATATAGATTAATTATTCGAGGAAAAGCCAGCATTATTTTCACTAAGCAGAAACTTACTTTATCGAATAATTATTCAACATCGTTCGTACCATTGCTAGTAGAGTAACCACGGCCTCGGGACAAAGATTAATTCTACTAGCAAAAGATGATCGCGTATGATTTGCTGGGACGCCGAATAGAAAGTTCCATACATTATTCAAATCAAGCTGTTACAAAACAAAAAATTATATTACATTTATGTTTGATTCGAATATTTTTTACTAAACTATTTGTAATATACTGAACTTTTAAAATGACTTTTGAGTCGGTAGGCAATAACTTGACGGGTTGTCCCATCATAAGAGCAATGAATAGAAAGTACAACTCTGGTACCAAATCCACATGTTGCGGTAACAACCATCCCAAATGTTGAAATCCTGGTACATGAAGGCCAGATGGCTTTGATTCACCACCTGACATTTGCTGGTGACAACCTAAAGAAAATTTTTACGAATAAAATACACATAGCTTGAGGTTTTATTTGTTATTATTTAATATATCTTGTGTATACCAAGCGCTAATGCCATCTTATTATGATCTGTATGACGTAACCATCCGCCATTACTGGTTCCTTCCTTAAATTTCTGTAGTATTGGTTGTACAGAAGATACAGCTACTAAAATTCGCAATCCCCATATCACTGTAGTGCTATGCAGGCCAGATTGAAGAAATAATAATATCCAGTCTAACCCTAATACTTTAGCTAATTCTTCACACATACTGAAAATATAATTTAAAGTAAATAACAGACATCTGAATCAAAACAATTTACTTGAAACGATAACTTACTTTACATTCACGTTGGGGCCATTAAATAATAAAAAATGTAGAAGTTGCAAACAACGATTTCTCAGCAGTATATGTTCTCCTTCGCCTTCTTTATTCCCTTCACTTTCGCGAAGGATTAAATGCTTTTCTGAACTCTGGGGTAATGTAGCTACGATAAATTGCCCAAACCTATAACAAGCAATGTATTAATACTAACACCTGTTACCAAATAACTGTGACACAAGGTGTACAAATACAACAAATTACCAAAGTAAGTCAGCTTGTCTAGGTTGACTCAATAAAATACTAAGTAATGCGAGCAAAATTTGTCGTGTAGTACTTTGCTTTACATCGCTCAAAATATGCAACAATTTATGAACCAATTGCAGATCTCTCATTAAACGTAAATTTGTTCGCTTTTCACTTGACTCTGCTATTAATTCATACAAATGCTCTAGAAGTGATCTTAGAAGTTCTCCTGGTGCTTCGTGCCAAACCTATAAAATATTGATTACTTTGTGATGTTTATTACTAGGATTAAATCATTCATGGATAATGAAGAGACATACTTGCAAATCGCATAAGAGATCTTGAAACGCCATAACATTCGGGATTGCACTAGTTTCTCTACCACTGTCAACAGTACCAACAAGGCTAAACGTAAGATGCAAAATGTGACTATTTAAAAGAGGACATTTCCTACGTAGTAACATCGCCAATGTTTGATATCCTCTTCGTCGATCCATTTCTTGTTGGGCCGTTTGATTGGATCTGACAACACAAACTAACGCTTTGACAGCAGCATATAAGGACTCTACATCTTGAGCCATAGCTATCAAACCTATAACACAAATTTAAATTTTCATTTTAAAATTCCAATTACATAAATGGCTATGATTAAAACTGTATTATTTTTGAGATTTTACCCAACAACACTGAGCATCCTCCTACATTATCAATCATTGTAGCGACGGGTCGAGGACTAAAGACTCGAACACCAAGATAACCAACAACTACACCTCCTAGGGCTCTTGCTGGTCCACTAAGATGACCCGCTGAATTATGAAGAACTCTAATAGGTGTGGCATTTTCGTGCGATGACATACCAAGCTATTGAATAAAAACCAATTAACAACGGATAAAATGAAATATAATAAAAAGTAAGAAAAATTATGAGTACTTGTTTAGCAATTGATTTATTATCAGCTCGGCTGTAAACTTTCCTAATTTTAGCTAATGTTAATTGAGACATTGCTTTAGCATTTAATCCAAACACAACTTTCTCTTCTGCAACAAGCGACATTAAAGGTTCTTGTGCTGCAACAAAAATAATAAACTTATTGTGAGTAACATTCATAAGGATAATTAAATGAATATTATCAAATATAAAATTTATGCAAGTACCTGATAGTTGTGGAGCTTGCAGACTACCCATATAATGTGGACCTAGTTTAAATAGTGTTGCTATGCTTTGCGAATTAAATACTTCTTCCACTAAATGACATGGCCCCTGTTTCCATGTAAGCCTTGAATACCTTCGCCAACAAGGTGGTGTTCCTATATAGCCGTACACTGGAGATGCCACTGTTAAATTTGCTGCACCTCCTCCAGGAACTTGTGTAATATAATGAAGCTTTTGACTATGAATATGTTGACCATCTAAGTATAATGAGAAACTTGAATTCTTTAACACAGCACGGTTTAATACGATAGCTATATGATGCCACTGCCCCTCAAGTAAGTCAGGACACCAGACCCTTGCACCACATTCACCAGTCCCTTCTGGTTCCCATTCACCTACATCTAAGCAACATATTACAGGTTAATAGAAATTTCTAATGATTTGTACTCTAATAAAACTTACTTTGTGGCATTGCAGTTTCTTGTGTGGATACAATAATAGCTTTGTCTCTTGCACTAAGTACTGCAGTCAAACAAATTAAATCTTTTGCTGACTGTGGAGTACGTACTAATGTCAATAATCGTACACAGTGGGGATCAGTTCTAGGATCACTAAATTTATCAACACATATCCATGTACTGTAAGTCAAACCAGTTTGTGGAGGAAATAATCTATCGCCTGAAAATTTCAAATTTTTCAATGATGAAATGTACAAGTGCCACTGAACCCATTTAGTTTACATTTGTATTAAGAATTTACCTGAACCAATTCCACCAAGTACACTACTGTCAGCAGCTACAACTGTAGGCGGAGTTGTACTTTGTGGTGCAACACTAGGTAAATATAGACATGCAAATCCTTCTGCACTCATATCAAGTTCTACAAAAGGTGGTAAAGTACAAGAACCGTGGGCGCGAAAATCTTTCGGTGTTGTCATTGATACTAAAGTTTTAATACGAGTTAGTGGTACAGGCCCCCCTCGAGGTTTATTTGGTTCAATATCATCGAGCGAAATGCAACACAATGGATCACCCAAACGTAAAAATTCTCTGAAATAAAAAATATACATATTATATATATTTATTTTTCGAAAATTTATTTTACAACTTACCTTAAATCACGTGGTTCTAAAGACTGTGCTGCAAGTCTTTCTATGATGTACTGTAATGGTTGATGTAAAGGATGTGTTTCATCTTGTAAAGCGATTCTGCCCACAGACAATAATTCACCCGCCATTCCAGCGTCACACATTATTTGCTGATTTCTCTCAGAACGCACTAAACTTTTAATGATTTCAGCGACATATAATTGTAAAGCTAAAGCTACTTGTGGATTTGATGGTTCTGAGATTGATGGAAGTAAATGTAACATTCCAACAACTATGCCAGGATGAACAACAATTGGTTCAGGAGTAGGAGGACTTAAATTTAAAGAATTAATGATGCTTCTCTTTCCACTACCCGGAGAATCAAAAGATTTTTGTTGCTGAAAGAAGATTAAAATACGTTTATGGTTAATATGTTGATAGGTAATAGTACAAATAGTTCCATAAATTGTAAATTAAAAATCACCTCAACGCTGTTTTGTTTGTGACTTGGCGATCTCATTCCTAAACCTGCCAAATTTGGCTTGTCAAAGGAGTCAAGTGCTACATCGTATAGAAGTCGTAGTAATAAGCATGCATATGCTAATGTCTTTGGCATAATGTCTGGAAATACAGGTTCTAGTACGCTTCCAGTAAATAGCGTTGATAACACATTATGATAATTCATAGTTGGTATTATATCTATTTCAGTAAGCTTTGTCTGTGTCGAGAAGCATCCGAGAAGTCGTAACGTATCACACAAACTCGACTGACATATCTGTACAACAAGTATTAATAAAATAATTGTATAATCACTTATAACTATATTTAAATATTTACCTCATGATGAAAGAATTTTGCATTTGCTGGTTCAAATCTCATAGCTGTACTTATTGTGTGAAACACCACATGTAAAAGGACTAATAATTGGGCTTCTTCCTGTGACGTTCTTTTTATTATATCATTACAAGGTTCAGTGTCTTCTGATCTCTGCATGCCTAATTGACCCTCCAAAGATACTAACACTGACATCACATATACAAAACCTCCCACTTTTCGAAAAACCGTTCTTGTTCGATGAGACTCTCGTAAGCAAGCCAATAAAGACTAAAATGAATGATAAGATTTTTTTATGATGCTTAAAAACTTAACAAATAAAATTAACATTCAAAAACGAACCTTTAATATATGTGTTTTTAATACCAAAGCATTAGAGGGTGCTGAGTGCATGACTGCTAGCAGAGTTGCCATGTCATCATCTCCTCCTGCGCTAAGTATTAATTCTCTAACAATACCAAGTGCTTGATAACGACAATCCATATATGGTACTAAATTATGCGCGCAACGTGCTCCACCACATTCCCTAAAAACATTAGCATTTTGAACATTGCCTGCTAACAATGTCGTCAAGGCTTCCATTACTAAGGCACCCAATCGTTCATCCTCTGGGCAGATTTTATATTCTGAAAGAAATACATATTTTTATAAATTAAAAGACAAATTTATCCACTGATGAAAGATATTAAAAAATGGGAAAGAATGATACCTATTCCTTGATCATGTGCAGCTTGTTTATCTTTAAGCAGAGTTGCATAACGATGAAGACATGTAACAAAGACTTCCAACATACCCACTTCTCTGTAGACATCCTTAAAGATATTATTATGCCTGAAAATATATATTAAAATAAATAAGAAATATTTTGCCAAAAAACTAATTAGTAAAAAATTTGATACATTACCTGAGGATATTAAGAAGTGTTTCCATGCATAAGATACTGCAGCTAGTGGAATTATTTGTTTTGAGTAATATAGATAAAGATATAAGTTCCTTACAAGGCACAAAATTAAGTTGAAACACTATAAATTCCAATAGCTGAAAGAATTTTACTTGTATTTCTCGATTTTTTAGGTGAATCTTTTCTGCAAATTGGGATAGTGTATTTTGTCCTTCAAGTATAAAATAATTGGCATTGTCACTATGATATACGCTAGATATTGCATCAAGAATTGTACAACATAAAAGAGGTGAATTCGATTTTACAAAAACAGATTGTAATACTTGAAATGCCTGAATATTTCGAACACTCCCTCCTGTAAAGGATACAATATTTTAAAACAAAATTCACCTGAAACATTTAATGGTTATAGGACAATTTTTGTATGCTTGTACCTCTATTACTTGGTTGTGGTAAAGTAAAACCAAGCATCTGAAATAGAGATCCCATGCTAGCTTGACTTGGCTTTAATTCTGTGTGTCCACACATTGTTAAAGATGCTAGCATAAGCACTAAATTCCGAATGGCATCTTGTGCCTCTGCTCTGTTATCTTGTTCTAACCGTGATGGAGCATGTCTGCAGGACATAAACAATTGTAAAATTGGTAATAAACAGTAATATAGACATTAAAACCACAATTCTCACTTTAGTAAAAATTCTGATAGAAAGATATATCCTTGACAAGCGCGAAAATCGTCCAGGAGTGTCTGAGATACCTCGCTAGAGTCTTTTAAAAAACAGAATACTGTGACAAACATTTCTACAACTTCCAATGGTGCCAGTTCAGGTACACGTTGCATATTATCAACACATAACGCTATACATCCTTTATCTATAATTAAAAGAGATGATATCAAAATATTTTTTAATATACATGCATCTAATTGTATGAAAAAAATGTTGAACAATGCTTACTATGAATGTAGCTTACTACATTTTGAGTAAGTCCATGTCGTGACAAAGTCATTAATACTTCTGCTGCACTTTTGCGCCACATTACATTGTAATGAGGACACCAACAAGTTATTGCTGAGAATAGTAAAGTTAGATCATCTTTACGGGCAAGTTCTTCTGCTGGATAAGGGTGACTACACAGTCTCACCAATAGCTATAAATTAAAATATTTTTCAAAATAAGAGTTTCATAAAAAATTTAGAATATGCTGAAGATAATTAAAAAATTTTATCAACATATTAACCTGAACAAATATTTTTTGTAAAAGTATTCTACGTTGTTTTGGTGTAAATTCGCTATTTGTGTCTGTAATCTCAGCTTCATCGTCAATCATTTCAGGTAAATCAAAAAACAGGTACAAACATTTAACCAATGTTGATGGAACAGAAGCAGTAGTCATTGCCTGACAGAACATAAATATTACATTAACAGAGGACATATTAGTTAAAATAATAAAAATTGAATTACAATATATACCTGTATCAGGGAAGTATCACCTGCTGCAAGCAAATTTAGTGCAGACAATAACATCCAACCATTACTCGATTCTTCACTGTTTTCAATTTCTAAAAATTTTACAATAGCACAGCTTGCAGTTTCAGTGCTCTGATTACTTGCCCTTTTTCTAATTTCAGATACCATTAGTCTAGATACTTGTTGCGTAAATGCCAAGATATCCCAAAATTTTTCACTCATATCTCCTGCTGGACTAGATCCAAATACCTAAAAATTAATTACTTGAAATTGGTAGAAGTTTTGTTTATTTAGTTTTTATTTAACAAACGTTTAAATATTTATTTTCTACTTGCATTCATATAAGACATATAAACTTACTTTACAAAATAATGGCAACATATTATATAGTTTATCATCACGTTCAGCATCCGAGAGGGGATGTGGGGGATGGGTATATTCAGAAAAAAGTTTTTTAAGGTGCATAAGACCCAAAGCAGTATGCTGAGGATTTGTACCTCCTGCACTATCATCTAAACCACCAGCACCGCTGGAACCCATACCTCCGACACTAGTACCCCCTCGTAATTTACGCATTATGTTCATACTTAATATTTGCTAGAAACACATGAATACATGTATTAACACTAATATTCAAAATCTAAAATTCCATTAAACAGAATGTATCTTTTAACTTACTTCATTCATGTTATGGTGGGTATTACGTGAATGAGTATTTTTACATTTTATATTTCATAAAATTAAATCTACATTTATAATGCTTCAATAATATAAATAAATTAGAATAAAGAAATATAAAAAACATTATAAAGATATAGTCAAAGAATACTTCTCTGTATTATACATAAAATATTTATAAAATGACAAAAATATAATACAAATTACCAAATTCATAATAACTTAATTCATATTACAAATATATAAAATATATGTACGATATAAAATGAAAATTTATCATGTCATTATTATAATCAGGTTCCAAAAAATTTTGTGTTAAAAAAAATAATCATAATTTAAAAAAATGATTAATAAACATATAAAACCGAAAAAGTTAACGTTTGATACAACAATAATATTAAAAATGATCAAATAATCACTCTATATTATCAGAAATTACTTAAAAACGATAAACGAAACTTAAAAACAAATTTTGCAAAATGTAGATGTTAAACAGCAATTATACGATCGGTTTAAATGCTTATCGCACTGTTATTTAAAATATTAACATATCGGAGAACGTATAACATGTGAAAATGGCACATTGTTGTGTAAGACAAGTCGGGACATCGTTTCTCGATTCATTAAACACGACAATCAATTTTTCGGGCAGATGTCATAACAATTTTTACACTTTCAATCAGTGACACTATTCTTCATCGAACGCTCAGTTCAATATTTACGTCTGCTTCCTGTCAAAATGTCAAGTTAGAGTGAAGTTACGATAACTCTCCGTAACCGCCCACGATTCTTACGAAGAAGACTGGATATTGCCACGCGGACATACACTATACTCGCTAAAAGTTAATCAATTATTACCTGAAACGCGTCGGAAATCAGAAAATCCTACATTTTCTTTCGAAAAATTGCTCTATCAGTATGGGTATTTAATATTTCAGTGGCAGCAGCCATCTTCATATTCGACGATTTCTTCGGTCCATGGGCAACGCGATACGTCGATAAATATCACGTGACTACTATTAGTTTGTAGATCTATTCATCTTTCAAATCTTACTATCTTTTTTAAGCAAACAATACGTATCTACCTGCGATTCTTTTAATCAAATAAACTGTTCTTATTCAATCATTTCATTATTTTAGTATTATCTAATCTACTATTTCATATTACTATCCTAGTACTTTACTCTTCCACTATACTATCATTCTACTATTTTATTACTCTATCATACTGTACAAGATTAATAGTTGAATAACAATATAGTGAAATGGCAATATATTGTACATTATGCTTTCCAAAAGATAACAGTATACATATACATAAAATTACAAAACCAAGGCATAAAAGAAAACACCAGGAATATTCCGAAAATTACTTTTTTCATTTATTTTCATTATTACATTATGTACAAAGTATGTATCATTACAAAATCTTGCATTACAGTATGTCTGATTAACAGAAGTCTTTAATTTGCAATGTACTATAATTTTCAACTTGTTCTTTGAAAAAAATCTGAAATTTTTCGCTGTCCAATTTTCTTGGTCGGTGAATCATGTTTACACGAAGATGTAGGGTTTTCATTTGAAATTTGAACTGATTCATTGTAAGTACTATACGAGTCTGTAGATGTTAATACTGTCTGCCAATTTTTATTTTCCATTGATTCATTACAACTATTACTAGCCTGATAAGAAACAGCCTCTTGTTTAACATCTAACAATTCAAGACCAGACAATCGACGTTCGTGATTTGTTTTATTTTGTGTCGTATCTCCTAAAATTTTCCACAACGATTGTTTTCTTTTCTTCTCTGCATTATCGTCATCTTGAATTTGTTCTTTTTTATTTGTACTATCTTTATTCTGAATTGGTTCTTTTTCCGTGATGTTTTTCACTTCTAAATATTCTTCTGCTGGAATCTCCGGTTTCTTTTTATTCGTAGTATCTTCGTCGATATTATTTAACCAAGTTTGTATATTTCCTTCTTCTGTTTCTTGATACTTTTGGATATCCAAATGAAGAGATCGTTTCTCACCGTTGTTAATGCTTTTAGTCTTTTTAAAAACTACTTCTTTTGTCGTAGAATGTTTGGTATGAACGTTTTTACTTAAATAGTGCGACAACGGTTTAATTTTACTTTGATTATATAAAAAACGATAAAAATCCGAATTCCCAGTCGCAGCAAATTCTTGATATTGCCTCAATAATGAAAATATGTGTCCTGTAAGAAATAATCTAATAAATTTCTCGATCAATTTCAAATGTTTCAAAAGTATTTTATTATAAATCGATATACCTATATTTGTTTCGTGTTTTACAAAATGCAAATACATTTCGGCAATTTCATCTCGTAAAGTTACATCTCCAAATGTAAAATAAACCATAGATCGACCGGTTACTGCCGAAGCCATTAGCTGTAATAAAACTTTTAATTTTGGATTTCCACGAAAAGCTCCACATCCCCAATTTCCAGTTCCCACAGGGGGAAGATTGCTTTTATTGCCTTCGCAACCAACAAATCCAACATATGCCTATAAAAAATAAAATTATCAGACTTGAAGTATTTAATAAAACTATACTTGCGTTTAACAATAAATTTGCAACCTTATTGAGCTCCCTTGTTATATTATTTATATTAAATTGTGATTGAGGGTGGGTAAAATAAAGTGCATCGATAGCAACGATAGATGTTAGTCGTCTGCCACTGCTATCTCTAGGGGTTTCATCAACGAAATCTCCCATCCATTTGAAAGTGTTGCTGTAGCCGTTATATTTACTGTATCTTTCTACACCGCTAACAATTAGCGCTTCAGTATCATCTAATTCTTCTGTAACCAACATTGTTACCATCAGTTCAGGACATATTACGAATCTTATTTCTTCTTGCACACATCCTAAACCAAGAACACCACCACCTACATATCTAAAATTATGTCAAATAATTAGAATTATAAATAGATTCGATCTATTACAATATTGATTTAAAAGATTTAAATTACTTGTTTGCAAAATCCACTTGCAGAAACCCAGTTCCTTCAGTTTCTATAGTTCCTTTGCTTGTAACATGTAATGGTAATAACTTTTGTACTTGTTCATCCCATTTTGGACAATCTGATTTTGGAATATAACGTCGCTGAATGGTTACAACACCTTCTGGGGCTGCTCTATGGAAAAATTATAATAAAGTTCAAATTCTATTTCTCCTAAATATAATTAAATATTTATTAAATAAAAAAATTTAATGTATAAAGAATTTTAACGTACCCACCTTTAGATGTTACCCTTCTAAAGTAATGAAATATACATTTCATTTTTTCCATTACAGACTCACATTTATTTCGTTTTTCCTGCTTGTATGCTGAAAACAATCTATGTAAATGAATACATTAATATATATAATATATATAAATGAGTACATAATTATTTATGATTATTCTCTCCACCATGTGAATCAGAATAATCAATAATATACTGTAATAAGTGCTTTGAAGTTCAATCAAGTTGAAAGCTTTAATTACATAACAAAATACCTATTAAAATTGATGTACGGGTATCTTCCATATTCAGAATGTGGATTAGTTGAATTACGTCTTGGAAATGTACAGAAAAATGCATTGGCTAGTAAAGAGGCTATTTGTAATTGGCTCAGACTGATTGTTGCATTAGTGTGACGCTTCAAAAGTGGCACTGCACCAGTTATTAAAACAGGGAGTTGCAAAGCAAGCTGAACCATTTTTGGCATCAATACTTCAAAGAAAATATTTGATTCTTCTTCATCGACTACCTTTAGTTTGAAATTATCATATAATCAAAATATTCAGAAAGGCTATTAATGACTTAGTACACAAATATTGTATATCCACCTTAGACTTCTCAAGGTAAATAAATTTAAAGGTGTGATGATATCTTATATCATATTAAGTAAATACAATATTTGTACACTAAATTATCAATGTAAAAAGGATATGTAAACATAAAAATACTACCTCAGAGAAGAAATGATGCAATGCAGTGAAATCCCAACGTTGTGCATATATGTGATTATAAGAAAGTATTGCAGTTTCTAATTGTTGAGTTGAAACAAAATTTTGAAGTAATGATTCCTGTATTATTTCCCATCTATTCCGATAACGACGAGTTCCTTTCTATAATATTAAAATACAATAACAGAGGTGTAGATGCAATAAATAATATTAAACTGTACAAATTACGTACCTCATCTATTGGATATACACTATGTTTTGAATGTGGCATCCTTACATAATCTTGACACCATTTATCCACTTGATGCATAGGATATGGTTTAGGTGTTCCTCGCACAGGTAATGGTAACTATATAAAATCATTCTTAAATTAAAACACACTTATTGAATAGATTAGTTTAATTTTCCACTTACCGATACTAATACTGTATGAGTTGAAGAAGGGCAAATAGGTGGCAATTCTTGACACTCGTAGACACCTAAGCCCTTACGAATTTCATCCATGCTCATTCCTTTCCATTCAGGTACATCATCCACAGGTTCAGGTTCATTAACATCAACAGACATCGAATTTGCTTTACAAAATCAATCATAATTAAATTAATTTAAAAAAAAATAAAACAAAAAATACAAGATAAGTTCTGTACATGGTATACACATAATATCAGCTTTCAAGAATTTTCTAGTATCAAAAATAAACATAACACAATAATATCTTACAATCATCAAAACTTTCGGGGTTATTTGTCGCGTTATCTACATCGCTGAAGATCTCAGGTGAAAGTGCTTCTTCATCAAATGACAACCCAGGATCCGACATAATTCTTTAACTGGCAGATTCAAAGGTAAATTATAAAAATGGTGAAAGAAAATATCGCTAAATAATGAAATAACAGAATAAAATCCTTACACATAAAAGTAAAATTATAATGTCAGCAGCATAACGTATCTCACAAATAGGTTAATTATTAATGCCAATAAGTTACTGTGAAATACTGATGACTCTGTTCATTGATTCTTCGTAATTTCCTTTTAGATATTTATCATTATTGAAAACGCAATTGACGTATACACTTATTTGGCGCCATAATTTCTTACAGTGTAAACATATTGCGGGAAAATTAGAAACGTACAACAATATACAAAAATGATCATATTTAGCAGATAATATTATCATATATCGTATCAAATTTTACAATTGCACTTTACTTCTTTTTACATTTTTATAGGACATAACATCTTATAAGTACTGAGAATGTATGGAACAGAATTGGGAATACTGTTTGTTCAAAATGGTTTGTTTTGAGTTATGACAAATATACTTTATTTCACGAATGGAACGTATGGCCTCATCCAGTAAAAGAGCGCTTTGCGCAACTTGGCTAACTTCAGTAAGCTCTATTCCACTTAAAGTTATCTTACTATGATGCATTTTCGACTCGGTCAGTCATATATATGCTAGGCAAAAAAGTGTGAATCAGCAGAAGAACTGATGATAATAGAAATAGAAAATAAAAAGTTACTCAATATATACCCTCAGTGTTACAAACGCATTCGCGTTACTCTTGGTTACTAAGCGTACACGAACAAATCAAAACCGAGATGCGCAGAATGAATTGACAAATATATTCTCTCGTTGGATGAATAATAAAATAGTTGATAAAGTAGAGAAGGATTTTACTATGTACTAGTAATTAATAAGTCATATTTTACTTCATTATGTCCCTTATTACCCATTAAACTTTCACAGATAATTTGAACTTAACAAAGTAAAGTTGGCGGGAAAATTTTAAAAAATTTTTGCGTGTTGCAATGAATATCACTGTCAATTAAGTTTTTTTTAGTTACAATCAATGTAACTTCATTTTCTTACTTAAGTATTTTCCGAGACTTTATTGATGCTAGTATATATTGTATAAGTAGCCTAAATTAGCACCGAAAAATCATTATAAGGTTGCACATAAAATACGTTCATAAAGATTATTTCATAACACGATAAAAAGATAACTATACTAAACCTTTCACCTTCCGCACTGAATTGTATTAAAGTTTATCTATCAATATCGTGCAGTTTATCACTATATTCAACAATGTTTCATTTGCATAAATCATTAGCTTATCTATGACAGAACTATACAGCATAGTGCGGTATATAAACGATAATGACAAAATTGACTGTAATTTACCAGAAAAAATAGGTATTATATAATTTATTACTATAATATTAAAATGTATGTTTTTTTTTATCGTGAATTTAAATTTTATGAAGGACAACTAGCGACATATTCATATGTATATAAAAGTATATTTTCAGATCTTTTATTCACTGCCTTGTGAACTTTTCTTGTAAATGATTTATTTATGTATTATCACTCGTCTTGTTAAATATTCCAATAAATAATTAAATGTCGTTATCTTTCGATACCCTTTTCGCTTCTGTGTAATTTTAAAAATGGCCTATTGATGACATATTCCCGATCACGTAACACATTTATATAAACAGATTAGAATAATTAATTACTTAATACCGGATAAAAGACCGAGGTGAAAAAATTGTTAAATAAAAAACGTTTAAGAGTTGTAACTCATTCCGTGCAGTCCCGCTATATAACCAAGAATGTAGTAGGAGTAGAAAAAGATAAAATTGCAACGATCTCATAGTGAGATCGTTCTATGAGCAACGTTCATAGTGAGATAATAAAACTAGCGAGACGCAAAGTCACGTGATTAGACAAACAACTTAAAATAAACTTTATAAGTACATAGTTTATTTATGACAGAAAATAGAAATTATTATCTTGAAAGTAATATATCTTCCACCTCTTCGAACAAATGATTGAAATAAACTATTCGTTTCTTTTTATAGTCGAACGTATTCAAATCTGTTTATTACTTTTATTCGATATCTGTTATCAGAGACAAATATGAATCCAATTTTGTTCGTGTATTGGTTTCGATAATCAAGAAGCCAACAAGTGCGTAACAAATAATAAAAAATAAAGGGGAGATTGATTGAAGGGGAGTTTGATATTGCCGCTCGGCCTGCGCGTAACTAAAATCAATGAGAGACACCGGCAAATGTGTCAGTGCGACTCCACCAACGTAGCATCGGAGTTGTACTCCGTCTTGGGTGTCTTCGATTTTCTTCGTCTTTTCGCACGAAATACGTGTTATCGCCCGATAAAAATCATGTAAGATTAGAGATCGAGATGCCAAGTCAGGAAGATATGGACCTTTGTACCGACAAGGTACTGTCCAAAGGGAGAATACTTCAGGAATTGACCAAAGCTGTCAAACTGGTGAGTGCTGTCTGCTTGAGCATAGGGGCCGACATATATCAAGGCCATACGTCATCTACATATCTATCTACACATATGCACTCTTCTAACGCGAATTTCAATATGCATATCGATCTAGTGATCCTTTCCTACGACCCTGTGGATCCTTCTCCGGTGTTCCATGATTGTGAGGCTCTCGACTTAAACGGATTTTCCCTATCTTTTATCTCGCGGATAAAAACTACTTAACCATGACGAAACTGTTGAAATTGAAACGGTACGCACAAATGCATTCACTTGTGCGTTTGATCGTCTAACGGTTAGATGAGTTTATCTTCTTTCTTGTTCTTTAACGCGAACTCGTGTTCGAAAGGTACATGTGCTTCTCTTCGGTCATTACGTTTTCTTGTTTTATGTTTCTAACGATTTACTCTGCCTTTTTTCGTGTCACAATTTCTAGTGTGTGCCTATGTTTCTTTGTTCTCAGTAAACTGTTGGTATTTTTATACACTAAATTTGCGACTTTCATGTCATATCAAGCTATAGTGGTAACGTCAAGTAGCTTTTATAATATTATTGTTTTTTTTTACTATTTTATAAAATAATAAACTTGAAATATGAAGACTGAAGTGTTGTGCAAGGAATTTGAAAGTGAAAAAAATATTTGTGCTTATAAATTTAATAATTTTTTATTAAATTTTCTCTTGGATGAGGGCTAATGTTATTCACTGAACATCATATAAATGTTATTAATACCACTTTTCAATCTGTTATTGAATTCCTATCAAAGAATATTATCTCATTTGCAATGGTATCACTGTCACACGTAAGGCCAAACTGTGGTCAGCAAAAGAATATAATAATCATTTTTTTATTGCAAAGTATATTTGATTAAAACATGATTAAACATTGCAACAAGCTGCAAGTGCAAGAAGTATAATGTTACTTAATTAAGTAATAACTATGTTTTTAAATTTTTGTTCTTATTTCTAATCTCTCATAATTAGATTTTATACTATCACTATTTCTGTCTTTTATTACTAATACTTCTGTTCATATTTTAATCAAAGTATATAAACAAAATATTTTTATCTACTTTTATCAGGTTTATGCTCAAAGTTTATATGGTACGGTAGTCTTAGACGGAGATTCATGGTTGGTCTACTGGTTAGATCGAGCTTTGCGTCATGGACTACGTGTAGAGAGGCATGGATATTGGGGTACTGCTCGTGAACTTAGTCATCAAGATACTGTTGTTGTGATACATGCTCTTCAGAGTGTTTTAACTTCCATTGGGAAAGGTATTTCTGTTAATTTGTTTATGAAGTAAACAAATTTGACACTACTGTTTAAAGAAGAAAATTATAACATATATCTTCTTCTTTTAGGTAGAGCATGGCTTTATCATACTCTCAGCGAAGGTAGCTTCGAAAGTTATCTAGCTTGCTTATTACGAGATACTAAAACATTAAAGAAACAGTACTTCCCTCATGCACTTGTTCGGGATGTGGATAAAACTAATCAGTTAGTTAATCTACTTGCTGGATTAGAAAATGTGTCCTTCACGTTACAGTTGGTAAGTATAGCTATGATGTTTCTTTAAATTAAATATATAGATATAGAATGTTCATAAAAATTTCTTTAGTGCATGTGGTTATCTATATAACAAATATTTTAACATGTTTTTGTATTACATACATTGTATAGGTTGCAATTGATATCATCTGATCAATATTTAAAGTTTTTTTTCATTTTTTGTAGTCTCAGTAAAAGTCACTGATAGCATCGATTTGTGGTTGTCGGCGTCTATGTGTTCTGAACTTTTATTTTATTTGCCCCTATGTTGATATTAATATCACCCCCTGGTTACAATTATCTCCATAATAAATTATGTCTGTCATTTAGTAAGAGTTGCATGTCTAGATGAATCTGTTTTTATGAATTTAAAGGGCAAAAAGTTATCATTTGTACATATCTATTTTTCATTCATCATATATCACCTTCTTTATACACTCATGGAAAATCCTACACATGTACAATTTTTAGCTGGTTGTTCACCAAATAACATATGCTTCGTTTATTATTTACTGAATTCTTATGTTAATTAGATTCTTGAGAACTTGTTTTCAAAACTTGTTTTGATACTGAACAGTTTTTAATGATATTTAACACTGAAGTAAACTAAATTTAAATCAAACTAAAACTGATCAGAAAAATTTTTAACACAAAATACATTTATGACATAGGATGTGACATATTTGGATACTTGCAATTACATGCCTCAGAGGCCTATGAGTGGAACCATATTATCTTTAAATCTCAGATCATCCAGTGTTTCTTCGAGTTTAGCTTCCCCTGGTGATAGTGGAGTTGCTTTTGATAGTGATATGGATCTTGCAAATGAAACAGATGCTAGTAGTTACAAAGAGGTAGAGACATTTTTATAATGAAACATAATCAACAAATAATATCTATTTTACTTAAACCACAAATTTATGTATACTTTCAGGAAGATTTTCATCTCGAAGATACTCGTAGATACCGCAATAATAGGTACAAAACAATGATAAACAATTGCCTGGAGGACAATAAAAACTTCAGTTCCAGTGATTCCAGTGAGGATGGCAAAACACCTACGCAATCACCTGGGATAATGACCAAATTTCAAACGGTTATGGTGACGAAAAGCGACATAGCGAATCAAAACTTAACTAGAAAACTTGACGACAATGAGCTTAATTGTTCCAGTTTGGACACCCTGAAGGACTACGATTTTTACAGTAAAAGTTTAGACGACTCAAAGTTAGATAAGATAGTCAACAAAAACGATAACGGAGTCAAAGAGTTGAATAAAAGAAGTACTTATTACAGCGATGGTAGTTACAGTTTCAAAAGAAACATTGATCCACGAAATTCGTACGTGATCAATAATGATACGAACCTCTTAGAGCTTAGCATGACTATTTCGGATTGTGAGAACATAGAACCCCCGTATGGTATTCTGAACACCATCAATATGACCGACGCTAGTATTCTATCATCTTCCAGCTCAGAAGCAATAGTACAACGTCGACAACGTAAGAAGAAGCGCGGTGAAAGTAAGAAGCGTGTCAGCTTCCACGAAGACATTTTAAAAACTATGAAACTGGATGACGACGAAAGCTTCGCTGATTTTTCAATGAGTTTCTTAACGCCTAATTCAGTACAGAAAAAGGATGCACAAAAAGGAAGATACAGCTGGTGTGCCCACGGAGATTCGCCTTATGTCCAGAAGACAGTTAACGCGAGGAACGCACACTCGGATTACTATTCGTATTCCTCATCCTCGAGCGTATTTGATAGCGACTGTGACAAGAAAGGATCACTAAAAACGTGTGAACCTTGTCAGAGTAATTGTAAATGTGCTTGTGGATTATCAATTTCGGAACGCGGTGTGCCTGAGGGTCAAGAAGACCCTGGAAAAGCTTTAAGACCAAAAATGGAAATTGAATTGGAGGAAAACGAAGCGCAGGAAGCTTATATCGTTGAGAAACAGTATGGTAATATTGTTGAAGATCCTCCATCTAAAGTTCAAATGCCTTGTCCGTCTAATTCGAAGAAGTATACTAGTTCTAGCGATTGGTCAGATGTAGATAGTACTACTGTGTCAGATGTGGATGAACGTAAGAATAGTAGACATTTAGCTTCGCCATCGAAGAAACGTAATATGACGTCGATATTAACTGGAGAAAGTAGTAGCAAATTATTGGCACCGCCTCTAAGACAAGCTCCATCTAAAACCTCCTTGTTGAGTAGATTCCTAAAATCCATTACGGAGAGAAAATTTGAAGTAAAACAGAATAAAAAACCACAAAAGACGAATCCATTGTACATCAAAGGTGTAAAAGCAAGTTATGATTCATTCAAAGATTTCAATGATAATCTTGATAGAGAAATACAGGAAAATGTAGCCGCAGAGAAACAAGAATTCAGCGGCGAGAAGATCAGTTTGAAGTTACGAGAACTTTTTAAGAAACATATTTACAGGGACAAAACTGAAGAGTTATATAAGGTTTACAAAGTTAGGAGTTCGTATATGACAAACGGGGAAAGCAAACCAATGATTGCTTTGCTAACGGACAAAACATTATACTTGACAGGTTCAAAGATGAACCATACTTATAGTAATCAGTTCGTTATTCCTTATAACGAGTTAGATGTAATTATGGTAAGTTTTATTTGGAGTTTTTATCTACATTAACTTGACAGCATTTAAAATTGTGATGATCTCTATTTTTATAAAAGTCCGTGTGAAAGGAAATTCTCTCAACGGACGAAATAAATGGCAGTCATATATCGAGACTGCACTGTATTAAATAGAATACTTTTGTAGGTTGGACCAAATGCACAAACAATATTATTATCCAATGCGGATTACGAGATGCAATACCTCTTTTCTACTGGATGTTCTCAGAGTACTTCAGAATTAATTGCACATTTGGAAATAGCCATGAGACGATCTCCAACAAAACCAAAACTTCCAGCAGTTAAAGAATTGAATTACGAAGATATGCATATTCTAAGGCATTCGATTCTCTGCGATACGGCTGTACATCCAGTATGTAGACATCTTGTTTATTCCAAATAATAGTTTCCTTAATCTAATTAGCAATAAATCAACATTTTAGGATGAGAAAATTGAACATTACAACCTTATTTATATGGAAGATGAATACATGTCACCCCCTAGTACTCCTTGTGGCCCAACAAAAGAAGGTGACCTTATGTATAGGCCACATACTTATCAACAGCTTCATCCCAACGCTCCGACTAATCCATGGGAAGCTGGATACTTTGTTCTTAAAGGTGGTGTCGTTTACATGTTCACTGATGCAAGTCAACGATTACCCAAACGAGCCATTCCATTAAAAGGTGGTCTCTGTCAGGGTTGTCGAAGAATTCCTAATTCTCATCGTCCGCACACCTTTGAAATACTTTTAAAACCAAATAAAGCTTTCCAATTCGCTGCTCCGGACGAATACGTTGCTTCGGAGTGGTTGCAAAGTTTCGTTCAAAGTGCTTCTGGATTGTTCGATACTTCACGGAAGAGAGAACCTTTACCATGTAGCCTTATTACAACCACTAAACATTTAGTTGCTATGAAAGAAGTATTTCCCGGTAAGCAGCGGGGACAAACACTTTCTTGTGCCTCTGTAGAAGATCTCACAGCCTTCAGAGTACCTTTAACTCAACAGTCTTGGTGTATATTAGTAAGTAATTGTACAATTTTGGTCTGAACTTAACATAATTGTAAAATATCTTAATGGTAACACTGTTACTTTTAAGATCTACAATTATGCTAAGTAACAAATCAGATCGGTGTTTTGAACGTCGTGTGCTACTTTTATTAATATTTTATCGTGCTATCAATTTCAGGAGTTCGCGTGTCGAGAAGTACACGAAAGTAGTGGCGACTGGGTTATATATTTTACAAATTATACCGAACTGTGTACCTTCAGAGAAATTTTGGAAACGTTGTGGGCTGATGCAAGTTTGGTATGCAGCTTAGAAAGAATGATTCTTCATTGTTGCATTATCAAGTAATTTTTAATAATGTTTATTCTCGTAGGGGGAATTTCCAATGGTAACACTTCCACCAGAAGATAAGCTTCATCGGCGTTGCTCAGATGCCAGTAAAGAGCTTGAGCTTGCATGGCGATATTTATTATCTTCTGTAATTGACTAAATAGTAAGATGTACTGATAGCCGGTAGGTATGGCATCGTCGTATTCGCTATTATAAACTTACGAAACAAATATTCGGTGAACAATTTGCATAATATTCAATCCGGTAAACATTGAATACATTACAAAGAGTTAACTAACCTGAAAATCAGTATGTTATGTTCCTCGATATCAGTATGCGGTGGTGAATGCGATAAAAAATCATATAAATACACATATTTAGTGATACGTTATATCGATGTGCTAATTCAATAAAATGGTGCAATATCTTTTTAATAGTATAAATCTTAAAAGAACAAAAAAAATGTCATTGATAATAAATACGCAAATTTGTAATATAACGATGAGTGCGTAAAGTCACTGTATCAGTTATATGGACGTCTATAATATTCACACTTATAAGAACGTATCTACATTTAAAATTGCACTATCGATATTAAATGAATTAGTTTTAAAAATGATGCTAATAAATCGGCAGTAAGGCTTAGCGCAGCTTTGATGATAAAAAAATACTCTATGAATTGCTTTTGAAATAAGTGTACGACGCATAATTAACATTCCTAATAGTAACATTGATAATAATAGTAGTAATGATAATAACAATACAGCTTTATAATTTTATTTTTAATAACTTTTTTTCATGGATATACATACATATACAGACACGCGAGTTTTATTGTTTTAAAGTAATCAGTTTCAATTAGACTCTTAGTTATTATGTTTTTAATTGTACAGTTATATGAAAATTAATCATTGTATGTAATATAATGTTGATCTCAAGGTGCTTTTGTTTAATGGCGATATTTTTAATCGACAATTTTATTTCTTTCTAACGCGATATATTCTGTTATCGTAAATCTTGTTTACTTCCAAAATTAATCCAGTAATCCAAACTAGCGAAAAGAATTTGATTTACCAAAGAGATTCTATTTTTACAAGTAAATTGATCTTTTATTTTTCAACTGGCAACTTCATATATTTCTGTTTCTAAGATTATGCGTTACCAAAACTACATAAACGGATGCAATTTATAAATGTGAATAAAATTGTAACAATATATGCATCATTTTATGTAGTTACGAATAATTGTGATAAAACATTTTAATGATAAAGAATTACATTAACGGGACTTATTAATTTATCTGATTGTAATATGAAATTTGTGTATGTTACTACACGATAAAATTGGTAATAATATCGGTTCCGTATGTTAGTTTCTAGCGCGTTTAAAGAGTCAAAATACTATACTTTTTAACATGCTTTGCGTAAGCATGTTTCTTAATAAATGTTACAGTCATGGAATTTTTGCACAATGTGAACAGCGCCATACATGACCATCAAACTTAAAGGGAAGGGAGAAAAAAATATAAATAAAATTGTAACTAGTCAGGAGAATAAAAGTAAAGTTGTGTGTTTCTTCTTCCTACAATATACTGTATTCATATATTTGATTTTTAATTATATTTTAAATAAAATATGGTAACAGATTGCAAATCAACACACTATGAAAGATCATATAATATTTAAGTAAAAATATTTAGTTCCTATTATTATATACAATCATTAAATGCTATGCAGTATTTTTTTTTTATACTTTGCAAGTTGTTTCCTAATCTATTTTTCAATTATTTTGAATTTACAAAATATTTAATTAATGTTGATAATCGATAATATTTGAAATAGAACCAAGTACTGTAAAGTTTAATAATTAGATAAAGCTTATAACTGTTTTAAACACTTGTTCTAATAATATAATCTGAATTTGATTTTAACATGCAATCTAAAGAATTTACCTTCTATATTAAAGAACTTTCATAATTTCGAATATACCGTGGAACGAAAGAATTATTTTATTCTCTAACGAAATGTCCATCTGATTTACGATTTCGTTGTAGTTTTTCAATATCCGCGTCTGGATACTTTTCTTTCACAGCTTCCAGGTCAAGATTTGGGAAAATTCGCATCAAAACAGCCACTTGATTATTTTGACGACTGAAATTTAAAATGCATAAAATATAAAAATAATACAATTTTAGTAGTTAACTATTTTAAATATGTTAAAAATGAAACCAACTTTCGTGCACGTCGTTTTATATTCCATAATTTTTCTCTGTACAATCGTAAAAATTTATGTACTGCAGAACCTCCATAACTAAACTTATGGGTTTTATGCCATTTTGAATTCATAAATCTTGGTATACGATACTGTCGCATACGATAACACGAACGTATACCTGAAAAACGGACATAAAATCCAATCATGAATTTCATCACACAACTCCTCTGTGTTAACATACTTATCAAAACTACAATATCTTACCAAGAGGATTATATCTTAATTCAGCAGGACGTTCTCCAGTTGTTCCTGTTTCAAGCATATGATATGCTTTATTTCTTTCACGAACTACTGACTCTAAATTAAGCATACTATCTTCAACTTTATCAAGCCTTTCTGGATTTGGGAAATATTTCCATTCTTGCTTGTATGCCTCTTCCATTGTTAGAAGCATATTACGTTCTTTTAATAATACAAACCTAAATATTTTATAATCACTATAATGTTATTTAAACTGTCATTAAACTATAAAAAACAAATTATGCCTTACCATAGCTTATGAAGATCTTCATTGCTTTTCAATCTTAATTCATCTTTTTGCCAGGAACGTCCAACTTTTATTTTATCTTTTCCCCAATTCTTTGGATCATCAAAAAATTCCATTAAATTATTTTGTTTTAATGTAGTATGTAAGAGAGCACATTGAAAAGTCGGTACCCTAAATATTTAAAAACATTTTTATGTAAAATAATATTCCTATAGTCTAAAATGATTTTATTATACTGCAGTTCAAATTCAAACATGTGGATTCTATGAATGGTAGGAAATTAAATTAGAAACATAACCTCAAGCATTAAGTACTAAATATCAGAATTAAACATGATTTTGTTAAGAAACATGCAATAAACTCTATAAACGTACTTGTATAATTTGTGAAATTATATTTGTATGAGAGCAAAATGATAAAATAAGGAATACGATACGAGATTTATTATCATTACATATACGGTTGTTAACATAAAATAATTGCATAACAAAAATTATATACAAAGATTTATATTGTATGTACAAACCTTCGAACGTATACCGGGCTAGAAATCGGACTGACTGAAGGAGACAGTGACAAATTTGTGAATAATTTTGTAACATTATTTACTGTTTTTGAAGCCTGCACAACTTTCGTGAGAGTTGCCATTTTGGTATAGAAGCACAAAACATTGGCGCAGTATTCGATATCTCAGAAAACGCATTAAAAAAAATTAATAAAATTTTTGTTCCATACGCATTATAATATTTGTAATATAAATAAATAAAAAGTATGGGCTTTGTTAAGAATTTTATTAATCTAACATATTGCAGGTAATAATTGTAACTAAAATGAAATTTTTCGATTAGATCGCTAAAAATAAACACACTTTAATTTTTATCTATTTACAGTTAAGCTATCAATGTTAATTTTATTAAGTATTGTTCTGAAGAGTATCAAACACATATACAATTAATTGTAATTAAAAACATAATTTTTGTTGAATGAATTTGAAACAATGTACTCTTTGTTATCATGTTATATGTTTTTGTATTTTTTAGGAAACAGTTTATTAGACATTCTAGTACAATGATAAATCCATTAATTGCGGTATGTCAGATGACTTCAACAAGTGATAAAGAAAAAAATTTTCAAACTGTATGTGAACTCGTGTCAAAAGCTAAATCTAGATCAGCTTGTGTATGTATACATACTATTTCATATAATTTTTACTGTTCTGTACATATAAATGTAAATTTTTTAAATGTACAGGTAACCTTCTTTCCTGAAGCATGTGATTACATAGCAGATAGTAAAAAAGATGCAGTATCTATGGCACAGCCTTTAGATGGACCATTGATAACCAGTTACAAAGAAATTGCAAAAAATAATGATATGTGGCTATCATTGGGTGGTATCCATGAAGCAGTAAGATATTTTAAACTTTATTAAAATATATATCATATCTTAAACTTCATAAATATTCATTTGATCATATTTATAGTTACCTAACAACGAAAAATGTGTGAGTAATACTCATATCGTAATAAGTAATAAGGGTGAAATTGCTGGAGTTTATCGTAAAATGCATTTATTTGATATGGACAATAAAAGAACTGGTGTTCGATTAATGGAATCAGAGTATGTTTTGCCTGGACAAAAAATTGAACCCCCTATAGTAACACCAATTGGTAAATTAGCACTTAGCATTGTATCCTTTAAAAATAAATATTGTTCCCTTTCATATTTTGAAGTTATAAGAACTTAACAATGAAATCAGTGTTATGATTTGCGTTTTCCTGAATTAGCTCTTGCATTGAGAAATATGGGAGCAGAAATTCTCACATATCCATCAGCATTTACATATCAAACAGGTGCTGCACATTGGGAAGTATTATTACGTGCTAGAGCCATAGAAACACAATGTTATGTTGTAGCTGCAGCTCAAACAGGGGCACACAATAAGAAAAGAGTGAGCTGGGGCCATGCAATTGTAAATAATCTGTTTCTAAATTTATTTTACTCTTAAAATATTATTTTTAATTACTAATATTAAATGTATTTAAAGGTTATTGATCCATGGGGAACAATAGTAGCCCAGTGCAGTGATAAAACTGATATAGCTTTTGCAGAAATTGATTTAAACTTCTTAGAACAAGTTAGAGAAAACATGCCATGTGAAAATCATCGTCGAACAGATTTATATCCTAAATTAGAACCCTTAAAACCTGTAGTATAAATTATGTATAGATATAATTATACAAATTTTTTATTTACTAATGGTAATAAAATGATAGTAAATGTATTTTTCATACGAGCAAATGCTCGTACTCGTTTCACAGTAAACAACATAATTATTTAAAATTATATAAAAAATACACAGGATTCTTTTTTAATATGTACATATAAAACAAACATTTATTATAATATATCTTATTGTACATATTGTGTAATAACTTATAATTATTAGATACGAAGATTCTTTTGTATATTAAAATTGTAGAATAAATAAAAAGAAGTTGCTATTTTTATAAATGTGTATGAATTTGTACATGTCAAATTAGAAATGTTATGGACCACCAGAAAAATTTGTCAAGATGTTCTGGTAAAACATAAAATATTATGTTTTAAAAATTACCATAAACAACACATTATTTATTGTACTAATACAAGCTATTAATTTGTTTGAAAGTTCAATGATTTTTTTCCAAAATGGCACATACTATATCTATGGATATAGGTGCAATGTGTTCCTATTATTTGCTACCTATAAAATAGGAATTACCATCAAATTTACCATATAATTACCATTAAAAATTCACTGTTATTTACATACATTCACTTGAGTCTGTTCTTTGAGATCCTATAAGGTCCGCTTCAACACCCTGTAATGCCCAATTATGTTCATATATTTCCAATGCTTCCCATTCTGATTTGAATGCAGCTTTTGGATCTGGTGGCATAGACATTGCAGCCCCAGATACCTGATCCTGTAGAAGTCTAGAAGTATCAGCAGCATTGCTTTCTCCAAGAACAAGTGTATAAATGGAACGTAATCCAAAGACATTGAGGAAATACCAAGATGCAGATGAAACCCATGCAGCATCAAGGGTAACTAACTCTATACCACGTTGTAACATAGGCTTAAAACGTAATGTCAAAGGAAATGGCACTTTGGCTAAAATAAGATTATTAAAAGTATTTTAAAAGTCAGAATAATATTAAAAGTATATTAAACGCAAAGAAATGATAAGATTAAACCTACTTGTAACAAAACCAGAAAACATCCAGTTAATCCATCCACCAATCAGTACCATTGGTAAAACATTGGTAACATTTCCTTTCAACATATCTGTCATCATATTAGGATCTGTCATTGGGTTTTGGGAGACAGGAGCACGCTTCTGAGTTTTGAAATACCCTGTTTCTTCATTATTAAAGAAATGTCTTCTACTAATAAATGCCATTTTTGGAATATATTGACCATTTTCTCTAAGTAATCTAGAGCGTATCATCACTTGACTGTAAAATATCAAAATTATATATCAATTATAAATAAATGTTTTGATCACTTTAAAACATAACGTTCTAAATAATTACCTATCTTGTACTTGATGAACCTCGACTTTCTTCTGTGAAGCAAGCAATATCGAAACATAATGTCGAATAATTCCTACGAGAAAGGTAATCACAACAATAGGCAAGAACACCCAACCTCGAATGTTTGGATCTAAAAGCAATTCGGCCATACCACTTGCCGCACTATACAAATTTACGTGAAAGAACGAATAAAGGCAAGAAAACTAAACAGACTGAAGAACATTTTACGAAGATGAGAAAACGTGTGCAGTCAATTCCGGCTGCGCATAAGAAGAGACCTCTGAAGGAGTTATGTAATATGAAAATATTAATGCAAAGTGTTCAGCTACTGGTGGGTATAATTTCGGGAAGTGGTAGCTGAGGTGATACTGAACAACTTTTTCCATTACCAAAATGTTGACTGCAGCTTAGTTTTTGAATTATTAATGAAAGACACTGACCAATCAGAGCGCGAGAATAGCGCGCGCCTAAACACGAGAGTAATAGCTTCGAGCCTGACGGCTGAGCGTCGTGAACAAGCATGTTTAAAAATAATTCTGCTTCGGTGAAAATGCGTCCATGTGACTGGGTCATTTCACCTGACTTGACCTACACACCGCATAACAATGCTGTCGCACAATTGTTGTTTTCTGTTAGCAATTATACGGTCTCGATGAAAACATACTTGTTCACGCTCAGCCATCAGGCTCGAAGCTGTCACTCTCATATCCGAGCGCGCGCTATTCCCGCGCTCTGATTGGTTAGCGTTTTTTTGTTAATATTTCAAAAACTAAGCTTAGGATTTCAGAGTTTTGGAACTTCAGGACTTTTAATTTTTTTGAATTTTGGTACTTTAGAAAATAATGCATTCCAAACGGTAGCGAAAAATTACAATCTTTAAAAGCGGGTTTTAACTTAGAAAACTTTAAGAAACGTTGTTCCAAATGACAAATAAAAATGAAGAAAGTAGTATAATAAGATTTCCCGCCTTTAAAATGATCATCTTCATTATCGACTCGTTCATCGAAATTTGGAAGAGAAAGCCGATGGAGGGCAGTGTTGATCGCTGGTCATTTGGCAGCATGGTGTTTGTCGGGACACCTATGTTACACTCGTATAACATGATTCAGTTTCGCTAGCGCTATTACGGGGTAAGATTTGCGAACTGCGCTTGCATATCTCGGAAAAGTGCGTCGCACGTAAGTGCAAATCGTGATATGAAATAGTGAATTGGATCATGATTCAAATGGATAGGCGACACTAGCCGCACGTCATGGGATTGTGAAAGGAATCAAAAGCGTGTACGAAGGAGGCAGGAAGTAGGAAAAGGGCCAGGGATACAACGCTCACGCCCGGTTGTCACGACGCCATGTTTCCCCGAAGTGGTCTACCGATGTCGAGTATCCCTTTGATGGTACTCTGCTTTTTCGTACTTATCGTAGCCGGCCTTGACGAATCCGGTAAGTTCCGTAAATCCTTCTGTGAATCGTCTTATATTTAATTAAAAAATTAGGACGAATTTTATCGTTTTTATCTATCGAACGCTACACAAAATGTAATGAACTTTACAAGTAAGGTCATTAGTGATACACGATGTGCCACTATCACCATTATCCTCGAGATTGTTGCCCTTTGAACTGTCTTCCTATGTAAATAAATAATGTAACAATTGTTTTGAGCTAAGTCAATATTGTTAATTGTATATGCATCCGTAAAATCGCATACTGTTGTGTACAATTGATTAACAACAAAAAAGGATATCAAATGTCACTGGTGTATCTTGATTGTTTAAATTATTCGCCGCTTTCCCTTCCTTCTTGTGATTTGTTTGTTTCTCGATCTGTGTTTACATCGAACGATTCAAATTTCGCGATATATCGATTGTCAATAAATGCACGAAACTGATTTGTTTTGTCCACCACCTTGAGCGATATTTAACATATTTATATTTAATACATTTTGAAAAATTATACGTATACTTATCGATCTATTTATCGACATATTATTGTGTACTAAAGTATTCTAATTTATTATTTAATTAATAGCATGTTATTAATCGATCGATATTTATATCGTTTCGATTTTTTCGTTATTACTTTTTAAACAAATATTTATATATGGTATGTCCAAAAATTCGCAGACAAATGCAATGAAAAATCGGATTCTACAAATAAACAAAATTTTATTATTCAATTTTTAACACACATCTTTTCTATTACTGTGCATTCTGTAGAATATTCATAGAACAACTAAAAGGTGTTGCAAAATTCTTCTTAGTATAATTTTAAGAAAACCACTAGTATGATTTTAACAATGTAACTACAGACTAGGAAATTCTCTTTCACACAGACAGACATTAACTCATATTATCATTTGTTTAGATATATATTAACTTAAGTTATAATAAATAGATCCAAGATCCTAATATTAAAACATTATAAATTGCAACAATAGTTGTGTAATATACTTTTTACTGTATATGAAAATTATATCTAATTTTAAAATATAAATGAAGAATAAAAATATTTATAAGCATTATTAAAATTTTTTTAATATTATAAATAAGTTATAACAATTGGTAATTAATAATTAGAATTTTGTATTCATTTTCTGTTTTTGAAATAAATTATAGTAGAATATACTGAAGTTCTACCTTAATTTCAACTGTTAAGACAATACTTGTCCAGTTTATGTGACTTCACTATTATGATTGTAATGAATTAACGAGCCAGTTACTTAGTTCATTCACATACTAGTCGGTTAAAAGTTATTTTCAAGTTTAGTACACCAAATACCACTAGAATGAAATAAGAACTTTTGTATTATATTTATATGATAATAGTTTGTATATTAATATTAAATGAATTTATGATAAATATGAATCTATTTACATATTTACAATGCAGGTATAGAAAAAATAGAAACAACTGAATCAAAAAATGAGAACCCATCAGTGTTAGAAATTACAGCATCCCAAGATTTAGAAGGTATAGAAGCTGGCAGTACACCTTCACTAATATGTAAACTTAATGTACCGGGTCAAATATGGTGGACTAGCAATGGAAGGAACCTTACTACTATTAAAGATTATGATGCTGGGGGACGTTTGGATATTAAACAAGCAAGCAGAAATGATACTGGAGACTACAAATGTTCAGCAAAAACTACAGATGGAGAATTATTGGAAAAAGATGTTCATATCAGAGTTATTGGTAAATGTTAATTATAATTACAACTAATGCTACTTATTATATCATCTCTTTAACAAAGAGTTTCTTTCATTTTAGAGCCAGGTAAAATAGCACCTGGAGAAGATATTAGAGCAAAAGTAATGGAATCAGCTAACTTGACCTGCCACATGTATGGTTATCCATTGACTCAGTTTGCTTGGTTAAAAGGGAATGATTCAGAAAGTACAGAACACTTGAAAGATTTTACTACTATTACACAGATAAATGAAACATATACCATACTGAATTTAGAATTTGAAAGTTTGACACGTAAAGATAATGGGACATATATTTGTAAAGCACGCGATTATAGCGGCGAAATTAGCGCTTATAGACACCTTTTTGTAATTGATGTACCAAAAGTCAGCATTGATTTTATGAAAGCCGTTGGTGCAGGAAGTATATTTTTGAATTGGACTGTGAATGATGGCAATGAACCTATTAAGAAATATTTTATTCAACATATGAAGAATGGAACTAATCAATCTCAATATTATTCGGAACAAATTGGTGGTGGAGTTTCAAGTTATGTTTTGAAAGGTTTTGAAAGTAATACATCATATCAAATTGGTATTAGTGCTACAAATGCAGTAGGTTCATCGCATGTAAGACTTGATCCACGTTGGATCACTACACTTGAGAAAGGTATTAAGAAAAAACGTCTTTGATCATGTACACTTTGATGCAGTATAGGCCTCCTTTAGATAGTTTCTTTCCTTCTTACTCTTGGCCAGAGGAAGTCTATGTTGCACCCAAGTATGCATCTTTGTCATATTACTAGAAACAAGTTACTAATATAACTTGTTGCAGATCCTATTTTTGTGCCAAAAGTTTCCGTCAACGGGGTCACCGAAAATTCTATCACAATAGGCTGGACAGTTCCACCACCTGATTTAAAAGAACACGTTCACTACTACAATTTAATGGCTACCCATGGAGACCAGAAAAGGGAAGCGGTCTACCCAGCTCAACCATTTACCGTGTACGCGTTTGTCGATCTTGATCCCGCTACAACATATAAATTTAAAATTGCTGCGTGCAGTGAATACACGAAAGAGTGTGGAAATTGGAGCGCTGAAGTGAATGGAACTACTTTAGACGGAGGTGTGTTCCATGGTTTAATACGAATTATTCTGTTTACTTAAGAACGATGGAATTAACTATTTAATTTGAATTTTAGTGGCTAGTCCCCCGCAAAATTTGTCTGTTAATTGTCGATACGATAATATCAGTAGTTCCAGTTTCATTTCTATTACGTGGGAACATCCAGAGAAACCGAATGGCGTTATTATTCGTTACAACATGCAGTTGACTGGCGTAGCTACGTTTAAAAATGACATGGGTCGTTTAGATATTGATAATTGGGGGCCACAAAATTGGAGCGTTTCTAAAAGAAATAGTACAAATTATAATCAAATTCCGCCTAATACAAATTACACGGTAAATATTATTTTTGTACAGTTCCAATTCAGGAAAATTCCCTGCGGAATAGTTTCTACTTTTATCTAATTTCTCTGAACTGTTCGACAATTTGATGATATTATAAATCATGTTTTGTTGGAAGGTTCGGGTACACGCCGTGACTAGATCTCGTACACCAGGAAAAGATGCAATTGGTAACTGTACTACGCCCGTTACTATCCCGGACAAAGACAGTTTGAATATGCGATCGTGGCGAAAAATTGAGAATCAAGGTAGACAGCTGTTCAAGCTGTACCTTCCTCGCATAACAGAAAGAAATGGTCCAATATGTTGCTATCGGATTTTTCTCGTGAAATTAGCACCGCAGAAGAGCGTTTCTGATTTACCACCACCCGAAGAAATTGGTGTATATTCGTATCAATATGCTCATAATTCACCTTCTGGTGGTGCTTATGTAGCTGAAATGTTTGATAGTGATCGATTGATATCAGAGATTTTTCTTGGTGACGGCGAATCGTTTAATGGTAGTACTATGTGCAATAAATGTATTGGACTTCGACCGAAAGCTGCTCCACCAGTATTACATTCCGTTCCTGAAGTTCAAACAACTACTGTAATACCAAACACAACAGTTGCAACAACTACAACGCCAGTGACAACAACTACAACTTCTGCACCACCGACTACTACCACTACCCAAGGAATAGAAACAACTATTGCAAATACAGTAGACAGTAATCATACAGGTGTAGAAAGAAGGAAAAGAGAAAATACAGTTGATCAAAAAGGAAAGAGTAATGATGGACCTTCTGAAGTGCTATTGTATCTCCCGCAAGATGGTTTCCTGGATGAAAAGTCAAACTATACTGGTTTTATTGAAGTTATAGGTATGTTCAGAAATAATTTCGTGCTTATACAGGGTGGTTCACCACATTTTGCTATCTAGATTTGCGTCATTATTATTAATCATAGCAAACAATGTTGCAGATGAAGTTGAATGGTTTTGAAAGGGGCATATGTTGGTGGTATACTTTTTTTGTATTATATCATAGCAACATTGTATTATATTATGTATTATATTATATTTTGTATTATATTATATCATAGCAACATTGTTTGCTATGATTAATAATAATGACGCAAATCTAGATGGCAAAATGTGGTGAACCACCCTGTGTGCTTTGTAGACGATAGCCGTTTAAGTTTTGGAATTGCTATGCACTGTCAATCGATCAGGCCAAAATATGAATGATTACTTGACAATCATTTGATTCAACAAATATCGGGTCGCTTGTTTATCTAGTCTTTGGACTCTTGTTGATCAAAATGGTCGGCAGTGTGTAATGGACCTTCAAAACTGGGAAAAGATACTCGATAATAGATTGGATCAGGCATGATAATGACATGCATGACAATTACTGCCCATATTTTTCTTACTTCATTGAGCTTGAGAAAAACAACCCCCACTGTACCTGCTGTTGTGCTGTTTTCTCCTCGACGTTGAACGCATTTTGGAGTTATTTAGGGCGACCAGTCCAACAGTTACTTCTTACCTTGTGCTAGGATATTTCATATATCTCATATTGGAAATTTAAAACTTTTCATATTTTCAAATTCTCAAATTTTTTTTTGTATATTTATACCTTAACTTTGGCACTCTGACCAAATATTTTTGTCTTTACATTTTATCAATTGGTACAACAAACTATTTCTCACAGTATTTGGAAACCAGGAAGATCAGCTTCTACCAGCCTATAGCAACTACTTCAACCCTCTTTACGGTGGATTAGACCTTAGAACAATGGTAGCAGCGGAAGTGACCACATTCAGCGTGATTCTTCAAATTTCTATTGCCCTCATACTAATCATCATCATACTTCTCATCGCACTTTGTATATTGCACAGATATACGAAACGTGCACGGCAAAGAGGAGAAGAAATTATAACCTTGAGAAACAGTTTCAGGTAAAGAACCGTACAAACATTGATTATCATTCAATCATTTTATAAGATTTAAGAAGGTGAGGTAGAAAATACTGTTGGTAACAAACCTGAAGAAAGTATACTTAAAATTGAAGTGTTCTTCTGATAATTTGTTACCAGTAGTATTATTTGTCCTGTCACCTTAATAAATATTTTTTTCTGCTAGACATTTGTGTAGGACTCTCAGAGGAAGACATCAGTTGGTCGCAGCAAGTCCTCCAGATATGCCTCCTATTCCAAAAAGTGAATTGCTCCAGTCTTACCTCGAACGGCATCGAGACTCCGATTACGGTTTCCAGCATGAGTTCGAACTGCTACCAGACAGGTTTACGGATCGTACGACGAGAGCATCAGAGGCACGGGAAAATCTGTACAAAAATCGTTACCCAGACATAAAGTGCTACGACCAGACCAGGGTGAGACTCGCACAAATGGATGGAATCTGTGGATCAGACTACATAAACGCGAACTTTGTATTGGGATACAAGGAACGTAAGAAGTTCATATGTGCCCAAGGTCCGATGGAAAATACCGTTTGCGATTACTGGAGAATGATCTGGGAACAGCACCTTGAACTGATACTTATGTTAACGAATCTCGAAGAATACTCCAAAACGAAATGCGCAAAATATTGGCCAGATAAAAGAGAGACAAAGAACTTCGGTGATATAACTGTTGAACATATTCGGGAAAGAGCCTACTCCGACTATGTAATTCGGGAATTAAAAATGACGCGATTAGGAGAACGAGATGCACGTACCATCGTCCAGTATCACTTCTTAGTTTGGAAGGATTTCATAGCACCGGAACATCCGCATGCTATATTGAGGTTCATAAAGAGAGTGAACGAAGCTTACTCGTTGGAGAAGGGGCCAATATTAGTACATTGTAGCGCAGGTGTTGGCCGAACGGGAACGTTGGTCGCATTAGATTCTCTGTTGCAGCAGCTTGCCGAAGAAGGCCAAGTTTCCATTTTTAATACGGTGTGCGATCTGAGACATCAAAGAAACTTCTTAGTGCAATCGTTGAAACAGTATATTTTTATTTACCGTGCGTTAATGGAAATGGCACAGTATGGCGACACCGAAATACCAGCGTCTCAGCTTAAAGCTACGGTTGCGAAATTGAGACAGAGAGATAATGGTAAAGAAAAGTGTAGAATGGAAGAGGAGTACGATGTGAGTAGAGTTTTCTTCAAGTACTTAACCTTGAAAATAAATTATATTACATGATTTATCTTTTGTAGAAAATTAACTCCGTGTTAGAAGATAGAAAATCATATAGCGTGGGTGGTGGGGAGGAAAACAAAAGCAAGAACAGAAGTGAATTAATAATACCGTATGATAGAAATCGAGTGATTCTTACGCCTGTACCAGGCAGAGAACACTCGACGTATATAAACGCGTCGTTTATCGAGGGCTATGACAATTCCGAATCGTTTGTTATTACTCAAGATCCATTGGAGACTACTATAGCAGATTTCTGGCGAATGATCTCGGAACAGTGTATCTCAACAATAGTAATGTTATCTGATGTAAGTAAAATTGAAATTAGACAATTTTATTGATGTAACAGTTCTATTCATTTGAACTTCAATGTTGCGTAAATGATATTTGTATAGTACGCAACTTATTTTTATGTGTATAATTTTTTAACGTAAATTATTCTTTTATTTAAACACTTTTGTTTTACATATTTGATATAGAATTTTGTGTATAAAATAGTCGGATGATAATACTTCTGTGCCTCCGATTGCATGTAAGAGCCTTACCAAATATAATTTGACTGTAATTTAGTATTTAAAACAATTCCTGAGGAATGTGGTATGTTGGTGGAAAGTAAAGATTCTCAAAGTCCTAAAGTAATCATTGAAGTTAGGTCAATTTTTCAATAAAATCCAAATCATGAAATTTAATTTGCAAATAATGGATGGTGCATTTTAACTAAGAGGCATAAGTTATATAAAAAGTAAATTTTACTAACAATATCTTGTGTTAGTTAAGTATCATATCACACCACAAATATTGAACTTTTGCCTACGACAATTATTGAATAAATAAATAAAAGTATGATTATAATGTAAAACTATATTTTTAGCTGAACGAAGGTCCACGGAAGTGTCCACGATATTGGCCCGACGATGAAGCTGTGTATGACCATATAAGGGTTAGATATATTCAAAGCGAGAGCTGTCCGTATTATACTCGTCGTGAATTTTGCGTTTCCAATACGAAGACCGACGAGAACGTTGTTGTAACGCAATATCAGTATCATGGTTGGCCGACAGTAGAAGGAGAAGTACCTGAAGTGACTCGTGGTCTCATTGAACTTGTAAACCAAACTCTAACAAATGACACAGAATCAAGCGGTTCGTTAGTTGTGCACTGCAGTTTTGGATCTGATAGGAGTTCTATGTTCGTCGCTCTTAGCATATTGGTACAACAATTAAGGACTGAAAAACGCGTAGATATTTTCACGACAACAAAGAAGCTACGTTCTCAAAGACACGGCATGATTAGCACCTTTGTACGTAATATATTTATTAGATTATTAGTCGTGTAAATAATAACCCTAATCGTAATATTGAAATTTAACCTGTGAATTGATATTTTAGGCACAGTATGAATTTTTGCATCGTGCTATCGTTAATTATTCGGATCTTCATAATTTAGCCGACGATGAACCAGCCTCTTAATACCAAGATACGTAATGCTGGAACATCATGATAATACTTGATGAACGTGTGCGTAAAGACAATTAACGTACAAAAAGAAAAGTGAAATGCTCAAAGGAACTTATATTGGGCCAACCAAAGAAATTATTAATATATTGGTGGACAAGTACATCATGAAGTTAAACTAACGCATATGGGTGCAAAAGAAATTAGCGACTTTTGATACTCCAAAATACAGACTACCAGATTATGTGTATTAAAGAAAAGAAAACACCACTTGGACTGAGCAGTAAATGTTTCACGTTGACAAAATACGTTATAATTAAACTAAACGCATGATTGGTTCGATGCAATTAACAAATCGAATTAAACCTGTTGGTAAATCGTTACAAAGTGCAGTACAGTGTTTCGTGATACCACGCTCTCAACGACGTTGTGAATCTATCTCAATGACTTATTTTTATCGATAATATCAAAGGAAGGAAAAACGCAAAGTAGTGTATCAAAATTTTTGTGATTGAAATGGAACATTTGAGGAAAGCACTAATGCAGCAACGTAAGTGCTTTTTCTTTTTTATTAACAATTATGACTATTTGATGGACTAGTGAAAAATTGAGCGTATTTAATAGGATGTATGAATACCCTAACAAGTGGACCATATATAGCTTACCAATCTAATATTTGATCGTACCTTTTCTTTTAATAGAATATCTGATTGAAATTGCAATATGGAAATTATAATAAATAACAAGGGATGTACGAATAATCTGATCAGGTCGAATTCGTTAAAATTCGGACCATGTCGGACGAGAGCTGAAGATATTTTTCTGTATACAAATGCTTGAGACTTTAAAAAATTAGAAATTTAAGAATTTGTAAATTTGAAAATTTGGGAAAGTTGTGGCAGCCGAAATAGCAGTGTCTAACACGAGAGTAATTCAAGCATTCACCACAAGTATGGCGCTGTTGCTGTTTCGACTGCAGTGTCTTCAAGGCCCAAATTTATGCGGATGACCGCGTATAGGAAGTCGATGACATTTAGTGAACTTAGTCCGATCCATTTTGAGCACAATCCCGAATTGAATCTCGGGATTTGAATCTTTGTGTTCCCAAAAAGAATCGCAAGCATTCGTACACAGTAAGATATTTTCGAGCTCCCAAATTTTGCCAAACGCGATTAATATTAAAGGCTGATAAACTTTCATACATGGTATTTGAATTTTTCTTTTCTATCAAAATGCGATCAAATACATAGATGGCATAGTTAATATGGTTTGAAGTTAAATTAGAACTAGATTGTATTCTTCCAAAATGTTTCTACTGGCATGTGTTGTTATCCTACCGTTCGATGACAAAGAGATCAAACGCTGATATGATCTACTTTATATTTACGACTACTAATAACCGCGCACGCATGTGTGTAAGTTTATTTGTAAGATACGTGTCATATACATATATACATATAAACGCGTGTATACCACGCCAGCGCTAATATTTCTTCTAAAGAAAGACTGATATTCTTATTCAGTTCGAAATGCGCGAAGAACAGCACGTACCTTGTTTGTACGGCATGTAAAATTGCTGTCAATTGTAACCCACGAGAAAGATCATTTTTTTACTTTTTCATACACGAGGCAATTAGAGATATCTATGTGTGTGGCATGTCCGGATATGTGCTTTGTAAGTCACCGACAAAATGTAACGCATAATTGGAGGGCTTACGCGGCACAATAGGGGTTAGGTTTCACTTGAAAATACTGAATAATGTAGGTAGTTCTTATACAGATTTCATGACAATTTTTTTAGTTTAATCAGTGATAAATAAATTTTTTAACTCGTTCGTTGACACCTGAAAAATTGTAAAAATCAGTATTGTTAATACATTATTTGAAAAGTTAGTACAAATAACTTGAAATGTTTTAATCAGATAAAAATTGTGAGTGGTCATTAAATTTGATGGTGACATCGAACATGTTAAAAAAAGAAATACTTTTATTTGAAAAATATGCTTATAATTTTTAAGTGATATGTTAGCGCATTTGTTACGAGAACAAACATATAGATCTTATGTTCGCTTACGCGCTAGGCGCGTAAATCGTATTCGAGGAACGACAAGCCTCACGCTATAATGGTACAAACCATAACGTGTTAAAATAAGTAAGAACTGCCTATAACTGTCAGTATTTATCTTCACGGTGGATGAAGTGCTGGGATGCGAAACGAACATAAGTTAATGAGATTAATATAAATAAGGAAAGAAAAAAATGGAATCTTTTTAAAGTAAGGCAATTACGAAATCGACACACGTTACATTTTTTCGCACGCTCGTTCATTTCTAGTCAAGTTTTAACTCCGGCACGTGCGCTGCTAAGCCATTCACTTATGGCAGGGGACAATCATATTATAAATTTGATTTTACGCATCGCATCGGTCAGCAAGATTTTTTTCTTTCCTTTTTCCTTGTCAATTTATCTTCATTCCATTATCGTGCTAATGCACATCCCTACTTGATGTACATGTGTGTATAACCGGTTTACTAATCGAGAGAATTAATTAATTAGTTGCTAGTTTACGCTTCGATTATGTTTTAATTGATAGATAATATAAGGGACGAACGTATGCTCCGTCTGTAATTAGAATCGTTATCATCGCCTGTCGCTGTTGCTTACGTATTAACATGTAACAATATTTGTTTTATGCTGATTGACATATACAGTTGTATTTGCAAATGCTCTGGCAAGGTACAAAGTGCCTAAGAATTTCCGCCTATTCAATTTTTTGCATAAAATTGATATTTTTACAAAATCTAATGCTTTAAACTGAATGTTTTATTCTTAACAAACATTTTCATTAACACCTGATTTCGCTAGGTATGATAGAATATGCTGTATAATTGATTAATTGTACAATGGTCTATAAGGAATTTTTAAAGATATTTCATGCAAAGATATTTAACTATTAATTATATTCAGAATTTTATAATGTTTTATATACTTATTCGCAATAACACAAATTTTATACTTATACATATACATATTATGTATGTTTCATTATAACTTAGTAATTTTACAGTTATCATCTCATTTTCATTCGCATAAAACATTTATTTACATTGTATGACCGAACAATACGGTGGAAATTCCTAAACATTTTGTGTGGTAACTTGTGTACAAAATTTTTTGGAAATTATAATGACACGCACAATACGTTTATGAAAAGTAATCTCATGGACTTCTCATATCTTTTAAAGTGACAATTCATAAGTACAGCACCTTACTTGTAAACTTATCTGTTTTAATTTATATTACACTGCTACCAGTGAGAGAATAAGTGATGTTTAAATATGAAACAGTAATTGTTATTTATACGATCTGCGATATGTAATAATTAATTGCGATTTTATTTAATAAGAGTTCTGGCAAAATTAGTGATTGTTTAAAATTTTTATACAGCTGAAATTTACTTTACATGGAAATGCGTAACTCAGAACAATAAATGTAGCAATTTTGTATACATTCTTACAGTATATAATTACAGATTTGTAAGCAGAATTTTTGTAATTAACTACAGATATTGTTCTTGCTACGCATCTCCTCAATTTAGGATGTGTATAAAGAGACATCAACATTTTTACAGCCAGTGTATTAATTAGAAAGATTAAAAGAATTGTTGTGAATTAATCTATATAATTTTTTATTTTTGCCATGACAAGTCTGATATGGTCCAAAAAGTAACAAAATTTGAAATGAATAGCAAGCATATTCCATTTTTTAACCACAAATATTTTATGTAGGATAATCACTTTTTATTTTGTAAAGTACAAGCGCGCTATTATTAATAATATGAAGATACCTCAGATACAAGTTAAAGTTAATGGCAGTCTCACTGTTTGCCATTTTCCCACAGAAAAAAAAGAATATCGTAATGGCGCACATTATTATTATATCGGCTGTGTTACTATGTAAATTTTTTATTTAAATCAAAATCGTAGTTTTTAAAATTCAATTGATTATCAACCTGAAATTAACTTTAATTCATCTTGAGGTAAATGGTTCTATGTAATTGGATTAGGAAGATTTAGCGCAAATAATACAGCGTGCCCTGTAAGAACGTGTGTGTGACGTTTGTTGTATAATTAATGGGGAGACGGCGGTTTTTCATGGATAATAATTCAAGTAGGACATATTAAATACTCTGCTGTGCCCAGAAAAAGGTGACCAACAAAGTAATTAGTCACCTATACATTAAAAATGCCATTCAACGCTAAATTTGCCCTAGTACTGAGAGAAACAATAGCATTAAGTATAGTAATCGAATGAGCTAGCATAGAATTTTGTAAATTACACTACTGCCATAACAAAGAGTTACGATATTGTGAATATGATTGTGCTGCATTTGAAAAAGAATTATAAAATATGAAATTGAAATAAATTTGTTTTACAAAGAAAATATTTTGAGGGAAATGCCTATCATTGTTGTTTGATAAATCAATTTTTGGTTTTCTTTCTTTCTATCATAGTAAATGTAAATGACAATTTTAGCAGCACAAACTTATTGCACTCAGAAGAAAAGAATTTTGCCAAATACGATAAAAGAGAAAAATGGAAGATGAACTTGAATTTATTAAAGTATTCTTTAATACTTTTTTTGCAAGACAGAAAAATGCTTGCAACACAAACTCTTACAATTTTAATGTACGAAATAAGATTTTACAAGATACAGAGTAAAGGAGAATTATCAAGGGCATTCTATGTGCTTATATTTCATTTTCATCGTGCTTCGTCCATTGTTAGTAGTTTTTGATTCACAGAAATAGGTTGAAACTTTTTTATTGTACAATACACATAAAATACCGCCTTAATAATTAAATCTGAGATTTGTTCTCACTCTATGTTCATTTAATACATACATGGGCAATGTAATTTCTAATATACACAAATCCAGCGGCACCTACTAACGTTCCTGTGATATTCTATGCGACTGATGAGTTTAAGATGTGATGGATCACATAATCCCTTTTGTACAACTGGTAACAGAGACCAGTTTTTATATAAAATCAATCTTGTACTTTTATAACCTGTAATTTCAATTGATCACTGATTTCGATCATTTCTAAACTTACAATTTGATACTGATATACTTCAATTTTTACAGACTTTGTACCAGCTTGATATTCCTAACTCCTAAGCGTTAGAATGAAAGTAATTCGGCAATACCGATTTGTGCACGTTGAGTGATTATAATTGATTAAAAAAACTCGTTAGGTTTTGCAATTATCAAGCGTAACATTATCGAAACGTGAGAAATCAGACTTCGCTCTATTTACGCGCGTTCAGTATATTTGCTGCATGCTGTCGATTTATCGATATTTTACGATTATTGACCGATACGATATATCATGTATTACTCTTTCAGTGTAAATAGCGGCTAGCGTTACAAGAGTCACGTATAGCGACTATAATTTTTTTAATCGCACAACATAGACAAAAAGACAGTTGCGTTCTTATGAATATATACAGGGTGGCTCAAATACAATATGTAGTTGTCAAAGAAAGAATTTCAAGAAATAAATTCTTTCTTTTTCAACTTTCATTTGAGAAGTCTTATTAATGTAAAATATAGTAAAAAACGATTCTTTAGTATTTAACAAATATTCTACTCGACCTATTCTAAAAATGGATATATTTAGCTAAATAAAAGCTGAACAAATTTGAAAATTGGCCTTGAAAATCTAGCACGTCCGATTTGTGCCGAAGTTAAACTACGCGCGTACACCGAGAGATCGAATCGAATTTCGAGATCCTGATCTCTCGAAACTTCGAGATCTTGTACACACCGAATATTTTCCGCAATATATCCATTTATGAATCGAAATCGGTCACTCTATATGTGTACACGTTGTTTTATATTTCTAATAATTTCTGTCTGCTGCGAAGTCGTAATTAAAAATGGAAAAAACTGAAACGACACGCTAGAAGAATACTACAGAAAAGTATTACTAAAAGTATTCATTATGATTAGTTTATTATCGTTGCGACTTTGCATCAATTTTTAATGAAATTGCTTACTCCATAAACGTAGCAATAAAAAAAATAATATAGACTTATATTATCAGTGACGTGTATAGACTTGTTAAATTAATGTTATTTATTTGATGGTTATCGTCAAATAGAAATAATGCTCGTATTAGTACTACTATGTACAAACACGTAGGTTTCGTTGGGGCTCTATGTAAAAAATGTGCTATGAATCGTCGTGATTTAATACTTAGTATATTGAAACGTTAATTTATGCTTGTAATGTGTACTTTGGACGATTTACTTGAAACGATCGGTTATCATGGATCTGAACTCACTTCCGGTTCCATTTTCAGTCATTCATATGCCAATACTCGATTTAAACGATAAGTTCGGAAAAAATAATTTTGGCCTATTTTTTTAAACGAAAATTATACCGAAACGATCGTTATTATTATTCGTACATATTGCACAATTAAAAATAATATTAGTAACCACACAAAAGTATTAGAGGTTAATACGCAATACATTGCGAAGATCTTTTGCTAAACAATTATACACCGTTCCGAGAAAAAGAGATTTCTATCAGACGTCGCTTTTTAGATTAACATGTTAGGCACTAACCTTGTAGTGTATCCTTTCGTATTGTATATAAAACTATCTTTTAACGTATTTTTTAACCAACCGTGTTTGAATTTCGCGTCCACTGTCAAACGGTGCTGAGCAACCGTAAACGGTTTACGTCACGTTACTGTAGCTGCGCGCGTTTACGTGAGAATAGGCGGTAAAGTTCAAATCGATTTATCGGCAATCGGTAATTCCGTCTGGGTTTGCGTAGAATTGAAAAGCGATTACCAAGTTTTGCATCTTTTTGGAGGAACAAGAAAATGTTAGAGATGACATGCTCTAAAAACAGGGCCTACCACCGCCGTCTCCGATACTCGTTGATTACGATAAACTAGACTTTTGTAAATTACTTTAAACATTAAGGGGAGTAAGATCGGAATGACCGCCGCGTATTATATTACTACATTATGTTCATATATAACGAGAAATTAAGGTTAAATTACGTATAGTCTTAGATTTTGTATGATATTCACTTTAAAGAGAAAAAAGTTACTCTAAAGATAAAGATATATGTATTATATCTATGAAATTACGTGTAATGACAATTGATCGTTCGTCGATCTCGAGTGTGAAGACGATCGACGAACGACGAAATTCATGTAGCGGCGTTGATCATCGAATCATCTTTTTGTATGAAAAGAAGAAAAAACAGAATTGTAAAGCGATATCGGTAACGGTGCACTCGATGTGAAAGGAAATACACGACATAATAATGAACCATACGAGCAATTTTAATTTTCCTACCTCCCCCATTCTTATAATACATGCTATTCTGGAACAACTGCTTACGGTATATGTCGTATTCGTATGTTCCAAATTTTATGGCTGTTATAAAATGTTCCTAGTCACTTAAAACCATAAACATAGTATGCTATATACATACAATGTCTATGGTCAAAATCGAATTGTTAGAGGCGCGCATTTTTATAATATAAATTCTTCCTAAATAAACAAAAAGTAATTAATATGGACACAAAAATAATAAATAAGTTTCGTGTTCAAGTGGGGAACTGAAATCGAATAAAGTTCAAAACGTCCAGAACTGAAACATGGTATTTTCCATCCATCCGTGGAACTGTCAATTTTCGTTCGAATAGGTTAGCATACCGTTAACCATGCAAACCATAAATTATCGATGATAAAAATAACTAACATTTTCTGTGACATAGAGCTAATTGTAAAATAGTTCTCAGTTAGTTTTACAAGAAGAAAATATTAACAAAATAACTGTTATTAAGCAGACAACTTATAGTGGAAGGGTAATTATAGTGGATGAACAAATTAAGGAAAATCGCGGGTTGTCGTGTAACGGCTTCTCTCACAATGCCATTCAACGAACCGCAATTCCTTAAAAGGTTCGTTGTATGACATGCATTGCGAACTTTGTTCTATTTGTACTGTAAGTTAATAACAACTGTTTTCTTTTCAAAACTACGTAAAATCCCGCTATGTGGAGTAAAAAAATTAATGAAATATAAATACTTAGCGCATAACGATAAATCACATGGCTATATAAATTCCAACACAACGCGTGTAGTACAATACGCGGCAATATAACGCGTGACAATATAGTACCAATGAATCGCATTTTTTACTAATTCTAAGTAACAAATCCAATGTTATCGATCGTTATGTTTATCTAAAATGTTACTTCCATAAAATAATCGTTTTCTTACAGAAATATATACTTACATATTTGAGTAGAGGTCGAAGCATAGCGGACATGTAATTGAAGAATGTAACGGATGTACCCGAAATCAAGTTCACATTCGATTGGTCACCGGATAATCAAGTTCTCGGACTCGTAATAACTTTTAGCCATCCACAACTGGTTGGTTTTATTTCGTATTCCTGTAGGACCGTGTTTTGCGTAAAAGTTGGACGACAGATTATTACGTGATTCGCAAGAAAAATGGAAACAGTACAGTAAACCAGTTCAGTAGCCATACGTCACGAGATCGAATGTTGTGACAATTTCAAACTACTTTTTGTTTAACCGGGCTATAAATGTACATCTATAGACGTTTATGAACTACAGAAGTAGAAACTCAAAATATTTCTAAATTGAATACATCTCACTTCAATAATGTACATTATTAAAATAACTAACTAGTTATCTAAAATAAAATATTATTTTCAGATAATAACTTGCATCAAATGCTGCTATTGTATTTTATATTTATAATTAAGGACGTAATTTATTTATATAAATATTCATAAATATATGGTTTATTAAGGAAATTAAAATGAGGATTATTGATGAAGGATACAGCGATCCCGATTATCGTGAAGCAGATTTTTCATCGTGAAGAAGATGGGTTGAATGTCCTCCGGGTGAGCCGAAGATTTATCGAAAAAATGTAAAACGTATCGTGTTTCCTAACATTCAGCAAATTTGTACATTATTCAATGGAGGTCCTTCTACATGCTATTAAGAAAATTCTTGGAATACTTGGTGGGGAACAAACTGACCGAGGATGGACGTACAGTTCATCCCTGTTAGTACAATTGCGAGCGTGCCAGTGGTAAGTGTTCGATGACCGAACATTCGCGTGTGACATGAAATTTATTTCCCATTAAAATATAAATAATACCAGTAACAATATTTTTTATATATAATACTTAAAATTCCATCGATATTTGACAACACATTGCAATGATAAAAACAAACAAGAAATTTATTAAAGCAAACAATTGGGATACCCAGTAGAATGAACAGAACACAAAAAATGATATTAATTTACGTTGTTTTAATGACGTTCAACTATGTTTACGTAGAAATGCGAGCAAACCGCGAATCCAGCGGAGAGTATCTACAGAAGGTGATGTTTCAGCTTCAAGAGTTTAATGTCCCTTCTTCTATGAACATCTACGATCGTTTATCATTGAAAAACAATTATAAAAATACACCAACTAATGGGAATAAAAATAAACAAAGTTATACACCTCAAAGAATTAATATGAACGTGCGACAAAATGTAGGAAATTATCGAAATCAAAGCGCACATCATAATGTTCCAATTAGTGATAGGATTGAATTACATCGAGCTGATTATGAATCTCCGCCTCACTATTATCAGGTAATATATCGGGTTTCAATGCATCAGAGATTCAACGCGTGACGACATAATGCAAGTTCTAACGCGTGGCGATATAACGCGTGGCAATATAATGCGTGCAATTAAATACTAAATGAAAAATACAAATTTTTACTTTAACATTTACTTTTTAAATTTTATAATTTAAGAAAAAAATACATAACGTTTTGAATGTGAATTCAGACCTTTCAGTATCAGCCGCCGACTATCACGAAGGTACAAGAACCGGAAATGCTTGGATTTACACGAGCAGAGCTTGCGGCGATGTACAAGAATGCATTAGATAAAGGATCCACGCTCAGTTTGTCTTCATTAAATAACGCATTCTCTTCCGGCGAGATACCTCAAGCTACGCAAAGTCATGTAGAGTTCCCGGCCAAGCAGCCTCTTTATCAGTATTATTTTTTTCCATTGAAGACCTTCATGTCAGAGTTCAAAAAAGACCATGGTTATAAAACAATTGTAAGTAAAACACTAAAGTGTTTGTAACCATCTGTTAAAATGTACTAATTTGAAAACTGATGAAATAAATATTTTTTGTAGCCTGATTCTGCATATGATGGTAATAAGGGAATTGCACAAGTCGCGCAAACGCAATTGTCACACCCACTGTTTACAGCTATAAGTACATTTATCACCATGGCGATTGTATTCATGATGAGCATCTTGTTTTTACCAAAACTTACTCAGTTAGATATATTTCACGCCCGAGCGATTCAAGAAGATTTCTTTTATTTATCAAATATCATTAGAAATGCTATTGAACAGTACAATTTTTTAGAAACATTTAAGAATTACAGTATAGATTCTGTCATATAATCTAAAATATAAAATTGAGTAATCGAGTAAATTTTGTAACAGCACATTATAATGTCTCAAACAGCAAACAGATGTACAAAAAATATTATAAATATCATTCAAACCTTAATTTCTATAGTTAGTTCTTAGATTAAAACGTGTAAAACTGAAATAACACTATATGATCTGACAAAATATATTTTATAACATGTATTTAATTACATTATTTGTTATTAGTTGGATAAATTTTAACAAAAACAACACAGAGTTAAACAAAACAATCCTTATCGGATAACATTATAATATACTAAACTTTATTCTTAAAAAATGTAATATGTAATGTCTTACAATTTTCTTTTGTACATAAATATTATAGAATTGTATAAAGTTATTAATAACTACAGATATTTTAAATAATACATTAATCGATACTATAAACATCTACAAATATTGTGCACGTTTTGCAATCATAGTTTAGTAGTAAAACTATAGATAAATTGTTTGTTTTGATCTATCCAAGGAATGTATGCATGTGCGATTTATCTAAATTTGCAATAAAGAAATTAGGTACTTTTGTAAAAGTATAACTATATAGATGTTGTGAACTGTACAATATGAAGAATATAGAGAGGAAGGCACACTTTGGAGTAATACCTGTAAGCTCTTTACTCATTTTACATGCTACCTACTTCTTTAGTCAGTCTGTCCGATTAGCAGTGGAAAGAGATGCCTGTTCTGCTGCTTTTCGTTTTAATACTTGACGCTGATGCTCGTATTCAAAATCCTCTTCAGTTATATTTAGTTTTCGAATCTGAAATAGTATATTAGAGATGTCTGACCATATCCAAAAAAAATTGATAGTTTACCTGATACACTAAAGCTTCTTCTTCCATAATGTGTTGTGGAGGATTTCTTAGTACTTGGAGCGTTTCGTAAACTGTCGGACAGCGTTTAGTAAGGGATGTACGACCTAAACTGCCTTTTAACAAAACCAGACCGACTTTAAAAATAATTTTAACGCCTTCACAAAGAAACATATCCCACACTCGAAGAATACTTTCCCATGGCAGTGTTCGCGTATAAACACACAAGAACCATTCAGTCATATATAAAATTGGCTCCATCTTTTGTTTTTTCTGCAAAAGTGAATATTATATACACACAATCTAATTTTTAATTGTATACAAAGAAGAAAATAAGTTTATACTAACTAAATGTTTATAAGCAACAGGAGATACTCTTTTAAGAAGAGCAAATAAAATATCTCCATCTCTTAATAATGTTTCCATTCCTTGACTATAATAACCGATCAAGTATTTATCACATATTGCAACGAGACACCAAAATGCTTGTACAGCAGGCATATGCATCAGCAAAAATGCTGCGATAGGTGCTTGAGCTTGACAATAACCAACTTTACTATTCAAAATTGAATATGCCTTCAACACTTTAAATAGTTCTTCTTGTCCTGGTGCTTCTCCAATAAACATCACATGATGAGGAAATTGTCGATGAAGATCTTTTTTTATATCGTCTATATATTTTGGATCACCAGATCGTTCTACCAGTTCTTCAAATAAATTTGGGTTTCCATCCATCAACAATTGGCCCCCACATAGATTTAACCATGCACGGAGCCTTACAGAAGGTGGAATACCTTTTCTGCATCTTTCTCTTACTTTACGATAATTTGTATTCATGAAATGACTCCAATTATTTAACATCTGTATCCATTTTCGTTCCCTTCTTAGCATTATCTCAGGTGGTATTCCTTGTTTTGCAAGGCTATAATTTTACAAAATATATTAATAAATGAACTATTACATAATAGTTAGAAAATTATTATATTATTTCTTTCAATATTACCTATCAGAGCTACAGTTAGAGTCTTGAAGGAAACCATGTCGATCAATTTTTGATCCTTCAAATTTATCACTTTCAGTCTCTGCATCCCCATTATGTGATCCTGAGGCCGCCATAGCATTTTTCTAACTGTCTGAAGCAAATTGCATAATTTTGTAATTAACAATGCATATTTGCATCTCAGAACCGGTATATAATAAATCACATTTATCAAACTTCAAAAGAAAACAAATTAAAGATTCAAAAACCTTGTAACTTTGAAATTGAAAATAAAATCATCAAACCAAACAATTTTTATCAGTAAGAATAACAAATCTGCTAAGAATAGCATAAAAAATGTTATCTTTTAAAAAAAGCAGATATAATACGTTTTTACTCTAGAGTCAAGAAATTAAAAAAAAAAGTTATAATTAAATATTTTTAACTATTTAAGAACATTTAAAAGCAATAGATGAATATTACAAAAATAAAAAATTCCAATTATGTTACGACTATGAAAATGGTTATAAAAATTGGAACGAATGTCATTGAATTTACTTTGTCAATTGCAATCTTCACCGAACGTATTATTAATCTCTCTACATAAGTTAATATTAATCAACATATTTTAACATTACAATTCTTCCACTTACATTAATGAATCAAAACAAACAGCTAAACGTCACTAAATGTCCACAACTGACAGTTGACAATTAGTAGCCAATGAAATCCAGAGAAATAGTACCATAACGTAATGATAATTCAAGATAATCTAGACTTTATATACATTGCGTGATAAAGCATCGTTTTGAAACGCCCAAAAAATGTTCATGCAATGAATTATAGTTTGTGCATCCCGTACAAACACGCAATTGCGTATATACTATATATATCTTCAGAATATTTACTTTCTGATAATCGCATTAATAATGAGTAACGAGAGGTACTTTAATTAACTGTACTCACCATCGATGCTGTCCAACAATGTAACTTATGAAATATGAAAAGAACATGTTGTACATCATTTAAAGATATCGGTATCTTATTTCTGTCATACACGATGATTATAGTTTGTACATATATCAGTTGAAATTTATTACTACATTATAGCACTACATATGGCAAAATTTTTTATTTCCAAATACAGTACTGAGATAGGTACTTTTAATTGGGTGGTTCCACTCATTCGTCTGCTTATCCAATAGTAAAGGAGGATTAAAAGTAAGACAACTGAACTGTTCCTTAGGTAGTAACATGAATACAAATTGTAATTTAACTTTATTTACATTTCCATTTATGGAAAATAGGCATATTAATAAAAAAAGAAAACAAATTTAAAAATAGCTTTTATGATATTAGTGTCAAATGCTTTATTGCTTCTTAAACATGGAAGGCATTTAATCGGTCATGTAGTATATATGTATATATTGTTTATGTATGTTACATACAACAGCATTCAATGAGAGAATAGGGCTGCTTTGCGCAGCTCAAGTGAGTCCACGAGGACATTAGTGCTATCCCACCACGTTTAGCTTTCTCCTTCATTAATTATATATACCGTGGACGAAATATATGATTAGTAGATGCGTGATCATCTTCGTAAATTAGAATTATAAATGTTTAAATTTTCGAATTTTCAAATTCAAGATTCTATTATACATCTTGTAAATTCCTTGAAGCTGATTTATATGAGTATGGACTGATTAATGGTTGGAAGACAGACTATTCGGTAAAAAATACCGTGCAGTCGTCGAAGGCATTTAGTCATGTTTGACATAGAAAATGTGCAAAATAAAAGACAACTAAGTATATACTCTTCGTGATAAAAGCTTCATAACTGCGTTTGCGCTTTACTCTTGGTTACAAACCAATCAGAACCAACATGCGCAAGACGAACGAAAATCGGTCATTCGATAACTCTGCCTTTTGCTGAATTGACTATTTTACATACATCATGTATATACATATACATACATAAACAGATACACATTTATACATTTCTTAACCTTGCATAAATTTCTTGAACCGAAGAAAACATGGTTAAAAAATGACATTGGAAATATACATATATGTTTATATCTGTTAAAACTTTAATATACGTAAAATATTTAATCCTTCGTACTGATTCCTTTTTCTTATTATTTGATGTCTCCTACCGGCATCGTTCCTTTCAAATATAAATGGAATTTGTATCAGTATTCAATAACAATTATTGTTTGTGATCTTTAGTAGTGAAAAATAATATTTTTAGGTACAAAATTCTTTACATAAATTTAAAAATTATACGTAGGTATTTTAATACAATTGTTAACTATATACAGGTATCGAACAATGACAGGTTTAATTCATAAAGTAAATGGATGAAAACAATAGTCAGAACATGACGGAAGAAACGGACAAATTTCCCGTCAATATGTTAACGTAAGTTTTTTATACGTAAACATCTTTTAATATTTCGTAATAATTTAATGTAATCTAAACGTAGTTTGAAAAAATATTAAAATTTTACAGGGCAGAAGGGTTGTTAAAGAACAGAGGTATAAAGTGCCATGCTTGGGATGAGTATGAAAGATCAATTAAAACCCTTCCAAAGACTGGAATGAAACAGTTTGAACCAGATAACTCTTGGTTGCAAAATATGCAACTTGAGAAAGGCATTATAACCCGTAAAAATTTATTAGCTGTGGAAAGGGTAGACCGTATTTCTCAATTAGCCAGTGCCGAATGGTTGCCTGCACAAAAAAGGGCCAAAGTCAAAAAACATTCTGGTCAAGACTGGAGTAGTTTTGGTTTGGAAAAAAATGGTGCCTTGTACTTAATACCAGAAGAAGCATTGTTTCTTTTGGAAGCTGTATGTTTATATAATTCAAACACATGGACTATAAACTTATGAATTGTTACGTAACATAATAATTAATGTGCATATTATTTTATTTTAGAATTGTTTGGAGCTTACATGGAACGATGTACCATTATCCATTCAACAAGCTTATGACCTTTTAATTGATAACATCGAATGTTCTTTAGAAGAGTATAGAGTTTATAGTCAATTAGTACGCTATGGTTATCACATACAACGTTTCATTTATGCTTCTGAAAGGAATGTAAAGCATGATGAAAGTGTTAATACAAAACGTAAAGTCATTGTGGAGCCTGAAAATGGTCTTTGGATGATTGATACACAAGAAAGTAAAGATTGTATAAATATAGACAATCAAAAATCTATCAATTCTCCAGAAGAAACTAATAGGGACAGTAAAAAACCTGATGTTTCTCCACAAAAAACTAATACAGACAGTGAAAAACATGCTGATTGTCCGAAACAACTTAGCATAATCGACGAAATATCTCTCGATTGTCCAGAAAGAACTAGTATGAACAGTAGCATACCTGTAGATTGTCCAGAAATAATTAATATGGACAACAGAATACCTACAGATTGTCCAGAAAAAAATACAAACAGTGAGAAACTTGATGATTGTCCAAAACAAATGATTAAGGATGATACTGATTCTTCCATAGAAATTTGTCAAAATGTAACAGAACACAGTGATGTAGTAAATGATGTACGTGAAGTTTTAAATAATCTTCTTGGTAAAATAGGAAACACAGAAATTCAATCTGAAAGTGTTGAACATGAAAGTAACATAGAAAACTGTACAAAATTAAATACTGATGTGGAATCTGTGAATATAAATGGAACTAATAGAAAGAGAAATTCTAGAGCAGAAATTATATCAGAAGAAACCTTATTAGGTAGTATAAAAATTGTCAAAGATCCCTCAGCTGATTACAGCAAGGATGATAAAATGTTAAATTGGCGCGGATCGCGCATACAACGAAATGTAAAATTATTACCAAAAAGAACAGATAAAGTGTCGGCTTCTGATATTTCTATAATTGATTCCAATACTAAAACTTTGGAACATTGCTTAGGTAAACATAAATCATCTTCAATATCGAAAGAAAATTCACCAATTAAAAGATCAAAACAGGAGGTAAGTGCTTACAGTAATCTCTGTAATATTATAAATTATAAATTTTATAATTTTTTACTTTTTAATTAGATCATAGAACTTTCTGATGACGAGGTTCAAGAAGTACCAAAACCTATGACACGAATGGAAATATTGAATTTAATTCCAAATATAGCTTCTCAGTCTGCCATATCAATAAAGGTTTCAAGAGGTTACATACCACACAGCATAAAACCTCATAAAACTGTTTATCATTATGAAAGCTCAAAATTAAAAAACTTACAGCAAACGGACAAAAGGCTACGGCCTAACAAAAATGTAGAAAGTTCAAACACAAATCAAAAGACGCCACAATCCTACAATTCTTCCACGAACAATAATGTTAGAAGGAATACAAATATTATGCCATTTCATCAAAATGTAACAAGTGTACAAAATGTTTTTATGCAGGATTATTTTTCTATGCAGCAGGCTCAGCATACAAATTTTAATCCTAATTATGTATATATGAATAGATTACCGTACATGTACAACCAAAGCTCATATTGGCATCATAGAAATACTATGTTCCAGAACATGTTCGTTGCTGTAGAAAATCATAGCACTGCTATACATCAGAACAGATTCATTTCAGTACAAATGAATAATTTTTTAGTACCAAATATTACCAATAATATGATAAGAAGTTCTATTAGTCGCAACCAATTTCACCAGAACTTTTATCAGAATTCTTTACGAAAATTGTACCATCACAAAGTTGTAGAAAACACGTCGATTCACTGTAGTATCGGTAGAAACGCGCTTTTGTCAGAACCTCGTCAAAGATTTTGGTCAAGAAATTATCAGAGAAGTTCAAATGTGGCAGCAAAATCTAACGATGAAGTTTATCATTCATCATTTAGAGCATTACCAGGAACATCTTCGTGGTCAGAATTAAAAACTAAATGGCGCGAAGAGAAAACAATTACTATTGACGATGAAGATACAGAAAAAGACAAGATTGAAGATAATAATGAAATACAAGTAGTCGGACAAATACGTAGTCCTCTTATTGGGCCAAAGAATGCAAATAGTCTTGAAGAGATTTTCAGCAAACTTAAAATAATTAAATCTGCGTCCGAAAAAACTGTAAGAAGAAAAACGAATAAATACAAAATATCATATAATGTTTATTCGAATACACAAAATTACAGAAAAGCAAATCCTGGGTTTCCACTTTACCGGATAGTAGTAGTAAGGTAAATATATTCAACTTACTTTCTTTAAGTTATATCAAGTAATATGATTTTTTTCTAGGCAAGATGATCCATTTATACAGCCAATTGAATTACATCGCTTGATACAAGATTCGGGCAGCACGCCGATAATATTGGCATGTGTTTCTATGTCAATTTCGTATGTTCAACCGGGATATATATCTGTACATAACTTGACATAATTAAATTGTAATACTCATATTTTATAGTATTTAATTAAATATTCGTATTTCTTTTTTATTTATTTTTATATAAAATGTAAAATACAATTTTACTATTGCGTTTTGTACTGATTAATATTGCATTAATACACATGATTCTAGATGAAACATATTTACAGCTTATATTAATTTAAATATTTTACGAAATTAAAATATTTAAAAACATTTAATATATATTACATACATTAAGTAACTGGAAACAAATTACTGCTCCATCTAAAAAATTTTAGAACAAATAGTTTTAAAAAGAAACACATTAATATTAATGCAGATACGAAATGTAAATTAAAATATAAATTTTAGGTATAATATATTAAAATTAGTACGCAAATGATGTGTATTTCATACTTTATTATAAACATTTCAAGCAACATTTCACGTTGTAGAAATTATGTTAAAACCTGTTTTATATTAAATTTGCGTGCTTTTGTATTTATGAAATTATTTCCGGTCTATAACTGGCTCTATAGTTTGTCCACCGCAAATTTGACCCCAACCGATTAAACGCCAGTGTTTCTCGACACGACGAGACAACGCAATCTTTTCGTCAATCTCTGTACAGACAGGATTCGTCAAACTGATTTTAGCTAAATCAGCACGGGTAGCCAGTACACGGCCACCGGTACTTAACGATCCAATATTTACTAAAAGTACTTCGTTTTTCGATAATTTTGGTACCTATTATTAAAAACATATTACAGTTATAAAACACAAAATAGATCCCAAAGTATCCTTTCACAATATACTTACCCTTGCACCCTTTTTATCACCTTCTGTTCTAACTCCTAACAATCGTTTTAGAAGGTAATATGATATCTCAAGTTCAATAAATATTTTTGGTAAAGCCCCTACAGCTCCCAAAATTTGTCCCACCAAACGATCTGCTCGACATAACGTAGGTTCAATTTTTGTTCCAACGCCTGTAAATTTATCATTTAAGTATCATTATTATATTTTTCATTCATATAATTTAATTCTTTCAGAGATTTCACGGTATATAACTTACCAATAAGGCCACCTGGAACAGCAAATTGAAGTTCATTTTGCTCTGCAAATAATGATACTATCCGCGAAAATATAGGTCGACAAGTTAATTTTCCTTCACTGTCTTTAGACACTAGTCCAGGACGAACTTCAATTTCCATACCCACCTATAAAACATCAAATATATTAAATGAGTATCAGCTTAAACTAAACAATTGTAGAAGTACTTTTTACCATACTTTTAATACTCCTCTTAAAATACTTCCTCCGGCAACACCTCCTTTCAGATCATCAACTTCACAACCAGGTTTATTCACGTCGAATGACCGAATTACTATTAATCTTGGTTCAGAAGTAAAATCTCTTATAGGTACTGGAATTTTCTTAGTGATATACTCGCACAGGACTTCGATATTATACTTTAATTGTGCAGAAATTGGAATTACAGGTGCTCCTTCAGCTACCGTACCTAATTAAAAAAACATTTATTAGATACGCATTGAGAATATATTGTTAAGACTAAATTACCTTGTACAAACTTCAAGATTTGTTCATACTGCTCCTTGGCTTGAGCTTCTTTTACCAAATCTATTTTGTTTTGTAGGATTACAATATGTTTCAGTTTCATGATCTCGATGGCAGCTAAATGCTCTGATGTCTGAGGTTGAGGACACGATTCATTGCCAGCTACAGATAAACATTTAGTTTTTTTAATGTTCTTTGAAAGACAAGGTTTGATATTGTAACTGATATCTCTTTAGATAATATACTGCTTAACATATGAAATGCTACCTGAAGCAAAATCTAAGATAGTGAAATATGGGCAAAATGTTAACAAATATATACCAATTAAAAGTAAGGCTGCATCCATAACTGCTGCACCGTTCAACATAGTTGCCATAAGAATATCGTGACCTGGACAGTCGACAAAGGACACATGGCGTACCAATTGAAATCGTCCAGAGCAAACTGGACGTAAACAAGGAAATGAATCATCTTTACTTGATCCTCCAGATATGTAACATCCCGGTCTCGGGCATTTTTCATTATCACATTTGTAAATCTTAGCATTTGCATATCCTAAAACAAACCAAGCCAAACGGATTCATAGTACTTTAATTGAACAAATATTTTCCAAATAAATACTTTGATATATTTAATTCTATTCTAATACTTTTTTTATTAGGATTAGATTAGTCTTTAGATAGAAAAGGTAGTAATATTATCAAAGAATTTAATAAAAAACAACTTAGTGAAATAATTAAGTCTTGGTGTAACACATATTTATTTTTTTCATGCATTACATGTATACAATTGAAAAAAAAAGTTTTTTTTACATATGGTTTTAAATAACTTAATAAGTTTAAAAATAAGAGAAAAACACAATACAATATTAACTTTGGTAAAACTTATATTTTGCTTAATGTAATAGTTTTATCGTCTTAATTTTAAAAATATGTTGAACATTAATATTTTTATTATTACTGTGTTAAACATTTATCATCTTTGCATATAAGACCATGGTACTTATAACTTGAAACTGTTAAAAATATAAATATAAATGATTAGTGCATGACACTAAATTTTTACCAAATTTAAAATAGGTTCACGCATATCTATATAAATTGTATTTAAGATACATGCAAAATATATTACGTAAGTTGTACCATTTTTTTTTTCTTTTTTTTAAATACTAATAATGTGTATAACACATAACGCATTTAATAAGTAATTAGATAAATTACAGAAATTAGTGTTATTTTCAAAAAAGTAACAGTTCCATTTAATGTCATAATTTTATAGAACATCAATACAAAGGAAGCAAAAATAACGGTATAAATTATCTCATGAGAGAAGGACTATTTATCAAGAATACATAATGAAAAGTATGAAAAAACAAAGTACACAAATAAAGAATAATTCTTTTTAGACAAAAATAAAATGAATACTGAAGAATGCATAATTAAAGCTGTTAAAAGAAAATATTCTTCTAGGATTATGCATTATTGCGATTTTTAAATATCTAAAAATAGTGTAAACTATGAACATAAAAACATAACTTGTTTTATTAAAATTATCCTATATTTCTTTAATTGGTAATGTTACATTAGCATAACGAAAATAACATTTTTACTACAACTGTTACTATATAATCGTCTTTTGACACGAACAATAAGTTTTGTGTAGACATTTTTACGATGTGTAAACATCACAATAATTACCTAAATGCTTAAGTTAATTACTTAACAATAAGTGAGTAATTCTCTTTTGAAGTGAACATATTATGGCATTAAGATCATAATAAAAGTCAAATAAACTATGTAGAATCACAAAATGTATTTCATACGCGACATTTTCAATGTAATTGTTGTCAATTAAACAAAAATTCGAATGATAAATTCATACGCTTTAAAAGAATAATATACGAGTAAAAGTATTTAAAAGAGTGGCCTTATAACTATGTATCATTGTAAACAGAATAATTTCTAGTAAATACATTTGTTCGATAATAGTTCCTATAATCACAAATATTATTGTATCAATTTATATAACAGTTATATCATATATAAATTAATACCTGAGTATAACATTCATGAAAAGACAACTATGTAATGGTATGCGCAATAAGGCGTGATTCGTAATTTTCATATTTAATTCTGCACACACAGTCTGCTGTAGAATAACTAAAACAATGAAGGTCAAATAGCCAATTTGTTTTAGCAGTAATATAATAAATTTGCAGGATATAATTTAAAATAAATATCGTCTGCAACTTTCAGCTCCACATTTACACAATGTTTTTTTATTTAACAAATCAGACTCTGGTGTCTCTGGATGTATTACAAAGTCCTGAGAAAATTCTGCATTTACATTCTGCTTTATTGACATATTTTGTATTATAGAGTTTTCACCGATCTTTGACGATTGGCACGTATAATCAAAAGTAATCTCCTCATCTTTTTTAATATCTCTTGTCGCGAATAAGGCAAGCTTAGGGAGGTTTGGATCAAGGCAGTTAATCCATATGCCATAAACTGCTAAATTTGGATCGCAGGAATGGTTAATGAAATGAGAAACATTACCATACATGGCAGCGTCAACAGTGTATGGACACTGTTCTTCAGTCTCATTATAATCAAGATCAAAAAGATACGTTTTACCAGCGGCATCATAATTTTTTCCGCGCTTCTCAGCTTCTTCGCTTGTAATCACTTCACCGACGTATTGTGTCACAAAAGCACCCCTTCTGATCAATTTCAAAGTTTTTACGCCCCATCCTCGTCCATTGGCAGTTCTAAAAATGCAGAAGTGCATGCTCGTACCACGTTGTACCACTCGATTTTTGCAATTTATATCACAGTTACATCGTTTGTTACACTCGTATATAGGGGTTCCAGGAGGTACTCTGATTTTACAATTTGTAGTATAGGGACAGATTTTACCATGTTGCGTAAAGCAACATTGTGATCGAGTATCACAAACTTTGCATTCGCAACCAATAGGTGGATCATCAGGTATTATTACCCCAGCACCTGGCAAATAATCATCTATATAATAAAAATCTTGAGGCGGTCCCTCCAAGTCCACTAAATTTTCTACTTGTATTAACGGTCTCCCTTTGGTGATACTGTTCATTTCATTTTCCCAATCTTTCAATGACTGCAGTTGAGCTTTCCTTAAGTCACCAAGTAACATAAGAAGAATGTCATGCTTTATATTACTTTCCATTTTATGATCTCTGTCATGCTTTTTCTTCAAAAAAATTTGGATGTTATAGAACATATCATCTACTTCTACACAAATAGATCTTAATGTTTTACCGTTACGCTTAAGACCATTAAAAAATGTTTCTATGTCTTGTTGGTTGGGATAAAATTTGGTTTTCTGTTGAAATGTATTGAGCAAGTCTGACCTATATTTCTCAAATTGTTGCAGTACATCTGGGCAATTTACTAAATTCGACGCTGGTTCCCAACTGTTATATTTTTGATCCCAATTTTTCCATTTAATTAGATAAAGTAACATGCCATGTCGCTCTCGTTTTCCAAGAATTTGTTCTACTTCCCAAAGTTCACCTTTTGGAATCATAGATTTTATTTTATCTTTACTTTTGTATTTTATATCTTCTAACACAATTTTTAGTTCTTTAAATTGAATGTTTTTTAAATCATATTTCATTTTATGTCCATCAATATTAGTATTATTATTTAATTTACTCAGTCTTATATTTTTTACGCTAGAATCCTGATTTTTGATGTAACTATTTTCGCTTGAGTTGTTTTTCGTTATTTCTGGCGTTAAAGAGATATCACTATCGGTTGATTCACTGTTCGTCGATAGATCACAGTTATCATTTCTTTCTTGATTAAAAATCAATTCTTGTTCGATCTTCTGTTGTTTGGTAGTTGGTTGAATATTCTCTGGAGAAGCTGATCTTTTTGCTCGTGTAGAAGGCATTTTGCTGGTACTGCCAAGAGAGTCTTCTTGTTCCCCTCTGGTATTGTCCCTTGCACGAGCGTCTGTAATGCCAAACATTTAAAGGATGTCATTCTCCTTGGTTACACTTTTCCATATTTCGTTTAAGTTGTATAATTGTTCCTCCCCTTTCTATTAGCCTTTCAGCTTAATGTATCACCTTATACTTTGAAAATTCCTCGAATCCTCTTCATTCTTCTCTGTCATTTAATAAGCAAATGTTTTTTGTATTGATAAAATTAACCAATATGATTCAGAGTTCTGTGCAAAAGAAGGTATCATGTACATCAAAATACATTGTTCCCTCTTATACTAAACCCACGAATGTTTTAGTTTACGATTAAAAGGTTTGAAAATATGTGTAATAATGATAATACTCTACACTCACATAAAGTAGTAGAATTATTCGTTCATGCCTTTGGTACAAGGGAGGCAATATTTTGCAAAATTAAACATCTTTTCATGAAAGTTGTAGTTATTTAATTAGGTCAAACATATACCAAAAATTGTAGTATACCATATAGTATAGTATCAATACCAGTTTTTAGATAAACACTTTAGAAAATGATTCTAGATGAAGGACAATATATTGAACACAGCATATTATATTTGTTTATTATTTTTTACTGGGAAAAAAGTGTACTCTGAACTCTAATTAAACCACGCATATTTCTTGTAACAAATTTATTATAATTATTAACACTCTCAAACTAATTATGCACATAATATTTTAACCACAAGTATAAATAAAAGCACAACTCATGTATATGTAGTGGAATACATGAATATAAATTTATTTCTGAAACTGCAAATTTGAAATTACTTTATAAATTGCAAATAAAGAAATATATCAAATATAAATTTCAGGATTGCAATAAATAAAATACACAAAATTAAAAATTTTTATTTACATTATTTTTACAATATAAATATTTATATAATTCTTGTATTAGAACATTATCTTAACCCTTTATAAATAAAACATTGCCATGTATGAAAAATTATGCACATAAAAAGATTGAAAAAGAAAAAAAATGTACTTAAATTACAATAAAATTTTGATACTAAGAATTGAGCAAAGTTTGTTTGAAAAGGGTTAAAATATAATAAACTGTGTGTTTATGAAAATAATATATAACAAGTTCTAACAAACAATATATCTAATATATCATTACATACATATTATTATTAATTAGGAATTGTACATATCAAATAATTAAAATATATTATTAATACAACAAAGTACTTACCTTATCTTTCTGTTTACTAACATGAAAAAATACATTTAACTATAGATTTCCTTTCAGTGGAGAAAAGAGAACAAACTGTATATTCAATAATTTTGTTACATTAGTTTAAAGAAAATGAACTGTAACAGCCTTAAAAATTATGACATGCATGTTATATACAAAGCACACTTTTTTTTTGCATACATGTTTATATATTAGATGAATAAAAAAAATTAGTTCATTATTTATAATAATTAATTAATTATTTACAGAATAAGTAGATCAGTAAAATCTATCAACCAGTCCAAAAATAGTGTTTGCATGCTTTCCTACTTGTTGATCATATGTATCAATTGAAAGTGTTATGCTTTTGGGTTATTTCATTTTAGGTAAAGTTCATCTTCCAAAATCATAGATTCTCTTTCTAAAACCAGTATACTTATTGGAAACTATATTCATATATTATAAAATAAATTCAAAATTGTAATTTTCAGATGTGATCAATAGATGAAAAGCTACAGAAGCGCACAAGACAATAGTTTAGGGCTACTTATTTTATTACATTTAGTACTTAAATAATGACAAAAATATTTTTTATAAGTCTAATATGCAAACATATACATATATCATAAAAAGAAGAAATGTTTTATATGTAAAATGTATGTCATAAAAGGCAGTGTATTTTTCACATTATTATAGTTCCAATCCTCTTTAAATGAAATGTATAACAATAATTTAAGCAGTCACAATTGTAACTTCTTTTTGTGATTAAAAATAACAGCAACACTTTTGTCACATTTAATGTCTCCTATTTATTACATAAAATAATAAACATGGTTCATTAAGTTTCACGTCTAAAGTAACTATGTAACTATTTTTAAATCTTTAAAATAATACAAAATACACATTTATATATTTCAAACTGATTTTGTTAAAAGTGTTCGATTCTTAAAAGAATTGTTGTAACTAGTAAAAAAATGAAAAATAAAATTGACCTTGTCTTACTTACTTATATTGATTGACAAAAAAATATACATATATTAATTTTAAATAATAAATTAAAAGCTACTTACCAAGTTTAATTGTAATATTTCTCTCTAATTCATTTTTAAAACGAACAGTTTGTACTCCTGATATAGCTTTCACAATGGTAGATTTTCCATGAGCTACATGTCCAATAGTACCTACAGAAATATTTTGAGTTTCTTAACGTGTTATTTTTCATTGTATATAACATTTTTTTGTTTCAAGAATAATGTGAAGGAGCATTTTACATGATACCAATACTTACCAATATTGATTGTTGCTTGTCTACTAATTACTTCACGAGATAATGTGGTTAATTTACTGACATCCTAAACATTAAAAAAATATAAGTTTAAATATTACTATAAAATATTTTGCATCTAAACATTTTTATGTTTATGTATTATGGTAATAATGGTTATTATAATCACCTTTAAGTGATAAGAAAAGTCATATATTATTACATATGTAATCATGTACTATTATATATATAAAAGATATGTGAAATATAAATGTAATAAACCAATATGAACTATATCCAGATGTCATTAATAATTAACAAAACAAACTGAAATTAGTAACAATAATTGTTTTGAATAATGAACATTTTAAGTTTGACTTTACGTTCTCCAATATTCGTTGATGAAAATTTTCATTCAGTTTCGCGCAAATTAAAATTACGATAATATAGTAACATCATAAAATGAGGTTATGTGAAACATGATGAAAACTTGTCACATTATAAAGATATATTAGTATAATTATTACTTACTAGTTTTGAAAGGTCTTGTTTATAAAGATTTGGTTGACCCGTAGTCACTCCAAGCCCTTCCTCACCACCCATAATTACTGAATCGGTAGTTGCAATACGTAAACCACGCGAAGAACACTTCAAAAGAGGCAATAGTTCATTTAAAATCGAGAGTTCAAACGACTCCCTACCAAGAAAGAAAGCCAAGAGAACGTGAACAGCGCCAGTGGAAGTAATTTGAAATACTATATTTCGATCTATTTTACATTTCCCTCCACTGAAGATGGTACCGGGGCCTTATTCTGGAAATCATATAAATATTTGTACATATAATTTGCGTATGATTAATATCGTATGCGTAATACTAAAGGCACTGATAACTATTTTCGAAAAAAAAATGAGAACTTTTATTTAAAAATTTCCATTAGGTGTATATTTAAATTCAAACTACTTCTATAACGGAAAATCGCAACAAAATTTTAAAATGTCTACAAACTAAAGTTTATGAAACCAAGTAAGCATTGTTAATATTGCAAATATTAACAATAGACTCAATTAAAATATATGGAATATTTTAATTTAACGCGTATTTGATGACAGAAACAAAATCGGACGTATATTTTATTATAACATATATAACTGATCATAGCAAGTTGCTGTTTTGATTATTAATCTATTAATAAACATAGAATTAGTTAAATATTTATTTAATTATACATAATATAAATAATTTATGTATACTCCTAATTTATAAAAATGTAGTATCTGCTATTATAGCGTTAAAAAAGAAAAGTCTACTTAAATTTTGTATAGTCTGGTCCATTCAATATCATATGATGTTTATCGCATGAGCTAGTAATACAAATTCGAGAATATAAATTTACTATGAAGTATATTCTAGTAATATTTGTAAAATAATGTGAGCGATAGTTTTTGAGAATAAACCAATTCTCAGTCATTCTGCGCATATCAACTGTGATTTATTCTAGCACATTTTGAAACCAAGAATAATGTGCATACGCATTTCATGACGTTTCTAACGGCACGTACGTATACCCAGTGCTATTTTACTTTGTGCATTTTCTATATAGGAATGATCAACCGCTTCAATAATACAATCTCCATTACCTACGCATTAGACGATGTATATGTTAACTGAAGAAAATCTGCGAGATCAAACAGATTTCAGATCGAACTTTTCTTCATTTAATACCTCATGTAACCGATAGATTCGATTACATGCATACTCGTCAACTCCAGTGCGCAATCCTATATGTTGCACTGCTTCCCATCATTCGTATACTTTGTCTACCATATATACTTCCATTGCGTTAGAATCATAGTGAAGCAGCACTAACAATAAGTGGTGAAAAACTTTCTGAGATTAGCTGAATTGTACAAACTCAGTATAATGTACTGTGAAACAAATAATTATAGCTTATTCGATGAGAGAACGTATTCGTCGATCGACTAGTTTTCGTTTGTTCTGCATATATTGGACCTGATTGGTTTGTGTTCGTTTGGTAACTAAGAGCAACGCACATGCGCATTTGCCATGTTCATAACAATGAGCAGATATATTTAGCAATCTTTTTATTTTGTATAATTTCCAAAATCACCATTCTTTTCTTTTTATATTACATATTATTGCTTACCATGTATATGGTTGACCTATTAGACGGCGCATTACAGTGGGACAACTTTGACTTGCGCGAAACAAGCTTGTTCTCTAACTGAATGGAGCATAACTTTGTTCTAGCATTGAATATGATTCCCATGAAAGTTAAAGTACCGTACTAGTGGTTAATGTGGCGTTTTAATGTTTTACTATTTTGCGAGTGAGATAAATTAATACTAAATAATTAATGTGATTAATAAGCAAAGGATGTACGTATAATTTATGTTTTTAAAGGAAGTCATGTATATTAATATATATTGATAAGAACAATTTTGAAATAGTAACGTATCATAACCTCCTATAAAGAAATTTTCGTTTATTTTATGTAGGAACGCATAAGTGGATGGCATTTTAGTGGATGAAGTATATCATAAAATATTGAAATCTTTGTCTTTTAAACATCATTTTGAAAAGGTACGTTATTATTTTTACTTTTTAAAATATTATAATGGTTTTAAACAGTTTAAATATATAGTATATAATAGAATAATTATTTTTAACAGTTATGGCAAGTACTGACAAAGAAATAAATAATCCACATTCAGACCTTGGTGATTGTTCTTCTAAAACAGTAAATGAATCGATATTGTTACAACAGGATGAGCAATCTAACAGTAACAGAAATTCTCGTTTGTCTACCTTAAGAAAAAGATCAGTTATAAATATCAATATGAAAGGGTCATCAAAAGCCAGAAACATAGAAGCTTTGCATAGATTGCTATGTAAACCATTGTCTATAAATGTTACCAGATTATCAATGTTAGAATTACAAAAAATATCAAAAGTACAACATAAAATACAGAACAATGAAGAAAACAGAAGTCAGATAGGGATAAGAAACAGAATAAAAGTTAAGAGAAAACAGGCTTATGGTTGGAAACATATAAAAAAATCTGCTAAACCCCAATCTGTATCATCTTGTCAAACAATAGTATCCAATAATTCAGATTTAGGCTCACAGGATTCAGTAAAAAGTGTTAAACAACCACATATAAAATTACGCAGAATAGATGAAGTAATTCATAAAATAGCACAAACATTTGCGAAAGTAATCCCAAATAAAGAGTGTAATGCAAGGGCACACACAGATCAAACAGAAAAAGTCCATACTATAGCAAATAGATCAAAGGAAGTAGTATCAGAACCATCAGACATTGATACAGATGAACATATTCAAAGTAATAATTCTCCAATTTCAACATCTAGTCCAGATATAAATGAAACTTTACAATTAAATGATCAGTTCCAAAATGAGATAGAGGACTCTGACAGTACTGAAATTAACAGAAATGCATGTAATAGAAACTTTAAGAGAAAACGTAAAATTCTGTTTGACTCTGATGATGAGTCTGATAGTAATACTAATAACGTGAGTGGTAATTCGCAAGAAATTAGTTCAAGAAGTATTAAAATGTTAAAATTACATACACCAGATAAGAAAACAGAAAATTATGTTGCTGACAAAGAACACAGTGATTATGAGGAGAATACTATTAACACAAATTCAAGCATTATTAATGTTTCATACGAGAATTTAAATGTAACCGAAAATGTATCTCCAAAATCACATGAAAGTAGCATTAGAAAAAGGATAACACGGCAACAAAATAATGCTGCCACTTTTGTGCCTTCGGATGTTATATGTGCTGAAGAAAGAAATGAACTTCAAATATTAAAATATGATAGTGTTGCAGGTGCAAAAGAGCAAACATTAAGTAATAAAGAATCTCAAAGTCAAATCAAGAAATCACCTATTTCACATGAAAGTCTGAAAATAAAATATAATTTGCTTAAGAACTTAAGAGTTTATTTGATAGAGCTTGATCACATAAAACACTCTAGAGATAACAAATACTCAGCTTTAGAAATAGAACAGTTAACAAGGAAATATATGGAACTTTTAAATAATTCTGAATTTGAGAGTGTGAAATTATCCTTAGTTACTGAAGAAATGGAAGATACACAAAACGATGAAATTTTAAACACAAATGCTAGCAAGCTTGCAAAGAATATTGAAATAAAACAGAAGAAAAGTTCAGATAATGTTGCCGAAGAAATGTCTGAATTGGATACTTCTGCCCATTCAGAGCAATCATCAACTCCATTAGCTTGTAAGGAATTTGTATTGCCATCTTCTCCAGTGAAATCTAGCACTAGAATTTCTAAAGCATCCCGTGTGACTGAACATGTCATTAAGACAGAGAAGTTAAAAGATAGACTGCATAGTTCTATGATGAAATCTCCTAATGAAAAACATTCTCCAAATAAAGAATCATCAGAAACATTAATACGTAAAAGCAGTCCTAAGAAATCAAGTAAGAATATGGAATCTTTAGGAAGTATACAAGCTGATACGTGTGAAATGATATTTTCTGAAAAACCTGTTGTAACTCATAATGAAAAAGTTCTTGTCTCTGGGAGAAAGACGTTTGTAACTAAAATACATGCAAAAACCGTGAATATCATAAATCCTAAAGTAAATACGAAAAAAAATATTACATCCTGCTCCTCAATCATTTCTCCAGTTAAGAAGAAACCTGTGGAGAAGAAAGATAATAATAGTAAAAGTATTAATTACAAATGTATTGTCTGTGATCTTCGCTTTGAAAATTATTCTGCTTTGCAACACCATTTAACTACGCACACACAGAAGCAAAGTAATGTTTTACCAAATACATCAAAAGAATCTGCTGCAATTCAAACTGATAGTTCTGAGAATATCCAAGAAGCATTACTTGATTCTCCAGAAGCAACAGAATCAGCAGAATCGTCTAGACAAACACACAACACTAAAAGTAGTAAACAACAAAGTAAGGGTACTTCAACCCAAGACTTACCATCTAAGAAGAGAAGTTATTTTTCAAAACAACGATCTAAGTTTATGAATATGCTTTGTAAACCAACTGCTTGTGATATTTGTTCTAAAGTTTTTCCAACAGCAACTGATTTAGCAGCTCATATTTTCTTGCATACAGAATATGAATTGCAGAAAGCTTATGAACTTGCCAAACATAAGAAAAGTAATGTAAATGAAGGAACAAAGAGTAAAAAACCTAAACAAACTAAAAATACTAAAGAATTTGACAATGAAAGTAGGACAAGTCTTATAGTTGAGAAGCCTGCAGAGGTTGTTAGCGAACAAGAAAAATTAACAGCTGCAATGGATCACAATGAATCATTATCAACTGAAGATTTGAAGGTAACACATTCTGAAAAATCAACAACAGCCACAACAACATTAACAACAATACCAATTGCAACTGCATCATCAACAATATCAACAGTAACAGAACCATCACTGCCAGTAATAACAGCAATAACAGCAGCAGCAACAACAACAACAATAACAATAGCAACACCAACATCAGTTGTGAATGAAACTGGTTCTGAAGGATTACAATCGCATTCAACTGAAAGTAAATCAGAAAAAAGAAAGACAAAGAAATCCTTTAAAATATGTGAATGTCATGGTAAATTAGAACCCGATAACAATTGCTTGCAAATTGAAATGGTTCTCCTTTGTCACACTTGTAAAGTGCTGTTTCGAAGCATGGAATGTTTTGATACTCATTATGATCTTCCTGAATATGAACTCTGCGGTAAAAATCGTGGTAATCGAAGCAGAACTCCAAATATATTGTGTGCTGTGTGCGGTATAATATTCAACTCTGTTCAAGAGGTACGACATCATTTAGAAAACCATGCTCGCGTCAGGCAAAGTTGTACATTGGATTTTCGATGTAAAATTTGCAAAGTTGTGTTTATTGGAATTGGAGCTCAATTTTACGTTCATTGGTCAAAACATTTACAAGATCCTTATTGGAAAGCTGATGAATCAGCATTTCCAATACATTCAGTGGTAAATGTACTAGACCAGAACAAAGAAACAGAAAATTATCTTCAAATAGCAGAATATATTTGTTCAAAATGTAGAATACCTTTTATTACTGAAAGTGATTTGAAAAGACATCATGTAAAATGTAAGATGTCCAATTCAAATACAAGTGGAACTAGTAGTAACAGTAATACTAATGTGGAGAAATCTCTAGAAATAGAAGTGAATTGTAGTTTATGCAATGATGTTTTTACTGAAAAAACAACATTTTATAAACATGTCAGAAACAAACATAATTTCATTAGTGAACCTCAGTTTGTTTGTGTGTCTCTTACATTAATCAAAACAGCATACATTTGCAATATTTGTATGGAAATATCTGAAAGTATAGACGACTTTGAAGATCACTGGTTAAAACATAGTACAGCTATTGTATACTTCACTTGTACATATTGTTCAAAAGCATATTGTGATGGTTTAAATGCTTTTTTAGAACATGCTAGGATACATGAAGTTAATGTGAAACAGTATGTACTATCTTGTACAGTGAAGTACGAAAATGCCGAATTTGTTTGTAAACATTGTAATGTTGGTTTTAATTCCAAAAAATCCTTTGATGAACATGATGTTATTCATAAAATAAATATATTGAATTCTCAGAATAATAAGGCTCAAGACCACGAAATTTCTATATTAGAGTCAAATATAAACCAAATTTCTAATATGTTGGAAATAAATAGATTGAGCACTGAAAAACAACAGAAAGATGCTCAAAAAGAAAGTCGTACAAATCAGGCAAGTAAACATACGAATGGAAGTTGTTCAATAGAATCTGATAAAGATAAGGACAGAGAAAAATTAATCAGCATATTGGAGGGAAATGAAGATGATTCAGAACATGAATTGATAATAGATTGGATAGAAAAACCAGAAGAGGAAAATAAATTACCAGAGGAAGGAAGAAATAAAGATAAACAAACTACACTGGATAATATATTAACTACACATTCTATTGTACAAAGTTCTACAGTTTCAAAAAATAGTACAGCTAATGCATCCACAAGTCACGTAATAGTACATGAGTCTCCAAAAAGTAGTACAGCTTCTGAAAACATTGTTTCAACATCTTCTCAAACTGAAAATCCAAAAGTATCTACAGACGTTCCAGTTAAACCAGTGATTCAAGATACAATTGAAATTCCAAAAGAATCACAATGTTTAAATGTCGAAAACGCTGACCATGATTATGCTGGAAATGTAACTAAAGATCAAAAGGAGTCAACGACATTAAAGAAAAATAGTCCTCCAAAACCAAAACAAGGGTTCTTACGGGTAAAATCTCTTGCAGAACTTACAAACAGTACAAAACCAGTACCAGAGCATACTGAAAACGTTAATCAACGTTTGCCAACTCATCTTATTTTCATTCAAAAGAATAAACCGAATGAAAGTTCAAAACAACCTGGTTCTCTACCTTTTTCTGCAGTTCCTGCAAAACAAATTACAGTTGCCACTGCATCGATAATAAACGACCAACAGTTGAAGCAAGCACAAATGCATATAAATCAAAACAATCATGCAGCTGGTTTTGTACAGAGTTCAACATCAGGGTATCATAAAAATTTACCTGCTTGCAACATTGCACGAACAACAACGAGTATACCACGTTCTGCTACGAAAAGCGATAATGCATCTACTAAGTCAGCAGCAGGTTGTTCTAACACACAAAATCAACGAGCAGGATACACAGCACCTACTTTTATGGATTCATATATAACTTCCTTAAATAATACAATGCATTCAAATCCACAAGTAACAAGACCATCAAATGCTAACTCAAAATCTAATAGGTATAACAATGCTGGTCACCAAATACCAACCAGAATTAACAACCAGAATTCTAAACACTATAAGCATTCTCCACAAATTATTTCTTTCCAATATCCTTATGGAATTAGCAGCTCAAGTAACAGTACTGAACCTCAGCAAAAAAGTCAAGAGATGGTGATTAATCCAGTAACAGGAGAAGCTTCTACCATCTTTTACACAACTCCTAATAATTCCACAGGCGGTATGTCAATAGTAATTAATCAGACTACACCTGCTGTACAAAATATGCCCACAATAAATATTTTGGGACAGGAACAGCAACAACTGTATCAGCCACAAGTTTATAGTGAACCTGCAATGATTGCGGACCATTCATATGCACAATCGGTATGTATATAAATTCTGATATTTATAAACAATTCAACTATTTTAGAACAACATAACTTGTTATTTTTATAATTTGCAGAATGCAACTAATTTTTCTGCAACAAGCAATGTTTATCAGATAGTAACTAGCGAATATCAAGTACCAGAAAGAGAAACTTTACCTACCTATAAAGTTAATTTACAATCACCAATATTTATTTGTTCTTATTGTCCGGACGTTAGGTCTTTTCTGTCTGCTGAACAATTAGAAATGCATATGAATATAGATCACAATTTCATATGCAATACTTGCGGTCAACGTTTGTACAGTTTTGAGAAGTTAAATATGCACAAAATGAAACATGGTTTTATTTAAAGAACTTATATTTTTGAATGAAGCATAAGTGTCATTTACATTAAATTAGATCTAAATGAATAATGTATGTACATATTCGAACAGTTTTATCATGAAATGCATTTTTGCATTAAATTTCATATTGGACTTTCATTGAAAAATTTTTGCAGTATGGATTGCACTATAAAAAAATGTATTAAAAGATTCTGTTTTTAATATCAGTTGGAATATGTACTTCTTATACATTCATAATGACCAAGTTATATGTATAATAGGTTTCTGCTAGTATTTTTAAGTGCATTATACATGAGTTAAGATAGCATAAGAAAACTAAACTTCTACTACTATAATTATTGTATTTCATTATCATATTTCACTATTTTTGAAGGTCGCAAATCTCCCCATTTTCATCTTAAGAGTTCCAACTGTAGTTAATAACAAAATATAGTATTATCTTTCATCATTTCAATTGCAAGAACATTAACACTATAAAGAGAAGAATAATAATCTAGAAGAATCTCTACAAAGTGTAGATGGTTGTATTGCTTTCCTTTCAGTAAATATCATGAAACGCTATTTCCCTTTTAATTTTATGTAAAAAATATTTCTCAAAGATATTGTATTGTATTAATGCTATTGTTTTGATACTCTTGAGTATCAAAAAAGTAAAACAAGTTCAAGATTTACAGGATAAATAGTGTTAACTCTTGTGAGTCAGATTTTTGATTCTGGTTAAAGTTCACTTAAATTGAATTATAACAAATAAAGATATATTTTATTATACCTGCACTTTTATATCAACAATTGATAATCTACATGTCTTGTTTCTTTTTCTATACAGGTTCATTACATAGGACCATTCTACAGTGGTTGTTAATGATTCATCTCTGCAGTTATTGCTTATGTATCAATTCACTGATTACAGAATGTGGGAGTATTCATCAAATGATGTCAGCTTAGTATTCTAATCAAGAAATGGTAGGCATGCAGAGTTTACAGTATTAAAATAAAAAAGTGTACGTAGAAGCTGTTAATAAATATTTAACATATTGACTGCTATGCCATTCATATGTGGGTGATGCTTGAATTTACATATGAATTCATCACCTATATTATTAGGAATTTTTTTATTTAGTTAATTAGGAACATTTGTGTTTGGTACAGCCAAGTTTTAATACATGGTATAATATATAAATAAGATAAATGAAATTCGTGTTAAGTAATGCTTGATTGCCAAAGATCTGCTGCCAGCAATCTAGTTTGAAAAAATTAAAAATTTCTAAATTAAAAAATTTCAGGTATTGTGGAGATAGTAGATAAAATTTAATAAAACGTGAATTTTACTATAATCTCAGTATAGTAGTCAATGTACATAGTTAAGTAAGAATATAACAGTACATACCTTTTACTGTGCATCACACAAAAGGATGCAGGATTTTTCTATATCTGATTTTCTGAGCTCAGCTCATAAAAACGTATCAATGCCATAATCAGTGCTTTTTCGCTCAGTTTAGCAAATACTATTTATTTTGTATGTCCTGAACTTGTTATAAATTATATTTTACTTTGTAAGTTATTCCAAAAGATAAGTAACTTTTGGCAATATAATTTAATGCATGCAGTTTATCTATGAGGAAAACTTGATCTCTATTGTACTATCATGACATTGAGAACCGGTTCTGAACTATTGTTCAACACAAGCATTGTTTCATAACTTCTGTGTATTAAGTAACATCATTATAATTTTAAGAAGTTTGCCAAGTGAATATATCATCAGTGAAGAAATATGAACACGAATGACAGTGTATATGTTTGTTTTCTTTTTTTGTATTTTTTATAACAATTACTTTATAACCATAAGAAATATATTTAATCGCATGATTATTACCAGCAATTAGAAGAAACATGTTAACCTTTAGAGGACTCTTTGAATATTGAAATTCCATCAATACAAAACAAACTCTATATTGAGTTTGTGTTTGTAAAAGTGAGGATGAATATTAAGATTCTTCAGGATTTTAAAATATTTAAGTTTTATAACGTTATACTTGGTGTTTTGTATTTTAAATAATTTTTAAATATATGTAGAATTATATGTCAAACTTTTATTTCTTGCAAAAGAAATATAATTACAAAAAATTTGATGAAAACTTTTATAAGTTTAATTGAAGCGTTGAAAAATTATAAAAATTTTGTTATGCGTATACATTTTTAAGGAAGATGTACATTGTGAAAATTGCAAATTCTCCAAACAAATTTGGAAAAATAGACAAGTATTTATACACTGACAGTATTAACATGAACAAAGTCCCTACATTACACATCAAAGCAGTGTACGATTAGAATATAATGAATTCTATTTTAAAACTCAAAATGAAAACGAGGTATACATAAAATGTGTACTTCGTGCATATAAAAACATTAGGTCTTCAGAAGGTTAAGTTCAAAGATTGTTTCTGCTGTTGCTCGTAATGATCATACAAAAGTGATACATTTGTGACACATTTCTGTTATTATTTATAACTTACCATCGACGAGTCTATCAGCGTAAAATGAAAAGTCCAGGTTAATGCGAATACAAATCTGCAAATTTGTTCAAAATATTTTGTTATTGATCATTAATGTATTGTTGCAACATAGGCTTCCTTCATTTAAGAAGTAGTGAAAGAAATATCTTCGTTCGCTTTATTCGTTCCTTTCAATTTATACAGACACTCGGTATATCGCCGATCATGTTATAGCAGCAAACTGCTTAGACTATAAAATGTAACAAATACATTAAAATGTAATGCAATATAAAAAGGGTTTTATAAAACGTTTAAAAATGTATAAATTTAAAAATTTCAGAATTAAGAAGTCTGTTAATAAAATGCTTGACAATGCGATACAATGATCGACTATATAACGAGAGTTTATCGTATACGAAGATAAAAGAATACGTGATTACCCTCGTGTCAGGGTAAATCCTATTAAGACTTTAATGTATAAATTTTTTCACCTAGAAGTATTTGAATACACACAAGAACTAATCCGAGCGTGTACTAGGTATTAGTGATGCTTCATTGTATAAACGAACAAAGAGAGGGAGAAACGCAAATCTTCCAGGTGTTTGACTTCCGATTCGAAGCGTTCGACTTCATACGTATATTATCTACTTTTAAGTGAAACGTTTATATGATTCTATCATACATGTCGATTATATTATAATAAAAAAGGATTGGATTACGTCAACAGAGAAATGCTGATGTTTATTTCATTGTATCCAGATCTAATGACCGATCCTTTCTTTCTTTTTCATTTGGAACTGAATCCAAAGTACTTTGTAAAACTTATATTTGGCTGTTACAATTCATCGCAGTTTCTAAAAGTTACGATTCCAACTTAATCGGTAAGTTAAAAAGTTCTAATCGCACACCCGTTAAGGGCGCGTGTCCTTATCGTAATGAACGGTCGCGTATGTGTTAAGGCAAGCCTACATAATTGCTCGTGTTTCCGGTAATCGCGAGCGTACGTGTACGGGTACACTTCTCGTTTATCCTAGAATTTGGCACGTGATTCACGTAACACAATCGTCCGTTGTGTTTTTTGTTAACTCGAAGAACAAAAATGCATCGCGTATCTGTTACAATATACGCGATACGTAAGTACAAAGCTATCTATACGTTTGTTTATTGCAGCAACGGGCAACAGTGCCCGCAGGGGCGTCCGATCTGCCCGCCACTGAGTTATTGGAATTTACACTTGTCTCGAAACGAAAGGCTACTGACGCTGCTATGTATTTGATCAAAACTATATTCGGTTCGATGATTGAAACAATATTAGCATCTTAGAAGGCTGATTAAAATAATTCTATTTTGGTTAAATTCGAGTTATGTTCTCTTCGGTATTATTGCTTTAGTAGCTGCTCGTTAATTCCCTGATGTATTATACATACATATTATTTATTATAATACATATTATGTAGGCATAATATAATACATATTATTATACATATTATGTATAAATTGTTACACATTAAGAGGCCGATTACAAAACATCAAATGTAATTTTCATTTAAGCTTTAAATTGATATAATTACTTTCTGTACCTCAAAATTGTTTTTTAAAGAAGTGGCTACTTTCTCAAGCTTTATGTTTCAAACCAATACACCATAAATGTTACTTTCTGTTAACGCTGAATAATTGTTCATATCTGGAGCCCTAAACGCAGGGAATTATCGAGCACTACAACACACTTTCAGTTCTTATACGCTTTTCACTGTGATCAACGATCCTATTTCTTTTGCAATCGATTTTACAATTGTATTAATTTAAAATTAGAGATAATTGCAAATACATAGCGCGTGCACTGTTATAAATAATCCTATCTTAACGATTAAGTATCACTACGAAAGGCCGCGATGGCCCTTCAGGAATCGATCGCTAATTATCAAGTCCTCTTTCGTACGTTTTAATAATAATAATACTGATATAGGTCTTTGACGTTTATCTCGAGCTTACAATCTTCTATTCTCTGCGAGATCATCGTTCTTACGAAAGTATACAGAAATCGATAACGAGATGTAAGAAGGGATTTCGTCGAAAAGAAAAACATCGAGGATACATATTTGCAAAGAAATGACCTTATTGAACGATGAAAGCGCAAAATATAACAGCTTTACATAGGTCGTAGAATTAAGTACTTATGTATATTTGAAATTCCCTTTGTACGACTAGATGTATTTGCTTATGTCGAGATTCCGATATAAAAGATACTACAGTTCTTTTACAATTGACTGGTAATTTTTTTACGTGACGCATATGGTGTGTCATATGTTACAAACAAAAAATTTCGATTTTTAATAATTCTTTTCTTATTTTTAATTTTGTTATTATTCTCAACTGCTACTTTCTGAATATTGACTGATGATGCTGATGACTTTGTAAGACGCATAAGGTGCGTCACAGGTGACAATCACATGCAGAATACAAAATTTGTAATTTTCCTTTCGGTATGAAGTACTCTTTTACAATAGAATCTCAATTCGAATTGCGCTGATTAACAAAGCAAAGAAATTGTGTTAGTCTGCGGTTGAACGAAGGTTACAAAATAAAATGTTTGTCTACGTTCTACGATCCGAGTCGAATTAGCACGAGTAGATGTATCATTTATTCTAAAAAGATTCTTTGTCACGTGTTGTTGAGCTGACGGAGGTTTTCATGAGAGAAATCGTATCTCGCTGTCGTTACACCGATTAACATATAGAAAAACCTCCGTGATGTATATATCCGTAACGCTACGTTTACAATAAATCCTACAGACTAGACGTTATTATATCGGTGGAAAAATATCGTATTTTATCGTCGGAATATCATAAATTTGCACGTAATACATTGGACGTTCTATATCCAGCAGCTTAACCTTCCCTCACGAGTACGAAAAAGTAGGTTGAGCGACGGAAGGAAACCCCTTGACCCTCCTACTTTCCTTCTAACCGAGTTTCCGGTTTGAAGGAAAATCCGTTTTCCGCCTTCTTCTTATTCTTCTTGCCGAAAGTGGAGGACAAAAGACTTTTAATCAAAGCCTTCGAGAAACTTGAACAAATTTCAATGACAAGATTATTAACAATCGAAATACAACGAAGAATACACTCTTTCATTTGTCTACAATTGTAGATAATATTCCAATTACTTTGAAATGCTATCTACAACTTTTGTTAGCATGTACACTAATTTTTGTATACAAGTTGAATTGTATCTGAGGAACAAATTGGAGTATAAAATTAAAAAGTGTAATCTAGTAAACAAATGAGAGTCAACATAATTAGAGAACCTAGTCACAGTCATGAAATAATTGTATCAATTTAAAGATGCCATTTTTCAGCAAAATTTAATTTATAAATAATGGTGTATAAATGAGAGATACAAGTTACATAAATAATGAATTTTAATAATAATATACTATTCTTAAATTTATCACTGTTAGTATAGATTTTATACCCATTTGTCATAATGTGAAAGTAAAAACTTTCAAAAGATTTGCTTGTACATTGCATGCAAAAGAATTAACAAAATATTTTGATAACAAAACAGTGACAATAAGAAATAGACAAATATATACTATTTATGCAATTTGTATCTCTTATCTAAAGTGTATCATTCTTTACAAATTAGCTTTTGCAGTATATACTTGACAAATGGCATCAATGTTGATTATTTCAAGACTCTGATTAGATGGTAAAAATGAAACGGTTTCGAGTAGCGAAGCTCATGCTGCTGCTTTTAATTCTCACAGCTATTCGTGTCTCATCACTCATCGTCTCCCCCTCGTTCCTTTCAACTGGACATCAAAGAAGTGGTTGCACCATTCTTAGCAATTTACCATCTAAATCACCTAATCTACCTCGTAGATAATTATCATCTAATGTATGCATGTATATCGTGTCCCTCGAAGGTTATTGACGCGTACACGACGAACTGGCCAAAGGTCCTCGATCTTTCATTTTTCGATCGATCGCTCTATCTACACAGAGTCACGCAAAAGATGACGTCCGCTCGTAATTTGTACAAAAATCAATCACCTTATAAACGGGCTTAATAATTTGGGTCCTCGTTGAATCAGTCTGAAATGGGGGCATTTATCTTCTACTTTAGACTAGAATTCAATCAGAACTTTACCCTTTCCAAAAACATCGAATTAAATCGTCCAAACATTATTTATCTAATTCTGAGCAAATGTTTATAACTTTTTAAAAACTGTTGTTTAACTTTCTTTGTTGGTATATTGGTCATTCGGTTAAAAATTATTCAAGTTTAATGGACTCTCTCTATATTGCCCTAATCTTCTGTTGAACTGATCGTTATATCACCACTGTATAGCCAAGCGTATTGCCTACCGTTATATTGCTACATGTTATATCGCCATGGATCTGTGGAAGAATCTTCCTATATTGCCATTTCTAACCATTGCTACTTACGTGGCAATATAGCGAGAGTCCAATGTATTGCTAAGTGGGTTCAGTTCTAACTTGTTTGTAGAAATACGAGAACCTCGGTTAAGACTATTATTGCGATTTGGTGCTTAGGTCTAATCTTTTACTTTTCTGATTTGCTGTCTCGGTACCGTATCTTCACAGTTGCGGGTTTCATATACATTTTAGCAAGGGCATTTTTCGAAAAAGATGAAGCTCGAGAATGAAGGTGCGGAGTGGACCAAATGCGAATAAAAGATTTCAAATCTGGTCCACTGTATACATTTAAAATGAAAAGATTGTAACAACAAATAATTGAAAAAAATTCTAAAATGTATACTTGTATAATAATTACTCTGCTTTAGGATAATTAAATACCTTCATAGAAATAAGACTTAATCAATTAACGCCTCGAAAGTCATCTTTTGAAACGCGTTCATTGGCACAGGAATGAACGAAAATTCGTGAAGTTTACAAATTATGCAAGGTTGTAGGAAATGCTGGTAATTAACTAGATTATCTTACAAGGGGATTGCATTCTTTAAAGTGTACTTGCTTTACGACCCACTAACATCCACGAGTTTCTTGTCTTTACGCTAACTAAAATCTTATCGTAATCTTAATCGTAGATTCGAGTGGTTTATCATTTTCAGGGTTAAAAATCTTCTAAACGTCGGACGAAATTTCATCAATTCGGTTTAAAATAGGTTCTCCGTGAGTGAAAAGAATCATGGTTGAACCATTTATAATTTAAGAACTGATCTTGTACCATTTAGCGTCGAGGAATTAGAACGATACATCTTATGAAACTTTTTTAAGTTATTTTTGACTACGTCTTTGTAAGTCTTAGAAGTTACGACTTTTTTGTGCGCACAGGTTGTGCTAGTAAGTTTTTGATGCAAGTACGAGTCTTTGTAGCTCTTTTAAATGTTCTAGAAAAATTTCTTGAAGTCGTAGCAAGTCTAAATACAAGTCCTTTTGCAACAGGTTCATGTGCAAGTCTTTTGCAGTTACAGAATGTTGCAAGTCTTCGTAAATTTCTCAAAGTTTCAGAAAATTGGTATCAAAAGTTGCAAGTTAAACTTTCTTCTAAAAGACTTGCAATTATATATTTAGTAAGAAGTAAGAAGTAAAAATATCGCAGTTATATTTTCACTAGAAGTAGAAATAATTTCACTCTAAAATCCATAAGACATATCTCCGTCCTCGACTTTAAGTACCAAAAAGGAGTAGCCTCAAAAAGTCATTTCCTGGACACGTTAACAGGACTAAAAAATTGATCACGCGTTAGAAGGTGTCGCTTCTCCGATAAAAAAGTCTAAAAAGTGGTAAAACGGGCAGTGGTAGAAAATTGTACGACGGTTGAGAGGAATGAAACAGAAAGGTGGTCGAGCTCGTAATTGATCAGACGGGGTTCGATTGTCCTCTTATTAGTTGGTGGTCCTTTTCAAAATCTGCTGACAGCTTCGTCGTCGGTCACGAAGTAGTTGGAATTCTTCACGGCCGAACTGTACATGCTGTAGGTAGGACTGCAGATAACTAATCCTGTGGAACAGCCGCTGAGCTCTTTCTCGGTTGTCACGGAACCGTGTCTGGAGATCGTGGACGTTCTTCTGTCCTTCTTCACCAGGGTCATTCGACAGTCTTCAGGGCGTAGCGGCATCGAGGGGTAAGTCGGTTGCCTGGCCAAGGTGGTCAACGTCCGATCACCTGTGTCGTTGAAGCTGCGAAAATGTTTGAGAGTATTATTGGGTGTTTAATTACTAGTAAAACAATAATTGTGAAAGAAACAAATTGTTTACTGATCACAGCTGAAAGTGTACTAACTCGTTATCTCGAATCAAATTAACTTCTAAGTGTTCTCAAATTATAAATAGATACCTGTGATGCCTGACAATACCCCTCTTGATCCTACAGTGTTCGTTTCCGCTCTGTCCCTCCAAAGCAGTCCCATGGGTTTTGCAAGCTTCCACACCCATGGGAACCGGCGACAGAGAACCAGGCCCATACGAACCGCTGCTCTGTCTCCTATCTAAAATGTGGACAAGCTCTACCGACGGTGTCGGCGAGAACGTGCCCTACAGACACACTTCGTCAAATTTCGCCTGACCGATCTTTTCGAATCTACCTACTGATAACACCAACACAAAGCCAACAAAAAGCAGGAACCACATCACTGAGGAATCATCCGGTTAGGGTACACGAGTAGACTTAAAAAAAATCTGGATGTATGCAAACTTTTAATTGTTCAACTTAAAGTACAAGAAAAAATAAACAAGTGTAAGCAACAAAAAGATAATCACACGGATGTGACGCCGAAGTCGCTCACCTGCAACGAGGGTCTCCTCAACGTCCCACCTTCCATACCAACCAACTTCACACCTTTAACGTTCTTCTTCACGTTGATGGTGGTCAACATGTTGTCCGGAACGGTTTGGAACTCCGTGTTACTTCTGTCGACGACGCTGATCCTCTCGTTCTCCCTCGTCTTGTCGCTCCCCATGCTCGTGTCGTTCGTCTTCGCGTAATGGGGACCGGGGGTCATGGGAGTCGTCACTGTTGAATTCGTCGGGACGGTCGCCATGACGGTATTATTGCTCGAAGGAATGACAGGCCGATCGGTCGGCAGCAACATTTGACCCATGGAGCCACGTAGGTTTCGTACGCCCAAGATTTGACCCCGGGACATTTCGTTGTTTTGTATGGGGGCGTACTGGTTGGGCGTAGGAGTATGCCTGCCGCTCATGGAACTCGTGTGCATGCTGTTCCTTTGTAGAGTTTGCAGATGTTGCAGGCTTTGGTTTGCCTTCTGTGCAGCGATACCGATGTTGTTGATCTTCGAGGCGTCCTTCTCGTACGGGTCACCGACTATCGTGCCGGTGTCACCGCGGTCCGCCATTTCGTCCACTGAGTTGGTGGTTGTTCGGTCGTCTTCGTAGTTGCCGGGACCGATGCCGTCGCACGAATCTATTCCCGATGTAGATTTCTGAAAGAGAATAATGATAGCTGAATAAATTTAGAATTGAAATTACAGACACATGGACAAAATAATTTGGGTGTCTTTCAGGATTATATTTTGATCTAGTGAAGTAATAGATTTGACTTTTTATATAGAAAGGCTCACATTAACAGAGGAAGTGTCCATCAGTGCAGCACCGGAGCTACTTTGCACGACTCCTGATTGATCCTTCGATTTTCCAGGCGAATAAACGCTGAGTACATCGCAGCATCTAGGAAAATAACCCTTTCCAAGGAGATTTCTGGTGAAGAAACTCGTGATGAGCTGGGTAAATAGGGCAATCAGCATGGCTCCAGTTCGAAACGGAAATTTTTGTGACTGCGTTTCCGGGTCGTAGAAGGGATATTCGATTAGTGCTGGTACTCCCAAATCCTTTTCCCCTCCTGTACCAAGAATGTATAACTTGATATAAATGATATTTTGCATTCGCTAGAAGACAAGTTTTGTTAATATTTAATAAATTATTTTGGCACAATTAAAAATGTAAAATTATTTTCACAATAAATATTCAAAATTGCACATTAATGTTTAATTAGTATTTAAAGTTTTAACCTTTAATACTCAGGGTATCTTAGACATGAAACGGCATCTCGAGACACGTGGTACAAAAGCAAACTTGCGGTAACGTGATCTATCAGCGCGCAGCTGCTCATTAAAATCTAAGAGTATAACTCTAGAAGCTGTTCTCGTTAATTATCACTCATCTCAAAGGCAGGTTCATCATTCTTACCGCAAAGACGCAGAACAACAGCGATGAAATAGCCAGCTAGACATCCGTAAGTGTCGACTAAAGAGGGCCAATGGACTACGGTTAACAGTTGAGGGAACAGCACCACGTAAACAAGATCGGAGCAGAGGTACCTTTAAACCGAAGAATTTCCACGTTAATTAGTTTGTCTGACTAACTGCTGTGGATCGGTGAGTCGTCAAAGCGACTGATTAAAGCGGCTTCACTCACGAGAGATAATAAACGCTGTCCACTGTGAGGGCAATTGATGTTGACAGAACCGTGATTACCAATACCGAGATCCTGAGTATCCAGTTCAGTTCTCTTTCGGATGCCTTTAACAAAAAACGAACAAGAAGATTGCTTCAGCTCTATTCTACTTTTTTTCTTGACTTTTCTTTCTCGCTGCGGAGGTTGTTGGCACTCACCTTGGGTCTCAGTGTGAGTCTGTAAACGTTCCTAGAGAACATTGAACTGCTGGCCAATATGCTTGAATCTGCTGACGACATCACCGCTGCAGAGATGGCTCCTAACCCTGTCGATCAATCGTGAAGCATACAAGGTGTATCAAGAAAGAAAGCATATTTTTCACTGTTAAAGTGTTATTAGGGATGATTATCACTATTAAAAATATTAAATTATATGATTTGATATTATGTTGTATATTATGAAGTACATTATGATTGACATTATGAAGTGAATCAATTATTTAATAAAAAACATGTTAAATTATATTTTGCATTTTCTTCTGCACAAGTTGTGAACAAAGATGTGAAGAAATACATGCAACAAAAATTAGTTGAGTACAGCAGCATAGCAGAATAATTGAACAGCAGTATAACTAAATAATACAATAACAAGATAGTAGAATAGCAGAGTAGTTGAATAGTGAAACGGCTTGATACTTAAGCTATTACAGATTGCGAAGTGGAATGTGAAAGGCGAGCACTTGAAACGCTGTAATCAGTAGTGTGACTCACCAACAAAGGAGACCCATTGAGGTGTCAAATAACGAAGCACGACTGGCAAAGCTGCGTTTCCGTCGTTCGCTAGCATACTCTTGTTAAATCCTTCGACAGACGACCAGTCCGTAGCACGAGCTACCACGCCAATCAATGCCGATGGAAATGCCATCATCATACAACCGAAAGTCGATGCTATCGAGAGAACCGTCGCGACCGATGTACTTCGCATACTCAGGATCCTTTGGAAATACCCCTGCAAAGATCAATTACGTATCAGCAATCTATTCACAAATATTAATAATAATTAATTTACACTAATACAATAATAGCAATGGCAGTAATTATTAATAATATAGTTATTAATACAAGTATTTATCAAATAATTGTTAAACAAGGTAGATGAAAATTGACCCTCCATTTCTTTAATGACTGAAAGAGAAAAATAAATGAAAGAATATATCAATTGTGTAAAGTTTTAATAATTTATCTTTTCATGAAATAAATCTTTTTATCGTTCAATACCTGCCAAGGTATACCGCCAAACACCAACAGCAACATCCCATCCACCCATTCCCCCAAATCTTCGTTCTTTATTTCCCCGAGCCATTCACGAGGAGCCATATTCTTCTCGAAGGACACGGCTGGATGGAAAACAGTGAAGGGTGCAGCAACCCCCAAGCCGATTATAATGCATGCTAATTGTATAGCATCGGTGTACGCGACCGCATACAATCCGCCGAACACGGTGTACCTGTAATTGAACGACCATCGATACATTCATCTTCAGATTTCATCGATTGTTACTTGGAAAACCTTCTCAGACAATATTACCAACGGAGCGTCTACTAATATACGTTGCAGATTGTACTGTTTCTTTTCTTGCTATTCCATTTGTGACTTATTGATAACACAATTTTTTCAATGTATTAAATGTTATAATTATAAGTATTTTGTAGGTTATGACAATTTATCATACTGTACTATAATTTATAATTAAGTAACATATATATGAATTAAACATAAATAATATTTTATAGGTTATAACAATTTATCATACTGTATTATAATTTATAACTAAGCAACATATATATGAATTAAACATAAATAATATTAATAACAAATTTACATACAATAAGAATAATGAGTTAATTATAAATAATGTTAACAATTCAGTACAAATAATATTAATAACAAATTAAACAATGTTAAGAACATATTAAATAATGTCAAAAATGAATTGAATATAAATAATGTTAATAATGAACAAAATATAAATGTAGTTAATAATGTTAACATAGAAGATAATTCTTAATTGGTGCACTTGACCTGAATATTTGTAAAGCGATTGTTTAACTCACATAGCCACGAAAAGAGCAGAGCCACAAACGCTGATACTTGAATCCAGTCCAATCACCACTGTTAAAGAGCTGCCCAGAGCTCTAAGGACAGCCGCACACCAAAACAAGTCGCCACAAAGCGCGGGTAGAAACAGTAGTCCTCCAACCCCTGCTCCATATCTTTCTTGAAAAGGATCCAACATTGTTACGTACTCAGCCTTTCTCATCGGTCGTACGAACAGTACCGCACCTGTGACACCAAACTTCACCATTACATCGACACACCTTCATCTAACAGGGTGGAAATTCGATATTATTTATGCGAACCCTTCTAAATTTTATATGTTCGAAAATTTGTCAGCTCGATTTCAAAATTTTCCATTGTGAAAGATAAGTTTACACATTTGAAAGTTTTGAAAGTTTGCCAATTTCTAAATTTAAAGATAATTTTTATATTTTTAAATTTTTAAATTTGGAACAGTAGTAATTTACATGTAAGAATTTCCATTGGCCACGGAAATAAAAATATTTAATTAGATCTACATCCCCTTCATTGGCATAAGGTTCCATAAATTGAATTTCCAGGTTGAGGTATTCCATTGAAAGAAAAAGCCATGAACCGCCATCTGAAGCAGTATCTGATAGAAATGCCAAAGGTAATTCGCGATAGGACCCCATGATAACGCTTGAAATCCGCTTGCGGTAATGGAAAATGAAGGATAGGTCGTTATCGGGTCGCACTTTTAATTAGGCAACCGAGGCTTCGGTTAAGTGAAAGGCAAACTTCATTGGGAATGTATAACTTCAATTAATCGGAGTTCAATCGGGTCTGATTTGTATGGACGGTGTGGTGGAGGGTGGGGGGCGAAAAGGGTTGAACATCCATTACTCGATTCCATGGTAAAACTTGGCAATAAAATGATTCCTGGATAAATCGAGTTTGCGTACAGGCTATGTTTGAATGGACCAATTGAGAGATTTTGTAATCAGGCTGTTGAATTCTTCAGGATTTGGAATTAAAAATTGCATTTGTATGTTAAATGAGAACATATGCTAATAACGGCTTTTACAAATTCAATTTGACCGAAGTAATTAAAACGCAGACGAAATGTTTTGAGTACCAACAAAATTACGACGGGTATTTTAAACATTTATACTCAAAGGTAATTTTGTTAACGAGAGGTAATTCATAAAATTTCTAATTGAAAAATTTGATGAATTTTTGTACGTTATTATTTCGACCGAACCTCTACATTTCGGAAATCTTTATAAGGCAAAATTATGTTCTTCCTGTTCCATTATGAATACCGCTATAAATTGAGATTAAACTTACTTTAGTTGATAATTCATGTTCTGAAACTGAATTTTTCTTTTCGTGGGCACACTCAGAAAATTATTATCCATCGCACAAAGCTTTCGTATGAAATATATTCGTCGGTTAAACCTCTTTTATTCAGGACACTCGATAAATCGAAACTTTCATAACTCGAAGATTTTAGCTCTTTCCCTGAGGTTCGAGTTATCGATGTTGCATATTGTGTCGAAAGGTTTTGTCGTTTGTTAGGGAGATAATCGATTACAACTACTGATTGAAATCTTATTATACAATGTAGGATACAGATTATTATTCCAAAGATTATTTTCCACAAAAATTTCGTAAACTAAAATATAACTTGCAATCATTTAGTACCTCATCGTAAACATTTTTTATGACTCTTTGAAAAGATGTTCTTGTCTTTATAAAATTGACGTAATACTGCAAAAAACAGTCTATCTTCCATTTTTAACTATTTATAACAGATGAGAAGTTCCATGAGGTCAGGGTTTAAATCACTATAGTAAGAAAGTGTTTATTACACATATGAATATAACAATTGAAGGATAACACTGTCATCAGCACGTGCTCATAACAATGAGACATTGCGTGACGACACACAAGATCGTGACGCGTAACAAAAGAAAACAAAAGATGCGCACTCTTGCGACCGATTCGGATAACACATATAGATTGTCCTCTCGCACATAGCATTTAGTCCTGCATTTTTAATAAGATCTAAAGTATAAGCTACGTATACATGTGTCAAAGAAAAGGAGAGTGCTGTCACATGAATCGAATAACTGTCGTCTGGCGGCAAAAGCTACATATCTTTTTGGTTAACCAAATATTTTATAGGACAAAAGGGAGCGGAATTGTGTACATGCTAGGAAAAAGGGAAGACCTTCGATTCGACGAGGGAACGATATATTTATCGAACGATGTATGTTCTCGACCTTGATAGTTTCAACCTTCTAAGTCCCCCATCGATCTAATTCTCTGTCTCCCTCTTTTCTGTAGTATGGCAGTTAAAGGGTTAAGGTTACACGTTATGCTAATGCGTGCTGGAGAGCGTAGAGATCTCGCTTACCGAACAGTAGACTGATGCTGTAACCGAATGGCACTTGACACCAGGCCAATCCTCTGGTAAACATCACTTCAGCGGTCCCGTTCACGTAGGCGCCTCCTACCCAGGTGGCTATGCATCAAAAACATGATTTTGCTTCATTAGATTAGTCTGCATCGATTAAGCGAGAAATCGCTCTTTCGAAGGAAAATGTTATGGGGTGAGACTGCTGATCCGGAAACGTTTCGTCAACACGCTCGCGCCCACTTCGTGATCTTTACCACGATATCGATCTGTTGGAATATTTAGGAATTTTTAGAACCCCGAGATTTACAGGTTCGGTAACTTTGGAGGTTTGTTTTAGAATTTGTGAAATTGAAGATTTAGGGATTTGGAGATTCGAGGACGTGAAGAGGATATAGAAATTTAGTAACTTCTTGCTGATATTTTAAAGAAGTATTGAACAAGTAATTATTGTACGAGGACGTGATCGAACAACGTCGAATCTGACTCGAATTTAATCGACCACGGTAAGAAGTTCACATCAATGTTATCTAGATGAACCTCGTTTACGTCTCTGAAAGGTGTTCTTAATTCAAAATCAATTTCTATGACCCAAATTCCGTTCGAAGTGGATCTTGCAAAATACTTGACTGAATTTGCGATACAAACGATGTAGGACAGCCAGGTATAACTGCGACTGCGAGGATGCGCTACTCATATGTGTAAGTGGTGTGTACTCGTAGGCAATCAGTCACTAACGAGTAGTCAATTCTTTCAATACTTTCAATATAAAAAAAATTTCTAGATGTGCAAATTTGAAAATTTGAAGTGAAAATGAAGAATCGAAATATTATTTTTAATCGAAGAATTGAAGAATCGAACAATCGGAGAATTGAAGAGTTGAAGTATTATAGAATAGCGGAATTGTAGAATAGAACTGAATGAAGGAATTAAGGAATTGAAGAGGATAGTGGATCAGCTCATTATTAATGTAAGACATTATTTATCCCATATTTGTTTACTTCCGTATTGTTCATGATCGTCTTATTTCCAGGAACTTAAACCCAAGACATATCGCGAACGTTGACCAAACAGCGCGTTAACGAGAATAATAAACGTCGAAACGCGTTCTCAAGCGTTCCATCGGTGCCACTTTCCATTCATTCGACCGAGAGAGGATCCGTCGGTCGCAGAATAGAGATAGTTACGGCTCAGTGGTGTATTTTCCGTGCCATATTTTCCTCGCGAAGCTTTCATTAAGGTAATGGAGGGATGCAAAAATGATTTCCACCGCGAGAAAATAGAGCACGGTTGAATGTAAGATGAAACGTTCGTGGTGGTGGAATGGTAAGAGGCTGCGTGGAATGGGAGAAAACGGGGGTAGTTTGTGTGTTGAACAGAATGAAAGCGCGTGAACGAAAGGAAATAAACGGGATAAAAAAGAACACAAAAAAAAGGAGGCGAACTATGAATAAAATGGCCGATGCGGGGAACGGCCTAGCGAGAAACGCAATTGACGCCGTGACAAAAGCGGGAATTCCCTGGTGTCCTACTGCTGCTACTCGATAAAAACGTACACGCGCTCTCGTACAGAAAGAACAGGGTAAATACCTATGGTTTCTCAGGATTTTTCTTCAAACATATACAATAGGATGATGCTTATTTATTCAAATAAATATATTTCATACTTTTTCAGATACTATTGAAAAATATAAAAGGCAGAACTTTTGGAACTTTGTGAATTAATAACCTTGAAAGTTTGAGAGTACGAAAATTTAGGAATTGTTAAATTAAAAAATTGAAGAATTGAAAAATTATGTTCACAACTTCCTGAAATGGCAGGAGTTCCTCCAACTCGTCCTCGTCTTAAAGCATACGTCGCATCCAAATAATACACTAAACTCTTTAATAGTTTATGCAAAATGAATAAATGGTGCGAGATCAAGCGAGTGCAAATAGATTCGCGATTAGGATATTAACGGGTTCTAGGAGTCAAAGATCCAAGCAGTGTATTCAGATAATCCTGATTAGGAAGATCCGCTGCGACCAGAGAGTTTCTCATTGAACAGATTAAACCGACTTACAGTTTCGAGAAGAACGAGCAGATTTGGAGAGCGTATTCTGATAATCCGGCCCAACGACGTAGATAGAAATGATTGAATTATTCAGACGTTGGTCGATTTTAGAACTTACCGATCAGCGTGAAGAGACCGAGAATAGGGCCGAGGCCACGATTCGCCAACATCATCGCATCTTGGCCTTGTCGTGGATGCTTCTTCTTGGCGATGCCTGCCCAAATCCCGATACCCAGCACCGTTAAATAGAACACGACCACACCAATCACACCTGTTACGTATACCCCCATCGTTCAGCCTTCACTTTTCTCCTTTTTTAGGGTAATTGCGCGAGCCCCTGTAACTGAAGCATTATAATGTCAGCATGCATTTGGAAACTCTGTAAATTTTTTAATTTACCAATTAGAGGATTTGGAACTTGGTAAATTAGGGACATGTGATTTCTTGAAAGTTTGAACACATAAAAATTTAAAAGACTATAAACATTTAGGATCATGGAATTTTTAATATTCTGAAAACCAGGTAATTTTTAAAGTAGCAAATTTGACAATGTTTTTAAGATTATTTTGAAAACAAAAATTTATTAAAGTATTGTCTCTTCTCTTCCTTAATTACTGACAGAAATAAGGAGACGGTATATCGTTGTACACGACGCAAACTCTTATACCCTGCAGATAAAAAAGGAGAGCTCTCATGAAAATTAAAACTTTTCCAATTAAAAACATTAAGCAGTTGGTAATTTCTCGCGTCGTCTCAGGAAACTACGCTTTGACCAATATGGATAATTAACTAAAGCGGCGATGAGGACGAACTCTAATTGCATATGAATCTGAGAGACGCGTCAAACGAGGAGGTATGCTGTTGGCGTTAGAGCTGTATCTCTGTTCACAAAGACACGTTCAAGGCTGGAATCTGTTCGACATTAATTTTCCGGCTCTCCAGTATCGATGGAACAATCATAATCCCGTGATTGTCCATTCATTGAGCACCCTTCTAAGACAGGAATGCTAACTGGTTTAATCCAAACAGCTTTATGCTAGATCAAACTGTATTTGATGTCTTTACACTATAAGCACAGGTGAGCAAATACATGTATAGGATCTTTCAAAATACTCAAACTTTTGTATGAAAATTATCATAATTATTCACAGTGTTTAAACATATATTTAGGTTGTCACAAATATAATCAATAATCAATTGTTATTTCAGTAACAAAGCAGATCTATTTCTCTGGTAAGAGATGCAAAAGAAGCAGACAGAAAATATATGTGAACAAACTGGGGATGTCAAAGAAGATGAAGAATGTATTATGAAATAGTTGTAAACAGAGCACGTTGGGTGGACGACGAACGGACGAGAAATGTATTATGGGTCAGTTGAAGTGGATGTAACTCAGTACAGTATAGTCATGCACATGTAGATAGATGAGGATCATATTATGAAACTAAGTATCGTACGATCAAATGGATGATGTGTGGATGAGGAACATATATTGACGTAGTTCAAGCGAACGAACCATTATGTAGTCAGGTGCGAATTGATCAGCGAGTGCTTACGAGAATCGCAATAGATGAGGAACATCCACAATTGATGTGGATTAAGTTATATGTAATCAGGTGGGTGATGGATGGACTAGGGACGCAAGTAGTTTGCACCAGGTGTAGTCGTATGAATGGAACATAGACGAAGAACGTATTATGTATAACAGTTTATGTAGATTATCATGCACGTAGTCAGGAGGATGATGAATGGACTAGGAACGTATTATAACACAATTGGTTTGGACTAGGTGTGGACGTAGTATGAATGGAACGTAGATGAAGAATTATGTAACAGTTGATGTACATTATCATGCATGTAGTCAGGTAAATGACAAATAGGAACCTATGATAAAGTTTGTGTAGTCTGAATATATAGTCATGTAGATGGAAAATGAACGAAGAACGTGATTGTGAAGATGTATTAACCTACAGTTAGGTGAAAGACGAACGAATGTATTACAAAGCAGTTGACGAATATAATCGTTGTCATGTGGATGACAAGAGCTTTCTATGTAATTAATTTCCTCCTTTTATAAAGGAGTATCCAGGATATGAATGTGGTTTCCTGCAATAAAAGCGAACTTAAATTGTATAATGCGACAACTGAAACGGAGTAAGCTGCATGTAAGATAGATGGCAAATAAATTAGAAATATATAACTATAAAGTAAGTACAGTGTTTACTCTCATATCCGCACCCTTACTATCCTGCTATCCTGTCATTACTACTGTAGCATAACAATACAAGAAATGAAGATTTGTCAAACTAAATGTGTGTTGAAGTCCTGTTCCCGACGTCAACAAAGCTATCTAGCGAAGCCTATCACTCCGGGTGTATGAAACCCCGGTACGCATCCTTATCTTCTATCATCCCTCTTACGCATGGTTTCATTTTCATCCGCATTATCGAATGCTCTTTTTATTTTCGCCAATAGCGTGTAAGCAACGCACACCGGTTATTGATCCTGGCGCGCCAGACAATCCAATAAAATTCGTACAGGAGGCTATCGTTTTTATAGAACAGAGTAAAAGCTGGCGTTCAAGCATCCGAAGGTATGGAGGCAGGCAGCCGGGCAGGTTTTGAAGCAAAAGTTAAAGCTCGGTAAACTTGTCGGTCAAACGGGTGGAAGAGCTAATCGACCGCGGCGGCAAATTGCAGCGTGGATTAAAATTCAAGTGTGGCCCAGATATCGGACATGTTGGGTCGTCGGGTCATGACCCGGGGCCGGTGTACTCACGTAAAGTTCACTCGATCCTCTGTGCTCCTCTCGTTCGGCATTATTAATTCGTTCGCGAAGCTTTTTTTTTCCTCCTCGCTTCCTCTTCTTTCTTCTTCTTCTTCTTCTTCTTCCTCCTCCTCGTCTTTTTCGTCTCCTTTCTTTTTCGGGGCAGGCTGTGCTCTGTTTTCCTCTCGTCGGCTACCTGAAAAGGGGAAAATCGAAATCTAGCTCGATGTTCGAGTGTCGAACTCTTTGAACACTGCTTTGTACGAGAGTGTTCGATCGGCAATACGCTCGACGAGAATTCTTTTCGTTAATTGGACTTCAGTGTTTTCGACGAAGCGTTTCAATGGGAGTAATGGAACGAGGTGTTGATTAAAAACTACCTGGCTCTATCGACCGGATTACTTCTTTTTCTTGATGTTAACGCGTTTAACCGACCCTTTTTCTCCCACGATTTCTCGCATTGAAATTTTAATCTTTTATGTCCTCAAATTCCCATTACGCGTAATTACAAGGTCTCTGCGTCATAAATCCTTGTACTTCGAAATCCTTATAACTTCATATTCCTTTATCACTAGACCTCAAAAGTGGTAGATTAAGATATTCCTAGATTTTAATATTTTTGTACCCCATCTCTCTAGACACCTATATCCCTACACTACGATGTCACTAGACACTTATATCCTTACACGCAGATATCACTAGACCTCGATATTTCTAGACACTGATATCCATAGACACTAATATCACTAGAAGTCTATATTCCTAGACACCGATATCAGTAGACTTCGATATCGTTATTAGACCGCAATATTCCTAGACCCGGAATATCCCTAGATCCGGAATATTCCTATACCCGAAATATCCCTAGATCCGGAATATCCCTATACCCGGAATATCCCTATACCCGGAATATCCCTAGATCCGGAATATTCCTATACCCGGAATATCCCTATACCCGGAATATCCCTAGACCCGGAATATCCCTGGATCCGGAATATCCCTAGATCCGGAATATCCCTAGACCCGGAATATCCCTAGATCCGAAACCCCTCTAGGTTTGGAAAATCCCTAGATCCGAAAACCCTCTAAATTCGAAAAATCCCTAGATCCGAATATCCCTAGATTGGGAAAATCCCTAGATCCGAAAATCTCTAGATTGGGAAAATCCGTAGATCCGGAATATCCCCAGATACGGAATATCCCTAGATCTCGATGTCCCTAGATGCCAATATGAGAAAATCTATGATAGTAAATAATAAACCAATAAAAATAAATTTCATAGTTACAGTCAATAACAAGAAAATTCTTATTTTTCATAGAAGCAAGATATTTCGAAAGTTGTTGGTAAAATATGCGAATTTAATGCAAATTGCCAGCAGCGACTCTTGAGGAAGTTAAATTTTTCATGGAGATTTCCGTGAAGACATTTTTGAAACGAGATCCTCCATCCGGTTGGTTTCTCGAAGAAAAAGATCGCGTGGCTCTCCTTCTTTCTTGTTTTTCATAACCGGCTGCAATGCGAAGGGTTAAACGAATTCGCCTCGAAGCCGTCATAAAATTGTGAAGATGCGTCCTGAATGCTCTTAACTCTCTTATCACGATTTCCAGCGAGGAAAGTCGCTGAAAAGCCTCGACTGCGTTCACGTTCCCGAGATAGAACATGAAACGTACGAGAACGCGTTCTCAAACGTAAATAGAACATTTTTTGGATAAGTCCCGCTTTTAATTAACACACTGCATTTACCACAATGGCGAGCTCGAATTATTTCGACGAACAAATTTTCCTGAATTAATTTTGAGGTATTGCGGGTATTACGTCATCTTTACAATTTTTAAATTAAGGTTATTTTTTTGTGGACTTCGTTTGATGTATTTTTGGGTTTATGTAGTTTTAATTGGTAGTTAATTCAATTTTAATATTGGTTAATTTTTTAATATTTTAATATTGGAACTTATTGTTAGTACAATTTTAATTGGGCATATGAAGATACTTTTAAATTATGTACAAGGATAGGAGATGTATAAAGTGATATAAATATTGCTAATTGCGGTGGTATGAATAATTTTTTACATATAAATACCTTGTATTGCAAGAAGTAATACAGGATGTCTCATAGCTAGTGTAGGTTACAGAAATTACGCGCACTCAGCCACTAGGTTCAAAGCTGTCGTTCTTGCGTCTGCGCATGCGCAATACTCGCGCTCTGATTGGTCCGCGTTTTTCCTTAATAATTCAAAAACGACGCTTCAAATCCCATTTTTATAAAGGAAAATTTTATTCAAAATCACGTTAGCTACCCTCCATTGTAGAGACCCACACTAATTGCGAAATATACTACATATTGTAGAAATAATTGTTCAATTATTACTTTTAAATGGTACAAAACTAAATACTTGCTTTACAAAAAATGTCTGAAGGAATTAAGCTACATAAAATATAGTAGGTAGCTGCTTTTAAAAAATTCAAAAAAGGTTTTGTTCAAGCTTTATTCGAGCAAGTAATTGAATATCGTAAATATTTTTTCCAAACTTATTAAATAAAAAATATTTTCTACGACATGAATTTATTTGATACAATTTCTAATTAAATTTTATAGAGAATGTCTGAAGAAATTAATGTACATAAAAAGTACTAGAAAGTTGATTTTAAAAAATTCAAAAAAGGCTTTGTTCGAAATTTATTCGAACAAGTAATTGAATATCATAAATATTTTTTCCAAACTTGAATAAAAAATATTATCTACGACATGAATTTATTTGATACAATTTCTGATTAAATTTTATAGAAAATGTCTAAAGAAATTAATGTACATAAAAAGTACTAGAAAGTTGATTTTAAAAAATTCAAAAAAAGGCTTTGTTCGAAATTTATTCGAACAAATAATGTAATATAATAAATATTTTTTCCGAACATGAATAAAAAATATTTCCTACAATCCGAATTTATTTATCTGATTAAATTTAGCGCAATCCACACGATAAATCGCCGCAGGTAAATTTTTCGCCCAAAATATTTGCATATTTCGCAACAACTCATGTAACGCTATTTACCATAAACAATCATCAGTTTTTTCGGTCCGCTAGGGAAAGCAATTAAAACGTTTACATCCGGCGTTTGCAATTCCTAGCCAATCAGATGTAGCGTTGGAACTAGCCAGAACCAACAATCAATAAATTTACGCGTCTACCGATTTCGCGTCGCGGAACGCATCTGCACGATTTACCGATAAAAAGAGTACGCGAAACAAAAAAAGGGTAACGCGAACGAAAATTGCCAGCGGAAAAAAGGAGGTAAAAATGGTGGAACGGTAACGCGCGATAAAACGCATAATATCGTGTAAAACCGAGCCACCTAACGGTTTCCGTCGTGTATAATTGTTTCGAGAACAAAGGCTGGCTCGTTACTGAAATCGCTTACTAATTAAGTATAAAGGAAAAAAAAAATTTAACGGGCAGAAACGAGCCGAGCCGCGACCAGGAATAAATAGAGGACGGCTCGTTATAAATTTGTAGAAAAGTCGCCGGATGAATTGGCGCGGTTGAAAGCCCGTTTCAGTCTCGGTAGACCGCGAATCTGAACAGATTTAAGAAAAAAAAAAAAAGGGAACAACAGAAAAAGGGAAAGGAAAACATAGCGGAATAAGAAGAAGAAGAGAACGAGGGGATTAAACGGTTTAAGAATTTGCCCGATTTGTTTTCATCCGGTGAAAATCCACTTGACAAGGTGGTTTGATCATCTGAACATTTTCAGAACCGGATATCCTCGATTGCGGTCGTTGCTAGATCGTAGGAAAGGGAAAAGGGGAGATTGTTTAGCGTGTCGCGAGATAGAAAGCTTCTTAAGCCGAGGGGACCGATTACGAGAGCCTTTGAATATAAGAACCTCAAGGAAATTAATCGTTTATTCGATTTATTCGGCCATTTCAGGATTTTGCTTATTTATCGTAATTATGACTAAGTTATAGCGAGGTTATATTTATAGTATAAACTGTGTACTGTGAACTTTTTACTGTAAGTAAATTGTATGCTGACAAGGAGATCTTTTTATGGGGTTGTTAATTTACTGAAGTAACAAATTGGTCTTATTACTGTTTCTAACAAATTTTATGTACTTTCTAATTGCAGGATTTAATTGTTTATTCGATTTATTTAGCCATTTGAAGATTCTGTGATGGATAATTATTTATCGTAATTATGACTATTTAATATTAAAGTTATATTTGTATTATAAACTGTATACTGTGAACTTTTTACTGTAAGTAAATTGTATGCTGACAAGGAGATCTTTTTATGGGGTTGTTAATTTACTGAAGTAACAAATTGGTCTTATTACTGTTTCTAACAAATTTTATGTACTTTCTAATTGCAGGATTTAATTGTTTATTCGATTTATTTAGCCATTTGAAGATTCTGTGATGGATAATTATTTATCGTAATTATGACTATTTAATATTAAAGTTATATTTGTATTATAAACTGTATACTGTGAACTTTTTACTGTAAGTAAATTGTATGCTGACAAGGAGATCTTTTTATGGGGTTGTTAATTTACTGAAGTAACAAATTGGTCTTATTACTGTTTCTAACAAATTTTACATATTTTCTAATTGCAGGATTTAATTGTTTATTCGATTTATTTAGCCATTTGAAGATTCTGTGATGGATAATTATTTATCGTAATTATGACTATTTAATATTAAAGTTATATTTGTATTATAAACTGTATACTGTGAACTTTTTACTGTAAGTAAATTGTATGCTGACAAGGAGATCTTTTTATGGGGTTGTTAATTTACTGAAGTAACAAATTGGTCTTATTACTGTTTCTAACAAATTTTACATATTTTCTAATTGCAGGATTTAATTGTTTATTCGATTTATTTAGCCATTTGAAGATTCTGTGATGGATAATTATTTATCGTAATTATGACTATTTAATATTAAAGTTATATTTGTATTATAAACTGTATACTGTGAACTTTTTACTGTAAGTAAATTGTATGCTGACAAGGAGATCTTTTTATGGGGTTGTTAATTTACTGAAGTAACAAATTGGTCTTATTACTGTTTCTAACAAATTTTACATATTTTCTAATTGCAGGATTTAATTGTTTATTCGATTTATTTGGTCATTTGAAGATTCTGTGATAGATATTTATTTATAGTGACTGTGTAATAGTATGTAAGGTTATATTTATATACTGACATTTTTTTTAGGGGTTGTTATTGGTACTGTTGTTAAGTTTATATACTTATATGTATTGTAATTGAGTGTATGAATTTTTAAATTGTTTAAAATTGAGAGGATTTATAGAATTCATCAATTTTCACTGTTTTTAAATTGTAGGATTTATGAATTTATACAGAAATATATTTTAAACTTTGCAATTTCTAAATTTTCTAATTCTTGCAGATACTAGCTTGTAAATTCTCAAATTTGCATATTTGTAGTTGTGCAAATCTCCTAAAACCCCGAGTCACGTAAATTCCAAAATCTCTAAATCCTTGAATGGCTAAATCCTTGAATCCCTAAATCCTTGAACCCCTAAATCCCTAAATCCTTAAATCTCTGTATCATTAAATTCCTACATGTCTGAGTCATTAAATCCTTAAGTCTTCAAACCTTCAAATCCCTAAATACCTATATCCCTAACTTGCTAAATACCTGAATTCCTAAATGCACAAGATTCTAAGTATTCGAACTTTTCAATCTACAAAAATATTTTGATACTTGCAAGTTTCAAAACTTATGAATTCCTTAACACTTAAATTCAAAAATTTATAAATTTCTGTATTCGACAATTTTTTAATTTCCTATTTCTACATTTGTACGTTCGTACATTGCCAAATATTCAAGCTTCCAAATTCTTAGATTCTTAGATTCCTGAATTCCCAATTTTCCAAAGTCCCAAATTCCCAAATTCCCAAATTCCAAAATTCACAAATTCACAAATTCATAAATTCACAAATTTACAAATTCCTCAATTCCCCAATTCCAAAATTTTCAAATCCCCAAATTTTCAAATTCCCAAATTTCCAAATCCCCAAATTTTCAAATTTCCAAATCTCCAAATCCCCAAATTTTCAAATCCCAATATCTCTAAATCTCCATATCTCCAAATCCCCATATCTCCAAATCCCTATATCTCCAAATCCCCAATTCTCCAAATCCCCATATCTCCAAATCCCCAATTCTCCAAATCCCCAATTCTCCATATCCCCAATTCTCCAAATCCCCAATTCTCCATATCCCCAATTCTCCAAATCCCCATATCTCCAAATCCCCAATTCTTCAAATCCCCATATCTCCAAATCCCCATATCTCCAAATCCCCATATCTCTAAATTCCCATATCTCCAAATCCCCTAAATCTCAAACTCCCCAAATTTTCAAATCCCAAATTCCCCACATTTTCAAATCCCTAAATCCCCAAATCCCCAAATACCCAAAAATCCCAAAATACCCAAATCCCTAAATTCCTCAAAATTCCCAAATCCCCAAACGCTCAGAAATCCCACAATTCCCAAAATCCCCAAACCTCCAAAAATCCCAAAATTCCCAAAATACCCAAAAATCCCAAAATCCCCCAAAGTCCCAAAATCCCCAAATATCCCAAGAATCCCAAAATCCCAAAATTTCCAAAATTCATCAACCACCGTTTCGTCTCCAAAACGTCAAAGCCCATTATCACCAATCACGCACTAATTAGAACAAACACTCGGCTACGAATTGTTAACACGCTAATTACCGAAGTGAAAGTCTTCGCACATTGCAGAGCCAGTACCGCATTTAGTACAATCTCATTGTTCAATTTAAACCTTGACCTTATTACTTTCCGTTATGTACCGCTATAACAGTAACCTCATTTATGATATTTCGTTTATTAATTACTCTATAATATACAATTCAAAATGGTGGCCATTATGAGTCCAAATATCATTTATCATATTATACAATTACCTCAAGGACAGTACACAGAATTGATTTAATTTGTATACAAACGGTGACACGCTCTGATTTACGACCGGAAATACTATATTGCGCATGCTTCTTCTCTCTGTATTATCCAAAAGCTTTCTTTTATTATACTGTAATTATCTGTATGAATTATTCAATAGGAATGTTTTCTACTTCACAGTTAAATATGGAGTAACAGCTTTGGATAGAGAGATTCTGTTATACTGTGATACAGAACTTGGGGTCACAATTGATTAGGGATGTTTTTTAATATATTATTAATACTGTTTTGTAATTATTGTTTGATTGTTTACTTTTGTCAGAAGGAAATATGTTAATTATATCAATGATCAATAACACTGTTTAGTTCGAGGCAGAGATCTGTAAGGTCAGTTTCTTATAGGATATTTAGATTAGAAAAGTAGGTGATTTTAATTTGTGGATGATTTTGTATTTCACTCATTCTGTGTCGGTGATGTATAGAAATGTTAAAAAAAAAATAATAATGTATAGTAAACTGAATTTGTAGATTAAGGTGATGTTTACAAAAATTCACATTCACTAATTACACATTCTGAAGCTCTCACACTTGCAAATCGTCACTTTCCTAAATTCCAACATTTTCGAATCTCACGTTAGGAAGTCTTCGCATAAATAGTATTCTAGCTTTTCCAAATTTCTACATTTGTGGAGCCACACTTTCCTAAACTACGCGTTTCCAAATTTCCGAATTCCTTAAACTGCACCTTACTAAATCTAAGCGTCCTTAAATTTCTAGATTCCTAAATTCTCACATTCCGAAGTTCTCACATTTCCCAACTCTCATCTTCCAATATCCACATTCCTAGATTTCCACGTCTCCTCATTCTAAGATTTTCAAATTCTAAAATTTTCTAATATACACATTTCCAAATTTCACTTTTTCAATAGTGAAAAGTTCACCATATAATAACATCCTCACATTTTCAAATCCTAACATATGCAAATCTTTATTTTCCAAAATGTCACGTTTCCAAATCTGTACATTACCATAATCTTCACAAACCCAAAGTTTTCAATTTCTCAAACTCCACTTTACTTTCATATCATTCTTTTCATATTACCCTTTATTTTACTTTACTATCATATTATTCGTCAAACTCGTATAAATGCACAGCACCTAATAAACCATTCCTAAAAGTTACTGTCCCATACAAAAATCCAATATTGAACAAACACGTTATGAATTCATAAATCAAAACTCGCCCCTCACTAAAAATTCTCCTAACAATAAAAAAAATACAGAAGATGTATCTCCTGTTCACAAGGCCATATAATAACACTCCAACATTAAACACCTTCTGAATTCATAAATCCAAAAATCTGCCTCATTAAAAACTCCCCTAAAATAAAAATACGAAAGAAATATCTCCTGTTTACAAGGCCATATAACAACATCTCAATATTAACCCTTTGCACTATTTTGACGAGTCTGACTCGTGACGCACTAGTACTTCGTCCGTGATAAATTTTACTGGAATTTTTAATACACTTCAATTTGGAGTACAAGTCCAATTATAATTTGCATAATCAACGATTGTGTTATAACGTATTGACATAACATTTCAAATTTTTTTGTCTGTTTTAATATTGTAGCTGTAATTAATTAGTTCTGACTGACGCACCTGACAAATAAGTCATAGTGCAAGGGGTTAAACACCTTTTGAACTCATGAATCCAAAAATCTCCCTCACTAAAACTTCCCCTAAAATAAAAATACGAAAGAAATATCTGCTCACAAGGCCATATAATAACATCCCAACATTAAACACCTTTTGAACTCATGAATCCAAAAATCTCCCTCACTAAAAATTCACCTAAATAAAAATACGAAAGAAATATCTGTTCACAAGGCCATATAACATCCCAACATTAAACAACTTTTGAATTCACGAATCCAAAAATCTCCCTCACTAAAACTTCCCCTAAAAAAAAATACGAAAGAAATATCTGCTCATAAGGCCATATAATAACATCCCAACATTAAACACGTTTTGAACTCATGAATCCAAAAATCTGCCTCACTAAAACTTCCCCTAAAATAAAAATACGAAAAAAATATCTGTTCACAAGGCCATATAATAACATCCCAACATTAAACACCTTTTGATCTCACGAATCCAAAAATCTCCCTCACTAAAACTTCCCCTAAAATAAAAATACGAAAGAAATATCTGTTTACAAGGCCATATAATAACATCCCAACATTAAACACGTTTCGAATTCATGAAACCAAAAAAAATTTCCCTCACTAAAACTTCCCCCAAAATAAAAATACGAAAGAAATATCTGTTCACAAGAGCGCATCCCAAATAAAACAATAAACCCTACAGCCCTCCATGTCCCCATCCCGCACCAATTAGCAACTGCGCTAAAAATCGCGTAGAACGTAAGACCATTCGAAAAGCTGCTGCGAATCGACTTACGCGTTCATCCCCTTGGAGTTCCCTTCCCTAAAATCGATGCCTCGACCCCTCGTAGGCTTCAACAAAACTCTTGTAGCGAGTCGAACGTCCTCTCGAAAAACAACGAAGAAAAAAGGTACAGAAGGAAGATCGTAGCGAATCTCCGCAGCGGAAACGGAAGAAGGGTAACGATGGCGACTCACCAGAACGGAACACGCCTCTCACGTGAGGATCTCCATGCTGCCCTCAGCGTCGACTTCCGCCAGGAACGTTCTCGTCCTGCGGATCAGCTGAACGGTTATCGGTAACGAAGGAGAGGAACACCGCGAGAGGAGACGCGTGACGAAGCGCAGAATAAAATTGGCTGACACGCGGCGCTTTTAACGACGCCGGTCGACACGTGAACAGACGTCGACGGCAGGGACGCCAGGCGTACGACTGAATCTACTCGCCGGATTCAGCATCCCGTACGGTTGATACGCTTTGCGCGCTGGACCGCCACCTTGCCAGGGGGTTGTGGCGCAGAGGCGGACAGACGGAGATGGAAGCTGCGGGGTGAAAACGGAGGGAGACTGCGAGGATCGCACGGGAAAAGGACGGCTCGAAGAAATAACGTGTGGGTGGAGAGAGAAGAGAGGAGGATAGGGAGAGAGCGTGGAATGAAAGAGGTTGGATAGAAAATGTTGAGGGTGCAAGTAGAGTGTGTAGGAGCAGAGAGAGATGGGGGACTAGGAAGAGAGTTGGGAGGAAAGAGAGAGGAGGGAAGGATAGATAGAAAATGTTGAGGGTGGATGCAATGGTAGGAGAGAAAGATGGGGGGAGAGAGATGGATGATAGAGGGACGGAGACTGAAAAGAAAAAAGACGGATGGAAAATATTGAGGGTAACAGAGGAGAATAGTGTGGAAGGGGAAGAGGGGCATGGACCGAAAAGGGGAATTTGGGAAATTTAGGTATTTGGGGGTAGAGAGTTTGTGGTTTAGATGTTTGAAATTTGGAATTCTGCAGTTTTCCAATTCGGGAATTTGCAATTTTGCAATTTTGGAATTCTACAAGTTGGAACTTGTAGAATTTTTGAATTCTAAAATTTGGAATATCGGAAGTTGGAATTCTGGACTTCTGGAAGTTGAAATTCTGCAAGCTGGAATTCAGGAATTGTGGAATACTAAAATTTGGAATATCAGAAGTTGGAATTCTGGACTTCTGGAAGATGAAATTATGCAAGCTAGAATTCAGAAATTCTGGAATTGTGGAATTTGGAATTCTGCAATTTGGAATTCCAGAATTCGAAATTCTGAAACTTGGAATTCTGGAATTTTGGAATTCTAGAACTTGGAATTTCAGAAGTGGAAATTCTAGAATTTTAGAATTCCAGACGTTGGAATTCTGACACTTGGAATTTTAAAAGTTGGAATTCTAGAATTTTGATATTCTAGAACTTGGAATTCCAGGAGTGGGAATTCTGGAATTTTGGAATTCCGGAACTTGGAATTCTGAAACTTGGAATTCTAAAAGTTGGAATTCTGGAATTTTGGAATTCCAGGCGTTGGAATTCTAAAAGTTGGAATTCTGGAATTTTGGAATTCTAGAACTTGGAATTCCAGGAGTGGGAATTCTGGAATTTTGGAATTCCGGAACTTGGAATTCTGAAACTTGGAATTCTAAAAGTTGGAATTCTGGAATTTTGGAATTCCAGGCGTTGGAATTCTAAAAGTTGGAATTCTGGAATTTTGGAATTCTAGAACTTGGAATTCCAAGAGTGGGAATTCTGGAATTTTGGAATTCCAGACGTTGGAATTCTGGAACTTGGAATTCTGAAACTTGGAATTCTAGAACTTGGAATTCCAGAAGTGGTAGTTCTAGAATTTTGGAATTCCAGACGTTGGAATTCTGGAACTTGGAATTCTAAAAGTTGGAATTCTGGAATTCCAGAATTTGAAATTCTAGAACTTGAAATTCTTAAATATCTCTTAACACAAGAACATAAAACCTTCCAATCTTAAAAATTAAAGAAACTGTACCTCCAAAAAAGACATTATCACAAATATAAAATATTGGAAACTAAAACTTGCCACTTGACAGCGTCAATGAAATTAAAGCACCAGATAAAAATCGTAATTACGCCAACAAGGCTATCTCTCTCAGTAAACCATCAGGTACCCATCTCTCTTTCCCTCGTAAGCTTCCACTTCTGTTCCTCATCTTAGTTTCACTTCTCTCTTCCTCCTCGCAATTTTCATTTTCATCTTTCTCCCTCGTTTTGCAGAACATTATCCACCACTATTCCTCCTCGTGCTGAGCCAACATCCTACATTTCTCCCTCGTTTATCCAGCATTCATCTCTCTTTCTCGTCCTGTGTTTCTATTCTACTTTATTTTCTATCTCTCTTCTTCCTTGTATCTTCCTCGACATTTTGCACCTATATCTCTTCTTCTTGCGTTCAATCATCACATTCGGTCCATGTATCTCCCTTGTGTGTACATCTTTTGTCTCTCTTCCTCTCTGCTTTATTTCCTCCACTTCTTCATCGCAGTTTGCGCTTTCATCCTTCTTCCTCGTTTTACTGCACGATCAACATTTTACGTCTGTCCTTCTCGGATACATAGTACTCCATCTCTTTTCATCTTTGGATCGTTTATTCTTCTATCTAATTTCGTTCTCTCTGTTGGGTTGTTATGGCCTTCTCTCTTGTTCAACATTTTCTGTCTCCGCCATTGACGTAACGCTGGGGTGCACGGTTTAGTCCCCTAATATATGGAGTAATATTTTTCACCTAACGCGCATTGCACTTATATTAAAAATTTTTTAATTTCCGAAATTCTCTTTTGAACTTTAAATTATCACGGTTTTCAAATTTCAAATTCTCAAAATTGTAATTGTCAAATTCTTAAAAACCTTTAGTTTATTAATTTACAAATTCCTCTAGCCTTAAATATGCTGCTGATATTAAAATATTTTCTTCAATATGCTCAATGAAATTAGCAAAAATAAATGTATTTATTGAGAAGTCGATAATCAAGTTCGTGCATTTATCGATTACTTGTAAGATACCATCGATTTTGATGGAACCTTCATATGCTAATAAAATTTATATTACTTTTCGTTATTGTTTTCCTTATATAATAATTTTTCACCCGTATAAAATATAGTGGGTTATTTAGAATTGCTTTTTTAATATTTATAAATCAAGTTTAATTAATAAATTTTGAAGGAGTCCTAAGTCGTTGAATTACTTCCTACATCCCCAAATTCAGGAATCCTTGAAACTATCAATTCCTAGATTTTTACATTCCTAAATTGCTGAGTCCCTAAATTTATGAATTTACGAATCACCGATTGTCAAATATCCTGATTCCAATATTCCCGAATCCCTAAATCCCCAAACCCCTAAATCCCCAAATCTCTAAATCCCCAAATTCCCAAATCACTTAATCCCTCAATCTTCAAATCCCTAAACCCACAAATCCCAAAATTACCAAATTTCCAAATCTCTAAATCCCCAAATCCCTAAATCTCCCAATCCTCAAATCCTTAAACCCCCAAATCCCCAAATTTCCAAATTTCCAAATTCCCAAATCCCCAAGTCCCTATAAATCCCCCAATCCTCAAATCCTTAAACCTCCAAATCCCCCAATTGCCAAATTCCCAAATCCCCAAATCCCCAAATCCCCAAATCTCCAAATC